GGACTGCAGAGCGGAATGGATCGTAAAGCCGAGCGGCGTCTCATATAAATATTGTCGCCTTAACCGCAGCTTAATGACTGCGCCCAAGTGCGCGATAAAAATGGATATGGGTCATGTGGCATGTGCCAGTGACGACTGGCTCTACCTTTAAGTCGTTGGCGTATCAGTTCCCGGCCAGAAGCCAGTGCATCACATGACACATGGCAACCAAGCAGACGACAGCTGTCAAAGCCATGTTTAATACTGAAATGCATTTTAGCACCTTGGAATTTCGGAATATTTTGCATTGGAATATTTACATTTTCCGATTAATGAAAGCACGTACTGTAAGGAGCTCGTCCGAGCTGGATCTCGTTACGATTACCTACTGGAGGCAGAGTGTACTGGTAATTTAATTAGGCACAAATCACAAGGATGTGTGTAAGCTGGCTAGAATAACATTACAGCTTCGAATAAGCCAAGTTAATACCTCTAGAGGCAAGCAATTGCAAACTTATACCTTTGGCACAACTTTGATTTCCAAGTAGAAGCTCCAGCAAAGTCCAAACGAGGTTGAACTTGCCTTAGGGTCATTTGCACGTTCTCCTATTTACATTGATTGGATAGTAAATTCCTGGGCAACATAACTTTGGCTGCCAATTAGCAAATACTAAGCCGTCTAATCAGCAAACAAGCTACTTTGCGAGCGAATCAAACCCGTCTAAATTTCAGGTTTTCAGGTTTGCTATGCAAATCGATAACAGGTAAACATTAGACAGGTAAGTAATATTCCATCAAAATTAACTTTTGATTGTTGCTGGTCCGCAACTCGACTTTAAAATAACATTCACACATCCACAGAAATACAGCCATAGGAGTTCCAGGAACACTAAATCTGCTCGTTAAACACTTGAATAGCCTGAGGTTTACCCCTTGGGGAATCCCAGCTAAAAGGAATGGAGAATTTTTGGGCATAAATATGGATTTCCCATATAAAGTAAGCCTCATAATTTCACAGGTCATTGCACGGATTGCTACACAACCGGCGTCAGGATGATTCAGACAGTTTTTAACCACACTATTCGGTACTTGTTAACACTCGCACACTTATGGAGAAACCCCTTTTTATATGCATTGAGAAAAAATACAACAAAACTAAGGTAAAAGTAATTTCCAAAATGGAGCTCTAAAGGAAAAATTCCAGATTAATAATAATCTTCTTTATAGCCCTCAAAACGGTTTCTAAAAGTGATCTAAAAACTGAAAAATTCTGAAGTCAGTGACGCTAGTTTATTTAGAGTTTTCTACAAAGTTTTCGTCAGAATAAATATTTCATAAAATGAGAAAAAGAGTTCTTTACTGCCATCGAAAATTTAATGTTTAATATATTTTTTCCCAGTGCACCCAACACGCTTCCATATATAAGTAGGAACAAAGCGAAATATGATAAATACGAACCCAACAGATATGTGAAATTTCAAGTTTGTGGCCCTAAAAAAAAGCCAATAAGAATGCCAAAGCAAAGCGGAGAACCGAAAACCGTTTACCTGGCCAATTGGCTAGGGTTTTTTTCTTTGGTATTGCTGCTGGTGGTTGGGTGCTTCTGTTTCTGTCTCTGTTGGCTGGCCAACGTTTATTTCCGAGTCATCAGTGTGGAGGGCCGTCGAATTTGAATTTTAACCCAACTGGTAACCCCTTCGTGGCCGTCAGAGAAACATCAAAGAGAGCTGGCTGGTCCGGCTCTAATCTAAAATTATTTAATGCTAATGCACACCGGGTATTTCGGACTTTAAGGGGTTGGGTGGGTCTCTCTCTGGTTTGGTCTGCTCAAATTCTAATTCCAATTAGACGCGTATTCAATTTATGAATTCCTCCAAGGAGAGGCAACCGCAGGAGCAGCAATAACAACGTCACATCACTTTGATTAGCGGAATTCTTACGCAAAAGAATTCGCTGGACGCTTCGCACACGCCCACTCAATCTCAAAACCGGAATGGGTATCGCAATCGCAACGGGAATCTCAATGGGAACCGCGCGGCGTCCAATTGCCATAAATCTAGATTAAGGAACGCGAGGCAAAGACAAAAGACTGACGAAAGGCGAAAGGTGAAAATTGTCAGCGCGAGATAGCGACTGCACCGACCTGCTGCTGCTCGGCATTTTCGTGACTTGGCGCTGGGCCTTGCATAATTTCCCAGTGTACCCTGGCCACTCATCATATCTGCCCATTCTCATTCTCATTCTGAAACTCATTCTCATTCTGAGTCTCATTCCCGAAACCATTCACATTTCCATTCCCATTTCCGCCGTGGACTGCAATTTCTTCAGGCAATGCCGGAAAAGTCTAAGTAAACTATGAACATTTTGAATAGTTATTGCAATATTTTAGTATGGATTTTTAAGAATAATTTCTTTTTTTTTATTATGATCAATGGTAATACAAATTACCCTTAATGGTTTTATCTGAGTTGCCATTAGGTTAGTATCTATATCTTCTTAATTTTCTTAAAATTGTTCTTTTTGATTTGTTTTCCCAACATCAATGAAAATATTGAATCTTTAAAATTATGCCCAATCTTTTGGAAAATATGCTCTTTATTTTGCAAATCAAATTTTCCATGAGTGCTCATAATTTTTAGAAATTTATAGCCAGCCGATCATGTGCTTTTTCTGCTATGTTTATAAAAAATGCTTCTATTTCTTGCTGTCTATAAGTATCTTTATTTTTGCAATATTTGCCTCACTTTAAGAATTTAGATTGTGCTTTTAATATATTGACTTTAAGTGAATTTGAAATTAAAGAACAGATGTTAATTTTCATGTTAATAAGTATTTTAGGAAAACTCATTTACAAAATCGATATTTGTTTATTAATAATTAAAATTTTATTTTTTCAGGATAATTTTAAATTTTATATATAAATTGATTAAGTTAATATTAAATCTTTAAAGTCTTTACTGCCTTATCTTAATTTTATATATTATTTTTAAAGAGATTAAGCCACACTCTGCTTATTTCTTGTGTATCCCAAAGGCTTAGCTACACCCTAGTTATTTGTTGTGTACCCCAGTCTGGTCTCCAAGTGCATCTGGGCGAATTCTGGTCGAGTGTCCACTACTTGTGCACCCAGTGGCTTCGTCAAGGTTCGCAAGGTCAATGATTTATTAGTTTATTTGTCCGCCAGTGCGTTCTGTTGTGATCTCCGGTTCGTCGCCTGGCCGCTGCTTTCTCTGAACGCAGCCCGCGTCTCTCATATGTCGCATGTCGTCTGCCATGGTTTTTATTGTCTGTGGCTGACAGCCAAAGCTCTGGGATCAGCCAGCTTTAGCGCCAGTTGAGCCGCAAATCCAAGCGGCGTTCCCAGCTCTCCGGCGCACCCACCGTCGGCCATCATTAGGAGGAGCCGCGGTGACAATTTGAGTTGCATTTCCATTAGGCGGGTCGCTGTGTCAATGGCTTGGCAAATGGACAAGTTAATCGGGGCATGTGTTCCGTTCCATTCTGTCTGCCTTTATGCGCTCCGACAGCGACCAGCTGAACCCCGTGGAATCCAGTATGTACGTATGTATCTATCCCCTCCCATCTGTGTGCGCGTTATATAGGCCACGACCTTCACGATGCAACCCCGTAAAAATGTCGATCGCGGACTCGGAGTTCCGGCTTGGATTCTCAGGGGAGGAACGGATCAACCACGAGTCCTGGACTTCTGTTGCCAGGCGCGTTTTTTGTGTTGCAGCTGCATTCCCAACAGCTGGGGTTTTGTGTTTGCACAGGTTCATGTATTATGCAATCTATTTTCTTATTTGTTTGTGTTTTAAAATATTAATTAATATTCAGAAAACCACTTAAACTCTGGTGTAGGATTTCCTAGAAAAAAACAACAACTTCAAAGGTGTCTTATTTGTTTTTGATTCCATGTTTATTTACAGACGAGAGCTGTAATTTTGCCTTTTTGTTTGCTCTCATCTTCAGCTGCAATCCATAATTTTCCTGCGAAGCTGGTTTTACTTTCACCCAATTCAAGAGCAATTATATTATTAGTTTTTCCATGTGAAGTTGTTTAAAGAGCTTTCAAGAGGTACTCGGAAAATGTAAAAGAAAAACTCTAAAAAACATTGATGATTGAAGAAATTACATAAGGGCTTCAAGTCTACAAATATTTTTATAATTTCTGTAGGATTTTTGTACAATATCTAGATATTTATAGATATATAAGTATAAATGTATATTTTCAAGAGGCTAATTAATTGTAAATAAATAAATTTTTAGCATATTTAAGAAATTATAATAACGTTTTTTTGGTTTAAAAAAGTCAATGAGTTAATTTATTTTAAAATAAAAACCATACCAAACATTAGTGGCCATTAAAAAATGAGCCAAAGTAGTGGAAACCAGATAGCTCTGAAACTGACCGCGATTTTATCGCATCGCCTCCAAGATTGTCGTCATAGAATCACAAAAAGTCAGACGAGGCGACTGCACCGATGAATTTATTACCCTATTTAGTTCTATGAATATACGGAGATGTGCCCCGATGAGAGCCGTGGCCAAAGATAGATGGGACACCGGACCCGGAAAACTGGTAATGGCTTTCAAGTTCAAGTGCATGGCAATCACTTTACACAGAGAGCGAGAGATACAAAGATACAGATACGGAAAATATGTGGACTTTTGTGCGTTTTTGTAGACTGGGAAAGGCGGCGGCTGATAAGGCGACTGGGGAACTCACGTTCTGAGTAATTCCCATACGATGAACCCAGGGTATTCGAAGAATTTTTTTTGTTTAAAAGCTTTCGTAATTAAATTGGCCGAAGGGGGGGTGAGGCTTATTAAATTACTGCAGGCCGCCAAAAAGACAAAAGAAACCACGGTAGCGCACACCGGGAGAGATAAACAAAGCCAAACACAGCTGGCGGAAAACTCATTATTGTGGAAAGAGAAAAAACAATAACCACAAAAGTGTGTGTATTTAAATTTTAAAATATGTATATTTCATTATTCCGACTCTATGAGCAACTTACCAAAACACAAGAAATAAAAATCCAACTGGCTGGCAGCCTGAATCAGTTAGTTTTGCCGAAGAAATTCCCTGTAATTTATTCACTTTTCACCAAAACGAGGCACACACTCTCGCGCTCATTAGTAAATATTTACCAGGCTAAATTCGAAATCGGAAAACGCGACTCACAAGTAATAATAATTATTATCAGCTGCGGCGGAACTCGTAAACCAAGCACTGTAAGTACAAGTACTGTGTGGATTCCGGTGGATTCCACTTAAGATTCCCCAAAAGTACTTTTGTACGACACAAGTCAAGTCAAGGCACAACAAATTGGTTAGCACTGAAGGGCACTTTATTGGCGATTACACACTGGCATTTGCCATTTGCTTTTGCATTTTGTTTTCTTTTATGCTTAAATTGGTCGATTTTCCCCGATGTTCCGCTTTCTCGCACTGCAAAACGCTTTTTCGAGCTAATTAATTGTGTTCCAGTACGTTGATCAGCCTAGGATGGGTTTCCTATGCTAGGTGGGGCTGTTGTTGTGCTTTGTATCTTTCAGATGCACTTACGGGCTTTTGTGCTTTTGGGTTACACAGATAGACTGTAATTAGTTGAATTTAATATATTAACCTTTTAGATAAATTTACTATCCGTTAGTTGCATAAATATTTTTAAATACTTTATATATCAGAGGCTTCGTTTTCAACCGTTTTAAAACATTCTGTATCTGTTGTATCTGAGATACATTTGCTGGTATTTGTATCTTTAAAATAAATGTTCTGTTTGTTTTACTCTTTATATTGTTTTCGATCTTGCTGTATTTTGTTGGCTTTAGATTATAGATACTTGCAGTCTTGTATCTTGCACACTTCGAGCACTTGCCTAAAGGGGGCCTGTTTCGAAAATAAATATCCAGCACCGAAAATAACCGAATCCAGCCGGCGCGCAGTGTTTACTTCTTCGATCGATCGATGGTTCGTTCAAAACGTGGCAGCACGGACTACGACTTCGATTCCGATTCCAATTCCGAGGAGGAGCACTTCCAAACGCACGTGCAGAGAGTCGACGAAAGACTGAGACCAAATCGGGTCGCGATCGCCACAAAATAGCAAAAGCGGTGCACCGTGGGGCTATTATAGGTTTTTTGATGCAAAATTAGTTACTTTTGAATAAAGTAAGATAAGAGAAATATATTAGAAAGTTAAATGGTATATATTAGGTAATTATTTAGCCTATACAAGTATGTTTAAACTAGGTGCTACGATTTTTGATGCATTAAAGTAAATGGTGTATATATTTTTTATAACTATTAATATTTTCAAAAAATAGTTTTTACTTTATACGTTGTTTTATTATGTTTATTTTTTATTTAAAAAATAAGCCAAATTGTAATAAAAAATATTAATACGATAAACTTGATACTGGAATATTTTTTAAAAAAATAATTTCGTCCAAAAGGAAAAAGAATTTAGTTACCTAATAGGTATATTAAAAATAAAAACATAAAATGTTAAGATTTATTTGACCTTAAAATGTAAAAAATGGCTTAAAGATTGAGTTTCTATTAAACCGAAAATTAGGTAAAATAAACAATAAACAATAAAACAATAAATATATGAGATATCTTATATCTTATATATATATATATATATATATATATATATTAAATATTTATTTATATAATCTGAGCTTATTTTCAGTTAATTTAAGGAAATTTTTCTATAAAATTAGTGTTTTCAATATCAATGTATACTTTTAAACACCGTTTGCTCTACAGGCCCCACAGTGCCACAGCAAGCGAACCGAGCCGAACCGAATTCGCCGCATCCGTCGAAGTGCGGCGAACAAACACAAACGGAACCCAAGTCGGCGACAGCATAACTATATACATTATGACGCGATCGGTCCCAAACATGAGGCATAAAAATTCCATCTCACACACGCGCACAAACGGAGTTTGTGAGAAATATAGCCACTGAACTTCACCCCTGGCTGCCCCTCCGGAGACTCCGGTACCGAAACCTTGGTGGTGGCTTATGCACCCTCACCCTTACTTTGCCGAAATGCATACCTCCGTGCCGGTGAATTGAATGAGTTCGTGAGATGACTCAGAGAGAGTCACAGAGCCAAGTGAGTTGTTTGTATGAATTAGATACACTGAAAGCGATAACATTTTATAATACAAAACTATACTATACATATAGTAGGTTAGTCATAAAACACATAATTATAGATAGCTTAATTGCTTATTTTAATTTTAAATGATAAACTGAGGGACACAAATTAATAAATATTTATAGTATTTCAACAAAGAAGTTATATTAATATCCATATTATTTTCCCATTCTTCGAACGATCTTATTGTAGCTAAAAAACAGTCATCATATTTTTATAAAATTAAAACTTTATTTTGAAATCATAAAAATATATTTATTATATAAGAAAAATGTCCACATCCATTTCATAATTCCTTGTAAGCAATAAAAAAAAACTCCCCAACCAAAAAAGAAATTCAACTACAATAAATCAATACCTACAAAGTATTCAAAACAATTTAAGGACAACAGCTTGTTCTGCGAACGACTGAAAGTATGGGAGACTTCTGGGGTAATTTTTCAAACTTGTCATTTATTTTGTATTATTTTTTTTTGTCCCCCTCATTTCCTACAAATATTTACCAGCTGTTGACAGTCAAGAGACAGATATAACAATTTAACCCACACCTTGGTGAAAATATTTGAACAAGGAACAAATCAAAACCGGTTCCTTGGTCAAGTGCAGGCTATGCAAATATTTGGCTCAGTGATCGCCAGCCAAATGGAGGCCAATATAGACTTCATTAACCGGAGGGCCTCCAATATAAATGGGAGCTCGCTATCTGGCATTTCGAATGTTTTTATCAAAGATAAGAGCCGGCTCCGGATACCTGTGCATACGTATACAAATAGCTGGGAATTTGGCCTACAACCGGGTAAGTGGGGAAATGTAACTTTAGGAGGCCTTGAGGCTTTATCGAACGAACAATAATGTTGCCCCACCATATTGAATTTGTTTGGGCAACAAGGTGAGTTTGGGGAAAGAATGTTCATCAGAGTTTACAAGAGGTTTCTTAAAATTTAAAGGTTAAAATGTGTTTAAAATTATGCTCAATATATGGTAATCTTTTACTTTAGAAATGTTCAAAGCATAGACAGTACGCAATCCTTTTTAAATACTTTATTGATTATTTCTTTCGAAAAGCATTGATAAGAATGCAATTAGCATTGAAAATACAAATATATATGCATCACCAACTCCCTTTTAATATCAACTCAAGTTCTCAAGTGGCAATCAAGTGCCGACTGCCTATTAATAGCACCTCTTCGATCGAATTTTAATTTCAGTTGACTTAACAGATTACCGCTGGTTAAATTTATGGGTTCTTGGCCAATATTTACCGACGGCGCTCGTACCCCGGAGGTATCAAGTAATTAACGTCTATTTAATAGCAATTATCACTCAAACATTTTACGCCTCGGGGTATTGAATTTTCCACCACCGTAAATCATGCCAAAGGTTGAACTTTGTATGGTATGTGGCGCTATGTTGCGCATACGCCATGTGTCACACGAAAGCCCCATGACAAGTGCGGGTGTATGGGTCCCAAGAAAGTAACAAAAAATGTACACATGCACGAGTACTTAGATCAAATGATTTAATTAGCACTGGCCCCTCCAATTGTGTTCGGTTTTAATTACATATATTTTATCAGACCGTCAAAGCTTACGGCTGCGACGGCAGCAAGTCGTCGTGGCCCATGTGTCAATAAGTCAAATGATGTTAATTAATTGAGGCCGATAGCGAAATGCTCTGCATTAGACAGCCTGCCAGAGGCACTTCAGGTTACGCTGCCTCTCGTAATTACTCCGAACGCACTGTTACATAACCACGGACGGTGGGGAGAGCCTTGCCAAGCTTATTATTTTGCCTTGGACATCCGCGGACAGTTTGGTTGAAGTGCAGTGCAATGATGACAAACGACCTGCTCCAGAAATTAATTACTTACTTAGTTAAACTTTAGGAGAGGCTACCTAAGAGAGCGACTAGCTTAAATTCCCCAAGTTCAATTTTATTTCATAATTCCGAGGTAGCAACGGCCAGCAGATAAATCCAAATCAATCACTTCTTAAAAATAGAATATAGTCACATTTAAAAAAGACTTTGGATTCCAAAATTAAATAACTTTATCGCAGTTTTAGCAAACTCTACAGCTATATCAGCAATTAAGTTTTTGATAATCAAAACAGTTTGGTCTTGTGCACCGCCGTTGAGTGGTTAAAGTGGTGCTGTGCTATCCGGAAGGCAATGCTGCCGGGACGAACCAGCTTTTGCTCTAATGCATCGCCATACAGCTGCACCAGCGATGGCTCCTCTTCCACAGGCTCCAAGTATGCAGACACTCCTCCCAAAAGCTACAGGGATTTAACAGAATTATGATTTTCCTGGTATTTTCCACAAAATTAAATTCTTAGAACCCACCAAACTCTCATCGCAGTTGAGGAAACGCACCGCCTGCACATGCTCGGACCACAGACGACGCCTCCACTTGTTATCGTACTTTTGAGCCAGGGGAAGCAACACCAGGGAGCTGAACAACTCATCGCCGTAGCTGGCTGCCTCAAAGTGCTCGACAAACAGATAGTAGAGTGGCTCAAACCTAGCCTTATCCACCAGCTCCGCATCGAAGTCAAAGTCATGCGCGGCACTCTGCTCGTAGAAATCCATCAGATAATCGCGCAGCAGCTCATGCAAATCCGGCTCCAGGAACTGCGAGTCGGGCCCCATGAAGGCAATCATCAGATACATGAGCTTCTCCAGCGGGCTAACCACCTGCAGTCCTTCCCGTTCCAATTCCCTCACGAACGACAGCGTCATGCGGACCACCTGGTTTTCTTTACAGAAATAAAAAGAAAACAACAACGTTGGTTTATCCTCCGAAAATTGCAAAAAAAAAGAAAAAAGAATGTTTGAAGTGTGTGCTTTCTCACCTGAGTATATCGCTGCCGGTTGCTGCTGCACATTTTGCAAGTAATTGCTAAGGATAAGCCGCATCTGGAAGAAGGGCCAGTCGGCGGGCAAGATGGGTGTTTGGGTGTAGCTCAAGGATAGCGAAGGCTCTGAGTTGTCCTAGAGTTAAAGCAGAGGGAAACTTTAATATACAAATCTGCGTTATACACTTAAAGAATATTAAATAAAATATATATTGTACTTTAATGTAAAAATCTACGTTAAGAGTGGCCCGTTTAGAACAGAATTCTCAATTTTCTTAGTACTTACAGCAATTATGTGGGGATAGACAATTTCCAGGCACGTTTGCTGTAGCAGCTTCAGACTCGCCTCGTCCAGCTTGACATAATCCCCATTGAAGATAAACCGCTCGAAGGTGCTCTTGATTTGCGCGGCATGAGCCGTGGACAGGCAGCACAGATAATTGTAGACCAACTGCAGTAATTGCGGACGCTTCAAGTACGTCTCCATTCCATCGGTGGTCAGCAGCTGGTGTATGAACCTTAGCTCGCTGCGGGCATAAAAGTTAGTGGCCAGGACGCGATTTAGCTGCGAGCTTAGCTGCCGCAGATACTCCGCCAGCGGCTCCAGCACCGCCGGTTGCATAAGTGCGTCAAACAATGGACGCTTGTCTCTGCTCTCCAGCGACACGGCAGCTAGCAGGGCCCAGAGGTTACTCAATAGATGCACCGGATACGTCTCGCTGAGAATCAGCTGCGGCCCATAGTCGTGCATGAGCACAGCGCCCACATTGGGCAGCGCAGCGTGCGCATGGCGTCGATCTATGGGGCGTCTCAGCAGTACAGATACCTTGCTGGTGGATAATAGCAATTAAGGGAGTAATTCAGTAGGTGGCCAAAGCTCAACTCACGCCAGGTCTTGGACGCTTGCTATGAAGCTGCTCGACTGCACGAACTTGGGCAGAATGCTGCGAAGAAAGGGCTGGAAGCTAGTGGGTCCTAAGAAGCCATTCCGCGAGAACCAGGACACGGCGTACAAGGCGGCACTTAGAAGTGTCATTTGACTAAACTGGAGTGGGAGGGGGTTTTCAGGCAATGTTTCAGAGGATTTTTAGAGTTTTTAGATTTACTTAGCAGACCACTCACCTCCTTGATTCTTTCCATACGCGTCGCCTTATGCAGCCAGCTGCAGCAGCAATTGTTCAACGGCTCTACGAGCAGCTTCTGTCCCTCTACGTCACACGCTCCGCTCTCGCCGCTGGCCACTAGAGCGGCCAACAGGGCGGCTGCGTGTTGGCTTACCAACCCCGAACCGCCCACATCACCAAAGGCACTGTGATTACAGTGCCAGTCCAAAAGCTGGCGAAGCGCGGGCAGGAACTGTCTGAAAATGAGATCCCAATGATAGTTATTACGCCCCGTCAATTCTCAGGTTCGTCTATAAAAATGAGCTGCACTCCAACACCCAAGCTCAGTTCGATTTTTGCAAATTTTTCAATCGGATTCACTATGACGTCCTGGAAGTTCAGCCTACTTGTGGCACTGCTCATCCTAACCGAATTTATTCCTTCAAATCAAGCAGTAAGTATCTTCGAAGACAAAAATAGCTGCTGCAAGACTTTGTGTCCTTTTTAGCTAGAGATCAACCCGATGATCTTAAAGCAAGTGAAGAAGCTGCGTTTGCGATGTGTAAATCAAACAGGTGTCTCCGTAGGTAAGTTAAGCTCTTGCAAACGAATTTAAAATTAACCAAAGTTTGCATTTTTTTGAATAAAAGAAATAATGGAGAAGTCCGTAAGGGATCAGATGTTTCCCTATAATGAGAAATTGAACTGCTTTTTACACTGCATGTTTGACATGTTTGGACTGGTTGGTAGCCCTCTTTCTTTAAACTTTATTTCTAGCAATTTAAGATCTTGAATTCCCATAGATTGACACCCAGAATGTAATGCACTTGGAGTCGCTAAAGGAGGTCCTGCCGGAGGAAATACACGACACGATCAACGGTCTAGTCAGCTCCTGCGGCACCAAGAGTAAGTAAAAGGTTGCATTTTTTAAGGTTGGGGTATGGTATTTCATTTTTATTTAGGTTTTTTTTTATTAAAAATGTCGAAATTAACCATACCCCCCACCCAAAATTAAACTATATGATACATTTTAATTTTCTACTCTTTTAACAGAGGGCAAAGATGGCTGTGAAACTGCTTATGAAACAGTCAAGTGCTATATCGATGTCAATAGTCGGTTTATATGGCGTGAGGTTATAGTGCTGCTTGGGTAACTAGCCCAAAACTCACCTGAAGACATCTCGATTCACGATTCCCAGGATAAGCAGACAGCGCAACAGACGCAATGCCTCGATCTGAACACGCACCATGGGGCCCTGCCAAAGCGATTCACATTCACAATAAATTGAGAACCTTTCATATATAATAAATACACCTAAACAAACCTTATTGTCCTGCAGAAACAAGTATTGTTGTAGCCTTGAAATTAAGACTCCCTTGGAAATAATCTTGGCAATGTCCAGATGTTGGCAAGTCAGCACTCGGATGAGTTTTAAAAACAAAGTTTGGGGCTGTCCATAAAACTGATTTTTTCCCAGGGAGGGAGGTAGAAAATGGGTAAAGAGTACTTCCAGGAGATAGATTTCATTGGCCAACTGTCGTGCCACCTTGAGATTGGTCCTTGCGATTCTTATGAGCAGCTTTAAACAGGATTCCACGGTGCTGTTGTCCGGCTTCACAGAGTCTAAGATAAATCTAAATAAAGAAGTTTATTTAAAATAGTTTCCCAAGCGAGAGTGGAAGACTAAGACCCACCTGATCCTTTGCAATATATTTGTTCGCAGCAGGCAATCCATAAGATCTGTCTCGGCCAGTTGGAAGTCATCCATGGACATACGGCTCTCGGACTCATCTTCATCCACCTCGGCGCGCACGCTCTGACTGGTGGTCAGTAGCTTCATGTAGCGCTGCAGAAAGGCAATGGAATCTGGATCGGAATCGCTGGCTTTAGCATCCCCTTGATTACCCAAAACCTGCAGCGTGGGCTGCCAGTGGCAATAGGCGTTATCATGGACATGATCCAGCAGTATCTCATCCGTCTCATTATAGAAAAGATTGGCTAGGGAACGGCTCACAACCTCAAGTTGGGCAGGGGCATTGTCATCCAGGCCAAAGCGCAGTAAAAAGAATATTTTTGAAATGGGCAGGGTTAGGACTTGGTCATAGAATCCCTGATTGTAGATACTAAAGATACCCGCTATGGCACCAAAGGCCGAGATCCTTTGCTGCAAAACAGTAGATCTTTAAAAGTATTAATTAGATTTAGAATTTGATATAATAAAGCTTATAGAATACCTTGCCAATCGAAAGAGTTCTTGGAGCGTATAACCCGGCCTATCGGCTTCCTCGCCATGCAAATAGAGCTCTCGCTCATCTAGCTGCCCTGTTGAGTCCTTATCCTGGAGAGTGTGCGGCAGGAGCACACCCTTCCAATCAAAGCGTGCATCGAACTGCTGACCCGGCTTTAATTCCCGCATCTTGGCTGGAATATCCCGCATCCAGGCCAACTTGTGGTCCTCCACAAGATTGAAATTAACCCAATTACCCTCATCACTTTGTTGCAGCAGCTCCAAAGCTGGGCTTGAGTCGGGAAGGGAGGTAACTGCTGGACTTGATGACTCTGTGGCTTTAGGTGGTTGTGCTGGCGCCTCAATTAGCTGTGGCGCTTTTTTGTTATCAACTGGTTTCTCCTTAGTTTGACGTTTTTTGGTCAGCAAGGCAATCAAAGAGGGATCTGTGAATAAAATTAAATTAATTTCCATAAGAATAATGAAATCCTCTTAGATTTAAAATCATGTTACCCAACGAAGCCAAAAGTTTTTCCCGCTCGGCCAAAATATCCTGTTCACTCATTTGGTTAATCACATTCAGGTTTTCCTCATGTATTTCCTGTGCCATTTTGGACTCTTTTACCAGGGAACTTCTATGAATAACTGGGGAATTTGTCTTGGTTGTTGATTCTCCTGAAGCTTGTGAGTTTGCCTCTAATATTTGCCGGGCAAATATACTGCGGGGTTTTCCTGGGCTGGCCTAAAACCACAATAATTATAATTAATAACTTGAGATCCACGTTTTGGCCACGATTTACTCACTCTTTTGGGTTCTTTGGTTGCTATTGGCCTTCGTACTCCTTCAGGTCTCTCCACAATTTCGCCCAGAACATTTTTAATAGAGCTGGCAATCATTTTACTACTCTTTATATCACCCAGAATGTTCTCCTGGATTTCATCCATTAATATCTTGGCCACATGAGGTCCAACAGCCTCTGGCGGGACACTTGTTGCCTTTACTTTTATTTCTTCGGTTGGAGGAGCCATCTCCTCCTGCTTGTTATCTGAAACCGAGGTAATGCGTCCCAGTTTGGCCTGCTCCCGTCTCTGGGCAAACATTGACTTTTTGGGGGCTACAAAATGGTTAAAAACAATATAAACATAATGAGTGTCATAAAAACATGTTGTTATTTACCTCTGTCGGCACGCACAAAAGCCGCTGCCGGCTGGAAGCCAGGATTTTTAGCTTTTTCGGCATTGAACTCGGCGGACATCCGGAGGATATCCTCCTCACTTTCACCGGGCTTAAGTTTTTTAAACATTTTTGGCCAACAAACAATGAAATAATTTCAAAACAAATGAGAATCGGTGCAGCCAGTGTGACCACTTGCCATTAAGAAAATAATACCAAAGAACAAAATTGGTTGTTTTAGTTTTTAGCGTTAAAAATACCAAAAATATATTAAATATTTTAAATGAAATAATTAAAATTAAGTTTTATTTGTGATAATTTTTATAAGTAGTTTTTTAAACCACAATTCATAAGTAAAAACTTTTTTACTGACACAATAAAATGAACTCAGAAAATAATTAACTTTTAAGAAATACATTTTTTAATGTTTTGCTATTGAAAAATTAATTTATTTAAATATTTTAATCTCATTGTTTAATTTGTATTCAAGTAGAAAAAACGATTTAATAATACATGCATTGACAGATTATTTTCTATGCCCGATTTCCGGGGAATTCCCTACTTTTTGAAAGTGGTGCCTGTGTCGGCAAGGCATTTCTGGAGGGACTGCTGTGCCACGAGAGTGTCTTTGTGGGGAAGAGCAGCCACCTGGAAGAACATCTCAATGCCCTCCTTGAAGAGCTCGATGGCCTCTGGGGTTTTCTGGGCCTCCATGGCCCGGGCAGCCTCCCGATACAGCTCCTCGGTCTTGATCAACCTGACGACACTCTCCTTGAGGGATATATTCTTGCGGCAACGCGGACAGCGAACATCCTTGGCCAAGTCCTTGGGAAACTTTAGCAAGTTTACGCAGTTGGCCGAAGTGCACCTGGGAAAGATGAGGAAATATTTTAACCTTTTCTGGATTTTCTTTTTATATAGAAATACCCACCAAAAGCGGACTTGCTTGTCCAGTTTCTGGAGCAGGGGCCAGTTCTCCTGACAGGCCATGCAATTGCAGCTGAATGAGTAGCGTCCTCGCAAGGATCGCTGGCGCTCCTTGAGATTCATTTGAATGAATATGGGACCATAGTTGACGGCCACCACTTCGTTAGGACGATGCGGCTTGGTGGCCGTTAGGATCAGCTTCTTTCCCACAAAGTGACTGGCAACACTGAAGTCGGGGGTTAAATAAGTTTTAAATGGATTATAGTATAAGGTTATATAAAAATTAAAATTATAAACTAATATGTGAGGTTTTTTAATAAGACCGGAATATTGTTTAAAAAGCTTTCTTAAGCAAAACATTACTTAAAATTTTGGTTTTAAAACGGATTTGAAATCAATTGTTGTCCTTTTAGAAGGAAATTTCCATTGATTTAAAATCCAAAAAATATTTCAAAGACACTCCCGCGCCTAAAGTAAGTTGATTAACAATTTTAAGTTAGGTTCAACACTACGTATACATATTATTACTCATACGTAGTGTGAGCTTCCAAAGGGTGAGATTTAAGCCTTGAAAACTAAAACCTACCTGGGCCAGCACTCGTGATTAAAGTAGGAACCAGTGCCATAGAGTCCTGCAGCCACAAACACCGTCCTGCTGCCATCGAAGCGATGCTCCTCGGTCACCTGGGTCTGATATATTTGATGGGCATTGTACTGGAGCACCTGGAGCAAACCCAACAGAGCCGTGGCCACCTGCAGCTCCACGGCCGTGGGATTCACACCCTCCGTCTTACGCCGACCAAAGTACAGAGCCTTCTGCAGGATTCGCATCAGGAAGCCGGCCATCAAAGACCGCTGAAGATAATCCTCCGGCTGGCGCTCCTCCTCGTGGGCACACAGGTGCTCGAACAACAGATTGGCCGTGGCCAGACCCTCCTCCAGGTTTGGCGCTTGGGTGAAGACACGCAGGGCTATGAAGCAAAGGATGGACATGCCGGAGCCAATCAGGAGATCCATAAACTCGCACTCGAAGCGGTGGTAGCTGGAGCAGGCCTCTCCCATGCACTGGGCAGAGCAGAAGGCAACTCCCGAGCAGTGGAGACAGGAAACCGGCGTGTGCAGCCTGAAATTGTCTAATTTATACCTAATCCTGGCTGTCCCTGTCCTCTGAACTTACCTCTTGAAGCAGTGATGACAGTTTGTGCCAAAGAATGAGGGTATCAGGCAGGCGGCCACCGGCTCCTCACAGAGCACCACATCGCCAGTTGTGAGACCCTCGGCGGCCACTACGAAGCGACCCTTTTCCTTGGTCTCCACTAACTTGACCACCTTGGCCGCTCCACTCAGCTCCGGATTCTCTCCATGCGTCAACTGGGGCACCTGACCTGTGTGGTTCTCTTTGGGGAACGGCTTCACCGCAGCTATTTCCTTGCGACACAGGGCGATGTGTGTGGGATCAGAGCCAGACATTTTCTCGGCTATCTTGAGCGAGATCTCAGCCCGGGCGGGTTCTCCCATAACTAAAAGAATTTTATTTAGTTTTTGTTTCCCATTTGATAAACCCCAATAACCCACCTGCATAAGCCTTGGCCATCTTGCAGTAGTAGTCCACACTAGCCTTCAGATCCAGTCCAAAGTTTGTGGCCAACTTGAGGTCACTGAGAGCAGCCTCTCCCTCGCCCAGCCGGATGAGAATGGAGGCCCTCGATCTGTAGGCCAATGCCAGGGTGAGTCCATCATCGATGGTGGGGTCAGCATTTCGGTCTGGGGCCCGCATCACAGCAAGATTGGCAGCGAGCAGTGCCTGCTGCAGGAGCTCCCTGCTGCTCTCCTCCGCCTCGCTGCCACTCATCAGGAAGAACTTATCCGCCTGGGCACGTCGTTGGGCGGAGAAAAGGGCGTCCTTTTGCTTGAAGACCGGCTGGACATGCTCTAGAACACCCAGAACCGGATCGCACACCTCGCGGTCACTGAAAATGGAAAGCACTCGAGCTGCATTGGACTTGAGCTTGCCGAAGTAGTTGCGCAGCCACTTGTCGCCACATGCCTCGCGCACATCCACGCAGAACTCGTTGAAGAAGCCCTTCTTCTCCGACTGGACGGTCTGCGTGGAGCAGATCTGGTGGTAGGCATCGAACTCCATTTTATCCTGCTCGAATTATGTAAAATCCAATTTAATATTCTGAAAATTTAGTAATTTTCGTCTGCGTTTTTCGATCCGTTGAGTATTGAAAACAGCTGGCGGCGGACGACGATCCTCCAAAAATAGCCACCGGATGGTTCAGTTCGCCGCAATATAAATACTCGCATCGGAATCTTGAACTAGTACCAGGCAGTCATCGGTGTTTACTTTCGATATGTTGGCTCCTGTTTTTTGAAAATTATTTTTTGGGTTTTTTTTTTCTTAAAAAATTGTTCCAAAATTTGATTCAATTGTGAATTTATTTCAGTTGTAATATTCAATTTTATTTGTAACTAGAATCGGGCTTATAAATCACATTAAATAATTTTTTTAAAAATTAGCTAAACGTACAAAAATATAACAATATCCGAGTATTTTCATAGTTATATATTCGTAGTTAAATATTTAAGTGTATATATTCAAGTTTTAAGTTTTAAATTTATTTTAAATTTAAATTTAAGTTTATCAATATATTTCTCATGGACTAGATAGACTTAAGAGAGCCGCTTCTTGGAAAGATCTTCAAACTTAACCCGATTTTAATAATGTTTCGACTGGGAACCTGTGGAAGTGAGAAACAAAAAACTAAAGGAACTTATAAACAAATATCTTGTGTTGTTTGAAAGTTCATTTTAATTAATGTATTTATTTGCTCGAATAATGTTCGCATGATTTTCAGTGATCAACTTCATTTAAATAGGTAAAAAATGGTTCTAAAAATGCTTTACATATTTTAGGATAATGAAAAATCATATTTTAAAGAGTCAGTATCTAAACTAGACGTACAAAAATTCAATTGGCTAATTAAGAATAGGGTACAAATGATACATAGTACATAGTTTTTAAATTCAAAATTATTACAATGTATAAAATAGGATTGAACTTAGGACTGGTCCGGGGTTTAGATTCTCATGATATAAATAAATTATGTGGAGGATGTTTCTCGCTCGTTTCTTCTTGTTTTTTGTTTGTTTGTTTGTTATTTAGCTTTAGTCACAATTAATCTCGTTGGCTTTCTTTTTGCGTTGCGATACGATCTAGGAGAAAATGTTACTAAACTTAACAAATAAAATGCTACAAAATTTCAGCCTCGCCGCCGACAGCTCCGAAGCGTTTCAAGTCGGTATTATAGTAGGTATATATGTATATATGTGTATATTATTAACTATTATCATCACATTGTAAACGTTAAGTGTTTCTCATTATTTTGTGTAATCCATTAATCTATGCAGAAACGAGTTAATCGTCGTGTTTAATGTCTTTTTTTGTGTGCACACAAGCTTAAAACGCTGCCAAATTTGCTGATTTCTCCGATTTCCCTCACTCTGATTTCTGATGGGACAGACTAGGAGCCCGTTCCGCCGTTTTTTTGTTTTTTTGGTATGTGTTTTTAGCACTGCCTACGTACAAATGTAAATAAATTAGCACTTATGAGTTAAGAAATGTGTCGAGGGACTCTTGCTTCCATAACATTTTCTCGCATTTACAAATAAATTAGCCGTAGTATCACTTATTTTGTATTTTAAGAAAATAACCAAACTAATTTAACTATAAATTAAAAAAAAGGATTAACCCAGAACATGGAAGAGGCCTGTTTTTCTTCTTTACTTTACACTTAAGGAAAGCAGCTGCACGAGCAGAGAGAGAGCGGAGAGTGTGGCCCGACTTAGTCTACCTCTACTACTATACAAAATGGAGGAGGAGGAGGAGGAGCACAGCTACAGCCACGGCTTCAGCATCATTGCATCGCCAGCGGCAGCCCGATCCGCCCTGCAGAGCGGGGCCGCTCCAACCAGCGCAATAAGCTTTTCCGCCGAACTGTGTGTTAACCTGATCGGATCGAGATTTGGGACAAGAGCAGAAGACATCTCACGACATCTTGATGCCCAGGGCACGACTCGAGTATTCGTAGACCACGTAACTGATGGACACCGCCGGCAGCACCTTGAGGAAGTTGGGCGTGATGCCGCGATACAGCCCCGTCAGACCCTCCTGTCGCACAATTTTGCGGAACAGTCCCGTCATGGTCTCCTCGCCGCTGTGAGCATCGCTGCTTTTCAGTGGGATTTGCGTCTTCCGCTTTTGATTGGCAATCGTTTCGGCGGCTATAAAGGAAAATGAGAAATGGGTGAATTGAAGTATAGGAAATTTGGGAAACCCAGTAAAAAGTTAGCCTTATTTTTGAGTTAACTCACCTTGTGCCTGTAGCCGAGTGCGCACCAGCGCCAGCGGGTAGGAGCACAGCTGCCCCAGTGCACTTGATGTACTGCCACAAGCCAGAAGCACCAAAAAGCTGGGCTGCTCGTTGTTGTCATGACTGGCAATGTATCGCCGCTTCAGGGTCTCGTATACAGCCAGATCGATGCCGGCATAGGGCAGAATACCAAGAATATTCGGCACATAGCCACGATAGAAACTGCGCGCTCCCTCGTGTTTGTAGATCTTGGCCGCTGCATCAGCAATGCCGGCATACTGTCCCGTCTTGCGTAGCGCCAGTCGCGTCTTTAATACTTCCATGGGATAGATGATGGTCTGGGAAATGCCACCTGCCGCAGCGCCAGCATAGAAACGCTCCACGATGCTCATCTGTCGGCTGGCATCCTCGCCGCGTATCAGACGCTTCATTTGCTCGTAGGCGGCAAATTTCAAAGCCGTTTCGGGGGCAATCTTCAACACATTGATGCCATTGCCACGCCACATGCTCCGCGAACCGCCCTCCTTCAGCATGATTTGCATACACTCTGAGATTCCCATTCTTTGTGTTTGTACCTATAAGGTGGTGAGGTAAAGATATTAAAGAGGGAGTTTTTAGGGAGGTTTTTATATATTTTATACCTGCAAGTACACCTTTATCCTGTCAAGCGGGGCCGTACACGTTCGGGAAACAGCACCGGCTATGCCACCAGCCACCAAGTGTCGCCACCAGAGGCCCGTCTGCATCTCTTTCTGTGTGAAGTCATCAGGTACATTCATATCCTCGCCAATGTCGAGGTACTGCAAGGATCAAAAAGGAGAAGGGTTAGAAGATCTGTTAGATTTGATTTATTTTATAACTATAAAAACATCTAGGCTAATTAGGCTAAGCTAATTAAATGGAATGAGTAGACTACAGAGGAATAATTGTGAGATATGATTAACCTTGAATTGCATTCATTGTTCTACATGAAAGGGGAAAACTATTGAAACTATTGAACTTTTAAAACAATTTCCCCATAATTATAAACCTTTGGCGCCATGATTGGACTCTCCTCTCTCCCAACAATAAGCGCCACGCCACCTAACTGCAGTTGGTGGTGTAATACTAAAATAAAAAAAGATGCAACAGACGCAAGAGTGATGTGATAGCCACAAACACACGCTACCCGCCAATCCTCAAGAGAATTGCGGAAGCGGGCACAAAAAAAGGCGATGTGCGGCAGCCGTAAACAAAGGTTATATCATACACATTAGTTTCGCGGCTCGTGCAACTATATAAATACACTTTCGTATATATCTCAGGTTCGTGCCTCTGGTATATACTTAATTTTCGCGATTTCTATTTTCTTTTTTTTTCAACAGACGTGCCCCCTCTACCCCGCCTCGCAGATAATTGGCTCGGCTCTTGTCTCTCCCCCTGTTGGTTGTGCAATTTCGGCAGCAAATCTCCTTTCAAAACTAACCCAGCCAAGTAAAATATTAATTAATTTGATGAATTGCTCAGCTTTGGGCTTTCGCTGGACGATTTAAAATCGAATTACGGCCGCTGATAGTCTGAAAGCTGTCTGGAAATTGATAACAATTATCAGGTCTTGTGATGTCTAAAGCTTTCAGGCGAGCAAAGAACGTACTGAATCCCAACGATTAAGCGTCGGAGAGTTTTAAGAAAAAGGTTATTACACCTTTCCAACCCCCTGCCAAGGTAAAAGTAGTTAAACGATTTGTTTATCTCTATTCTGCGTAGCAAGATATATCCAGTAAAGCCCGGTAAACACATCCGCTTTTGGGATGTGACAAATCATTTTGCGTATTTGTGAAAATTTTTCTCTTTTGTCGAGGAATGTGAGACTTTAACCTCTGATCATTTGACGGGGGGTCACGTTCCCTGAATGGTTTCAGTGTACTTAGCAGCTTAAAACTGGGCTCAGACCTTTCGTAATTAGCGATTAGCAATCACATGGCAGCCCATTCAGAAATTGTGGGAATTAGTTTGGTCAATTAACAAAATGGAATATTAATCCAAGCGATGGAAATTTTTCACGGAATGTAAATTGCCCGCCGGCAAGTGCACCGTCATTTCCCATGGAATTTATCATTTCCGAATTACTGTATATATAAAAAAAATATATATCTCTACAGTCACATGACTGCGAAAAAAGAGCTTTTTTCATTCTATTTATTTTATATTTATTTTTAGCATAGCCATGAATTTTGGCGCAACAACGTGGAAATGACCGTGAAAGAATCTCTCTCTCTCTCCATTCATCAAAAGCAGGTTAACAAACGATTAAGGGGCGTAGAGTATTATTTATTATAAATATAAATATCTTTAGAATATTGTGTCAAAGTTTCACATCGATCATAGTGAAATTGACAAAGTAATGCGTAGTTTAACAATAGTCTTTTGGTGTTAATTGTATCACAACGTTTAAAGCGCTCTCCTGAAAAGTCCAATTTTAAAAGTCGGTGTTCATGATAACTCAAAATCTGCTAGAGCAATTGGTTTAAAATATATAACTAATTCTACAGGTGGTCACATGTGCTTTTTTAAAATGTTTTATTTTATTATATTTTTTAGTTAACAAGTTGCCTTAATTTTTAATCAAAACTAGGCGTTTTTGACTTTCCGGGCTTGGGGTTTACCCATCCATGAATGACTTTTACTGATCATGAGCACTCGGCTTATAACATACCAACTTCAAGGCAAGCATGCTTGAATGGTCAATCAACCAAACGAGATATGAAGGCAAACGGGGCCAAGGGAGTTACACTGGAAATAGGGGGTTTCCAAGGTACATATGTACATATATACTTTTGGATATCAGAGTGGATCACCCACCGACCAATGAACTTGACTCATCGCCAGCAGAATTTGCTGCCGCGATCTTGACTGGGGTTAAATCCCCGACGAACAACGACGTCAGCAAGTTTCGAGTAAACAGCGCAACAGTGTAATGTAAATATCAACAAGTTTATAAAGAGAGCAAAGAGAGAAACTGTTGACGTCACGGCAATTGTGGGGGCTTGACCAAGTGGCCCAAAGTGAGGCAGGGGGCAATGCGGAGGAGGAGGTCACATGGTGCTGACTCAGTGCGTATACTTGATACACTCTGACGCCGTAACACACATACGCAGTGTTGGCCAAGAGCAAAAGTCAAGACGCTTGGCAACAAATTCAAGACAAGAAAACTACAAGACAGAGAGAGAGAGAGAGAGAGCACAAAGAGCACCACGCGTAGCGCAAATCTTTGGCCACAGTGTGCGTTAAGTATGTCGTCTTCGCCGATCACCGAACCAAAGACCGAGTGCGGTGAGGACGGGGACCGGTTCCCTATCAGCACGTCACCCGTCGGAGCTCGTTTTAGCCCGTCGCCACCGCTGTTGCTAGGCGGCTTTTTTGTGCTCTGTTCATGGGGCAACTTTAAAATCGACAAAACCAAACCGCGACGAAGGCGCACATAATGAAATATTGTGTAAGTACAAGTGCAGAGCAAGCACAAATGTAACAGCTGCGAAGTACAAAAAGCTGCCATTTCGAAGGGTATTTATAGAAGAAAAGAGATCAGGGAAGTGAATACCCATTGCAGACTTTAATCTCAAAACCTTAAACAATTATTTCTTTAGCTAGAACAACAATTAAAGCAAAATAATATTGATTTTTCTGTGTTATTGGGTCTTAATCGCTTGAAACAATGTGCCCTGCCCCCATGGAGATCCCCATTGAACAAGTTCTCGGTAAAACCACAGACGATAAGATAAGCCTAGCGCTAATAATTAACCAATGAGTCAGCATCCGCTGCAACTGTATAGTATTGACTGGTTCCTGGAACCCTAAAGAAGCCATAAAGGCAGCATGAAACCTACCCGTCCCATCATATCACGGAATATGATCACAAAATCCTCCATCATGTCGCCAGCGACTGCCATCTGCTGGATGTTGTGGTAATCAACTGGCAGATTGTACTGATATGTGCTATTCCGCAGCATTTTGTCCAGATTATTGCACTGTTGCACTTCTTCCGATTTCAAACTATGATTTCCGTTTCCGCTAATTTTGGCGCCGGAATGTGGTGGCTTTCACTGGGCCCGTTCGTTCGGGAAACAATTGCAAACTTTCACTCGAAACCGTTACAAAATATGTGCACGGCTCGCTATTGGCTTTTCAGTATATATTTTCCTTCTTTTTAAAATGTGATTTGTTGGTTTGTCTGCGCTCTCGATGCTGTGTCTGTTGTGGCCTTTAAACGCGACTAGACTTTGGCCGATTCGCTTGATTGCAATTGGTGTTTACACTTGTCGCATAAAGAGAACGGCGCTCGGGCTTAATTATATAACTACGCTCCAGTGTGGAGGAGGCGCTTTTATTTGGGGGCCTAGAGGGGTTACGACGCGCGCACAACCAACGCGGGAGCCAGCTGACAGAAGACTGAATCCGGGCCAGCAAGAGGCCAGAGTCAAGAGCTGAGAGACGAGAGCCGACGTGAGCGTCTGCCGCCGATCGCCGAGGCCGAAGCTTCGCGATACCGCGTCGCGAGCAAAGTGCACCCATTAGTGCCTGTCGCTCTCCCTCTCTCTCTCTTTTTCTATATATGGCATTATAGCTTGCCTCCCTGGCCCCCTTTTCGCCTCCCTTTAGGTGGGCTCGCGCGTGTCGGCCTCTGAACAACCCCTACCCAAGAAACTATACCCGCCACCGCCACCCAGACTCGGCTTCTTCCCAATTAGCTATCATCATTGTTTTGACTTTTTTTTGTCACGAATTCCCCAATAGATTTTCCCCGACTTTTCATATGCCCATGCCCTTCAACTTTTTGGACAGCCGTCGAAATAATAACAATAGGGACGTTTGGTTGCAAGGGGTCGAAGGATTAATACCCTATAACGGATTTATATCAGCTACATTTTAAGGAGGTTGTGACACCCTGGGAGCTCCAAAATGTGTTAAAACATAACTATACAATTGTTCTTAAAGAATTTCTACGGGTTTAAAAACAAATGTAATGGAAAACGTTCCCATAAAAGTCCCTATATCGTTTCTTGTGATTCCCAAGTGTGTTTTCAGGGAATTTAATGAAAAAATAGAGGCACTTTTTCCTTTTTACCTTTTTTTTCCTGTCGAGTTGAAAGAATCGAATAATTCCTCCTTTTAAAAATGGTTATTAACAAAACTATTTAATTACGATAATTTCAGTCCATGGGTCCCAGAAATTGTTGGCATTTATTTATTATATGAAAATATAGTTTTGTTTATATATTTTGAGAAATTTTTTTCTATAAAAAGGTAGCAAATTTTTGTTATTTTCAAGTCGAAAGAAATTTCTCACTTAAATCCCGGCATACCCCTTTTTATCCACTAAAAAAATGGGTAACAAAACTAGCTAATAAATGATAACTTCAGTCAATGGGCCAGACACTTTTGGCATTTATTTGGCTGTTATTGTTGAGACGTTTCGAATCTTTATCACAGAGCAATTTTTCGCCTGCCAAACCGGATTGCACCGATTTCGCACCATCTCAAGGGTTTGCCACCCAGCGAACGAGCGCGTTGATAACCACATGACGGGCGTGTGACTTTATTAGCTTCTCACCCGAATGACGCTCTCTCTCAACCAGCGGTGTGATCTTTATTGTGTTTACCACCGGTGGAAACTTTTCCCCCACATTACCACCATTACCAGGCATACGTCACACGTGTCGGGGAGAACTTCGCGCTAGTGTCGTCAACAGAAAACACATTCCAAAAAATTCAAATAAAAAATAGGCAAAATAGAAATGGCACAGTGTTATCAAAAAAAAGTTTCATTGGAATAACAAGCTAGTCACTGGAAACTGAGCTCTGACCACACAGAGATAAGCGAAAAAAAGTCTCAGGGATAACCGCAGGCAGACAGACACACCCATTTCTAGGGGCAGGCCCCTCCTGGCGTGAGAGAGATGTGTGTGATACCTTAACAAGCTGGAATTAATTTATGATACCCAATAAATGCATGTGGTTAGCTCAATTCAATTGCCTATTTAACGAGCCCCCTTTGGCATTAAATTGCCACTTGACGCAACACCGAAATGTCAGTGATAAACCACAATTCCACGAAGCACTTGCATTATATGATCACACGAAAGCCAGTTAACCCTCTAAGCCCCAAGCGAAGAAATATTAAAAAAAACGAAGTGTAATTATATTTTTTGGGGTAAATGGTAGCTTTTAATTTTAAAAATGACCTCAAAAAGTGTGTACTAACTGTAGTTTACCTGTAAATCGAACAGGGGTAAATAAGATAAATCACTGCTACAACGCACTATTTCTATAAAATTGCAAATATGCAACTTGATTTGGATTATTTAATATCTTACCTTCTAGAACAATAATTTTTATTTGGCTGATTTTGAAGATATTTCACTTTTATTGATAGACAAAAAAACACTATATGAAGCACACAAAAATTTTTGCGCGCGAATGCATGATGCATGTAAACAACACGAAAAAAGTCCTGTTATAAAGCTTCAGAGAGCTTTGAAACCTTCTACTCATAAGTTCACATGTTTTTTGTGAATTGACTAGTGTAATTAAAAAATTTAAAAGGCTCCCCGTTTTTTAGATAATACAAATTATATAATAAGTGCCTTGAGGCACTCTTGGGTCTTAGAGGGTTAAGCATCATCAATCCATCTATGTAACAAATATAGTTGTCCAAGTCCCGACTTGAGTTTACACAACGGTGTTTATACTGTATTTTTAACTGCAATGTTTACTTTCAATCCCGAGTTCTATTCTGACTGCTTCTCGAAAAAGTGTGGCTACAGTTACAACTTCTAGACGCCGGACTTTGGCCAAGAGTGATTGCAGGGCGCGTATTTCGCGTAAATATTTTTTGCAAATAACTAACAAACAAATAAGCAACAAAGCAAGTGTACTAGGTCTTATCGTCGCTTTCAATCTCTTGACGAATCAATCATCGTATTGGAGGCAACTTAATTATAGTGCCAACTTAATTAAAGCCCAGTTAGTTAGTGCGCAGGCTTCGCCTTCATTAGGTTAATGCAAGAAGGTGGCTCTATTCCAGACCTGTGTCTAAAAATAGCGCAAGTAAGGAACGGTACCTGACTTTCTGGTTGCCAGCCACTTAAAAGTACGTCAGAGGCAATGAACCGGCTTCGCCATATAAAATCTTGGCCTGGCAACAATCCCCCTGGAGCCGGTTGACCTTAAGATTTCAACTCTGCAGGCAGACGCCAGAAAACAAAGCAGCAAAAATATCAAAATTGAAAGTCCCAAGACTACTACTGATAATCGGAAATCATAAAAAGTTGTTTCAGTTGCTGAGAGGAATTCCTCGAAATGTAGTATGTAGTATACACATTCGTTTTATGTGATTTTCCAGTTACATGAAATTGATATAAATTGTTAAAATTAACAGTGACAGAGCAAAAGATGATAAAAGTAAACAAAATGATTACGCAGACAACAAAGCATGCACGGTGGCATCGTCACCTGCCCCGATGGCACACAGCAAGAAATCTAACCAAATGAATCTAGATGATAACTTTTTAAATGTAAGCATTATAAGGAAAATTAAAAAAAAAGGAAAGTGAAAGTGAAAGAAAGAGGCTCTACAGGTATTTCTTCTCTGACTAAGTACCCTTTTTTATACCCTAGCAGGGTATTCTAATCTTAGTTAAAAGCTTAAAAAACAATAAAGGAATAAGCGCAACGCTCATTCATAAATTTCTGCTGAGTTGGTTCGCATCATATCATTTTTTTTCTCTCTGTGCAATGAGAAATGCTGGATCTTTATGAATACTAAAAAATTATCCCGATAAGAGGGTTGGGATGATGATATCAAACAGCGGACTTCCCATAAAATGATACTTTAAACTGTCTGATGAAATACGCTTAACGTTTACGTCAGCCCCCGACTAAGAGAGCGACTAAGAGAGCAGGAAAAGCTCTCACTCTTAAGTGCTTAATTTCACTCTCTCTGGCAAAGAGATAACCACAACAACGAAAATGATATACATGCAGGCAATACAATATATACGGCTGATTAGCGGATAGCAAATGGTTCTGAGATGATAAAGCCTTTCTAGGTGGGTGGGATGGGTGTGTTCGTTTGTACGTTTGTGTGTTTCTGAGAGTGCCCTGCAACTACGTGAGGGTCTACAGCAATATTAATGGTAATCGTAATATGTAACTTGACGGATATGTACCTTCAGATCTTCCTCAGTTAGTCAGGAGTAGTGTGGGTGTAGGTACTACATTCGACAGTATAGATCGTATGTGGAGTGTGGAGTGGTTTTTGTTTTTTTTTTAATTTTGTTTCGTTTGGTTATGGACGAGGATAAGAGGGGAAAAGTTTGGCAATTAGTTTAAAAAATACGAGAACGTTAAACAGCTACAAAAACAGGAACAAGACGGCTCTAGGTAAAAAACGAACGCGGCAGACGGAAAAAGCTACATCAGATCTGCTTGTAAAACTCTACTACACTATTCCTACTTAAGCTCTAGTAGCTTCAGATACTCACAGTAGAGTGCCGCCAAAATTTAATCAAGTCGTGTATATCCGTTGAGGGCGCCAGGAGCATAAAGTCGCGCCACTCGTTAAAGCTAATGTTCAGGCTGCCGTCCTTATCCATTCTGCAAAAGGAGTTTATCCAAAGTTAGGCAATTTTAATGCAACTTTTTGGACATAATTCTAACCTGGTCAGCAAATTCCTAGCCTCGTCCAAGTCAATCTCCAGGCCCAGGTCCTTGAAAGCGGAAATCAGTTCCTCCAAGTCCACTTTGCCTGCAAATAATTTCATATTTAATAAATCTTTTACTGATTAATAGCTTTGGCCTTAACTCACCATCACGGTTTTTGTCTAGATGTGAGAACTGCAGGACCAGGTTCTTCTCGTGCTCCCGCACATAATGCAGGAACTCGGCAAATCCCACATTGCCACTTTGATCCTTGTCCGATTGCTGAAGGAATTTCTGTGGAAGTAAAATTAGGAAGGAATATTACTGAACCGGAATATTACTGGAAAATTAGTGTCACACACTGGCGAGGTTAACGCGAAATGAGGCTTTGCCAGACTGTCATTAAGACACAAATCAATTTCCCGTATCACGAGGGCTTCGCTCAGGGGAAACCATAGCAAATCTACGCTGTTGTCTGCACATTAACCCTTTGTATTACCACCTAATCCATTTCTGATTGCCTTTTTTTCTAATGGTAGAAAATACTTGTTGCTTGCCATTTCACAATCTGATGTTTTTGGTTTGCTTATAAGATAAATTTCTACTCTTTTTTAGACAAAAATAATAAAAAATATTAACTTATCAGAAATATCGTAAACTTGATATATAAATATTCAAAATATCAAAGATTATATTTAAAAAATATCTGATCAAATAAACCTTTAAAAAAATATATATATCAATTTAATATCAAAAATATCATACAACTTGATATATGGATATTCAAAATATTGCAGAATATCTTTTAAAAATGAATAATATAAAATAAATATATCGATTATTGTCCCGATATATGAAACCGATTATCGATTTCTAATATAAAACTATTTTTAAGCCTCAATTATCGATATAGGAACGATATGTACATATTTTCTGCCATCCCTAGACTGATCTATTAATAAACTAAGGAATACAACGGAAAGAACAAATATTTATTCTATATAAGAAACAAAAAAAAAAAAAAAAAAAAATTACAATAAAAAAAACAATAAGTAAACCTATTATAACCCCAATGATAGCATTAATCATCAGTTATACATTATAAATAAAAATGTCTTTTTGTACTTTTTTTTCTCAGAAAATAAAATGTTCCCTGCTTTAATTATTCGCTTCCTGACAAACCCTAGCATTCAGCATAGATTTAAAGGGTTAATTTGGTTAGACCTTGCAAAAAGGCTTGCCCAGATCAGGGGACATTTCTAATAATGTACATCGAATAAATTAAGATTCACCGAGATACAAAACACGGCTGTCAAGGCCGCATATTATTGATCTCTGTTGTTTTCGCCTTTTCGCTCTCTAAAGAATGGCCGAACAAAAGCATTGCAATTCCCCCGACAGAATGGCGAGACCCGGGCAAGCACATGTGTCCAACTTATGGTAGGTATAGAGAATCAGAACCCCTTGCTCACCTCCGCATAGACGCTCGACAGGCCAAACTCGTGCAGGGCCGCCGACAGGTCGTGGATGTCGATCCTTCCGTCACCGTCGCGATCCAGCTGCTTGAAGATGCGCTCGAGCCGCTCCTCGTCCTCGATGGGTATCTCCACGGGCAGGATGGCGCCAGAGTTGGCGACCGTGTTCGTCGGCGGCGGCACAGCGTGATGGTTGTACGGCATGTTGGCGAGGTGCGCATGCTGCAGGCTAAAGTTTCTGGAGCTACCGGGAGCGTGCTCATAGCTGGTGGCAAGGGTGCGGGCGGTGGCGTACGTGGCCTGCGCCTGTTGGGCGTAGTTGTAGCTACTACTCGGTTCCAAGTCCAAGTCGATATGCTGCTGCTGCGGCTGCTCCTGCTGCTGCTGGTATTCCTGCTTCTGATCCTGCTGCTGCTTTTGATCCTGCTGCTGACTTACTGCTAGGGATGCGTTGTGTTCGATTCCAACTTGCTTTCTGACCATTCTCCAGACTCGTGTTTCCTGCGTGAACTTTGAGTTTTTGCAAACAGTAAAAAGCAGCTAAGGATTTGTCTGGGTTTGCTCTGTTTTTCTAGAGGGAATTTCTCGCTCTCGCGTACTTGGTCAGGGTCTCAAATGGGGGGGGGAGCTGCTTCTATGGCCGGCACATTGTGGTCAGCTCTGGGAATTACCTGGAAAGAGAGTCGCCTGGCGACGGGATGGGATTGTTTAGAGTTTTCATTAGTTTAATGTTTACACAGCCGCCAGGCGTCTGGGGAAAAAAAGACGATAAACAAGCGGCGTGCGGTATCGGATTTCAGACTGATGAAGTCATCAGAATTGGTCAGCTGGCCAAAGGTGCAAGATTTGGAGGAGAAAGAAAATAGGTGCCATGTGCCAAGTGCAGCCATTGATTTTCTCTGCTGGAAATCTGAAGGCCAACAGAGCGCATTTCCGGAAAACCTTGAAAACTCGGCAGCAGCAGCAGCAGCTTCACGCACACGCACATGTCTCCAAAGGGAAGGAACAGGGGAAAGCGGCGGAGGGTGGGGGGGGAATGGGAGATTTTCCCAGCCAACTCGAACTTTCTATTTGGCCAAACCCAGCTCGCAACGTCCAATTCTCTGCACTTTTACGCACTTTCTAGCTGCCTCTTGGCCTTTCTCAGCGTTTCTCCAAGCGGCTGTGACTCAAATTTCTCAGGAATTTTCAAATTTCTGCCAAATTGGCAAAAAAAAAAAAAAATTATTCTGCAGTTCTGCACTCACACACACGCACACTCTCACACGCATGAGAGAAATTTGGATAAAAAGAAAGACATCTCTGGCCTTCAAGCAGAACCCACACCTTATTTGGCCAATTACCTATTGAGTGGCCTATTGTTCAGTTCGTCACGGAGGATTTCAGTTTTATGATTTAAATTACGGCGAAAATATATATCTTTAATTTTTTGCAAACCGCGTCGAGACCTTCTCAAAATCAGTGTGGCCAGAAGAAAGTTTGGCTTTTCCCTACAAAATACCAAAAAGTTTCAATTTCTCCCTAAAAAATCCAACCACATCTGAGACTCAAACCACGCCTGATATGTTAAAGGCGATAGTATCGGCACGTTGAGCGCGCAGAAAATATATTTCAAAAATTTTAAAGGCAATAGAGGGAAAATACTTTTAGTACATATCGTTGTATATTTTACTAATTTAATAAGAAGAAAAATCCAAAAATGAATTATTATTAATATTAATTATTATTTTGTTTATTTTTATGGATTCAAGCTAAAACATCTCATAATTATATAATTATAATATTGTTGTTTTTCAAAGATAAGTCCATGTAACAAGCAACAAGCATAATTAATACTGACTAAAAGGTGTAAAAATTCACATATATTCGTGGTTTTTTAAGGTTTTATCCTATATTTATTTTTTACGAATATAAATATTTGATTAAAAGAGTAAATACAAAATTTGTAGAATCATTTCAAGTTAAAAAACGCTCTCATACCTCTATTTTCTCCAAGCTTAAAATGTGGTCTCAACTCCATAAACTACCTACAAGTCATTGCTATGTGTTAAAGTCAAGCTTTGAATTGCAATTATTAATATATATATTAACTTATGACTTTAGGAAATTGCGTTTCAGCGGAACCACATTAAAAATCGGAAATAGTTGCTTGTCAACTTGTATTTAATGTTCATAGCCGCGTTGTTTTATGATAAATGTGGTCTTTATGGGAGCGCAAATGCGTATCGGAACTGAAAACTTAAGTAACCATTTATTAGGCATTTTATTGATTAATAAAATCCCAGCAAACTAATGCGGTCTGAGGTTTAAAAAGGTTTGCCACATATAAACCACGCTTTTGTATATTTAGCCCCAATTTAGAACAGCTTTATAAAAACCCAACGGAAACACGATATTTGGAGGCACATAAAAACTAATGTTGAGGTACAAATTGGCCAGAACAGCCCCAGTTGGCCATTCCCCAGCAATTACCCTACCTGGTATTTATGACAATGGGTCCGCGAGTGCAGCTCAAGAGCAGCGACATTGTCTTGTGCAATTAACAATTAACCATTTTCCATTTTTAGCTTGACGCAATTTTTGGCGACCGCAAGCAAAAGGTAAAGGCAAACCCATAAAGCCCCTAAAAAGTAGCCAAACAATATTTATTTTGAACAGGTGCGCTGCTGGTGACAAACAAAATGCGTCTTGGGCAAAGATAAACTGATAGACTTCCCAGGTCCATGTTATTACGCACTCGTGCTTCCCCCTCATCGATGCCCTAAAGCGGAGCAGATGATAAATTATGTTCTGTAAATCCCCAAAAGTGATATGCAAATTTCGCGCAACATTTTCCATTTTCGGTTTGGGGCAGAATTTACAACTAGATAATGTGGGGATGTTAGAGGTTCATTTTCGAAACAATAATTAAGTCGTGCTGCCGCCGAGTTTCTTCGTCGTTAATTATGGCTAAGACCAAAATCATAAAAGCCACGAAAAATCCGGTGGGCTTTGATTTCGACAAAAAAGGTTTCCTCCATCAGCTCAGCTTTGCCCCATCCATCCGCTCGTCTCACCGAAATTGCGAATTGTTTCGTCTGCTTCGCTGTGAGCCATGTAATGTGTTTATTAAAAATTATATTGTGGTGTTTTGCCATTGAGAGCCGGCAGCGGCGGCACATCTTTATGGCCACCAGCTGATGTGGAGCAATTGGATGGGGCTTGGGAGTGGGACTGCGCCTGGGACTGGGGCATCTCCGGGCATCTCCAAACCCGTTATGCCAGGGAAACGAAAACGAAAAAGAGTTAAAATAAAATGTTTAAAAATAAAAAAATTAAATGCGTGCCAGCGATGAGTGAGCACATTACATCGCGCACTTGGCAAAGCGAGTACGGTTATTACCAACTTACCAACATAACAAATGTGTTTAAAATGTGGCCAGTCCGGTGTGGAGTAGGTCAATCCGTTGGCTCTGGTCAGGGACAATCTCGGTGGAAGGTTATATCGCTGCAATCGGGGGAATAACCGGGTTGTGATGACAGGAAACGGGAGCGCCCAGCTTACACGGAAGTCTCAGAGGACCCCAACGTCTTCCTAATTGAAATTGGACTTAATGGATTTTATAGCCTTGATGATGTTAAGGCGAATTCATTTTAAAAAGCTTGCCTAATCTGGCTTAATTTAATTTAAGGACTTGTAATAAATTTAAGGTCACGATCACACTAAATAAAAACAATGATATTTAAAGCTTTTTGAGTGAATTTTTGAGTGAATAAGAGCTGAAGTGGCTTTAGCATATTATTCAATTAAATTTTACGAAATTGTTGTATCCCAATAGCTCCTAATTTTTTCACGAAAACCTTGAACTTTTCTAGGGCACAATCCTGTTTTGAAACACTCATAAAATGAGATTTTCTTGGCACATCCCATGACTCCGCTTGCCAATGACCTTCGGTGGGCTATCAATAAACCGATTTGTCATTGAGACGGGCCTCATAACGAGATCAACATTAATTATCATCGAACAAAGGCATTTTCACACTGCAGTTTTAATGGTTGTTTAGCACTTTGGGCGTGCCACCACTTCCAACATCAAACTCCAAGTCGAAATCAAAATCCGAGTCCCCACTTCTCGCCCACGGGCAAACGGAAACAAATCATTAGATTTGCATGCGATCAATGCGGGTCACTTTACAGACAGACAGACCTACGCCCTGTGCATTGGGAAATGCCGAAATGTCCGATTGTCCACATTCCCAAAGTCACAAAGCCCGGCCAACGTCATGGCCCTGACTATGAAGGGCCAACGCATTTCCCAGCCGTAAACTGCAATCCGCAGTGGAATGGAAATGATAGCCGGAGAGCTAAGCAAATATCGCCATCGGTTGCCACGGGGGGACAGATCATTAGGTGTTTGGCTATTAGCAAATGGCGACAGCATCATTACCATCGGGGAGATTGCATTTTCAAGGTTTCGAGGCGGCCATTCTCGCCTCAGTGCCACCTGGAATCGTCGTCACTCACTCACTGCTCGGCGCCGGACCATGAAAATGCAAATATTTTTTTTGTTGCTGCGCCCTGATCAATGTTTTTCAATAAACCTAATGAGTGAAATAGGCATGAAAAGGCAAAAAATACAGAGGCACAGACCTGTATGTAACTACACCTGGCGAGAGTGGGGAGAGATGGCGGGAGAAAAGCCGAAAATGAACCGACAGCGAACCTGATTTACAGCCACTGATGACGACTGGCCAGCTGACCAACTGACTGAATGACTTCCATTGCCCAACGACAACAACAACAGCAGCAGCAGCAGCAGCTCTGGGATGCTTTATGGCTACCTTTGATGACTGGGAGCTGGGAGCAGGCAGCAGGCTCTCCTCTCCTCTCAGCCTGGCCAAAAGGTTCGTGTACTTCGTACTTTCGGTTTCGGTTTCGACTGCCTCAGAGTCCAAAAACTTGTTCCATGCAGCGAACTCATCGGAAAAAGCAGTCAGAGTACACAGAAAAAAATATTTAGAGAAAGCTAAGGAAATTGCTAGCCATTTAAAAACAATCACAAATTGGGGACAATAAGTATGATATAAAAATAGAACTAGATTTTCTGAAAATGTAATTATAATAGCAAATTATTTTTTATAAACAAATCCTGTATTTTAAATAATTATTTAAATGTAATAAATAAAAGTAAACAAGACGTATACTTAATTTTTCACATACATATTTCTTATTTTTAAAAACTTTAAAAGGGATTTTAAAGTACTTTAAATAATTAAAAAAAAATATGTTGTAAAAACAAATTCTTTATTTTAAATAATTTATTTAAATGTAAAAAATTAAACAAGGCGTATACTTAATATCTCATATAAAAATATTTATTGCTTATTTTTAAAGACGTTTTTAGGGAATGTCAAAACTTCAAATCTTGATTTAATTGCTAAAAAATAAATATTATTTAAACTAATTAATAATTTAATTTTAATAAATAATTTAACTTTAATACATTTTCTTAACGTGCAACAGCATCGAGCCGAGCCGATCAGATTGCATTCGAATCCCGCTCTGCCAAGCTAGCCATTATATAATCCAGTTAATTTCTTTAACAATTTTTGTTTCTCCGCCGTTGTTCGGTTTTCGTTTTTCGGTTTTCGGTTTTCAGTTTTTGGTTTTCGTTGTTTTGCTAAACGCTAACTCTCCAGCCAGCGTCATTCGTTGTTTGGATACCGCGCTGTGTGGAAGTCCATTTCAATCGGCGCGTTGTCTCTCGAAGATCGTTTGATCATATATCGCCAGGGTAACAGCATCATCATCCATTGAAAGAGCGCTCTTTCTAAAAGGATTGCAAAACGGGCGTTTGGCATTGCTCATACGCAGCGTGTGACGACGGGTTGTGCAAAAGAGACAAAAAGGATTCAAACCCAGGGTGTAAGTGTGTGCCAATTATGTGTGTGTAAATGTGAATAAATTACGCGAAGATATGTAAACATTTAAGAAATAATAAGTATTAAACCAGGATAAAGGAAGGATAAGGCAAACAACACATGAGATAAATATAGCAAACGCAAAATTAAATTAAAAATAAATTAAAATAATATGTAAAAAACAAATTTAAATGAAATATAAATTAAAATAATTTAGTAAACACAAATTTAAATGAAAAATAAATTTATTGAATATAGTAAACACAAATTAAAATGAAAAATAAATTCATATATTAAGCTGGTTTACTTTAAAACAAATTTAGAAATTATCAACTTTCAAATCTTTTTTTTAATTAATAAAGTTTCAAGTTTCTAAATCCATAAGCCACTTTAAAAAATATTATTGAAAACATTTATCCTCAGATAAAAATTGAGTAATTTCTACGAGATCAAAGTAACAAATATTTGAATTAAACCCCCAACATTCATGATTATTTACATTCCAAACTCCTGAGTCAATTTTGAATCAAGCAACCACAGATTTCAATCATAAAGTAATAACAATTTGAAAGCGATTAACCCTTATCCAAAATCAACTTGACTTGAAGTAGAAGCAATCAATTCGGCAGCCAAATCAATCTGTGCAGAGAATATGAGCCCGCTGAAATTACCAAATAAGCCACGATTGCACCGCCTGTTGCATTATTGGCCAGTTAGCCAGCCGCTGTACACAAAAGCCACGCAATCCTCAGCCGCAGCAACGAGCTCCCAATGAAAATGTTGAAACTGCAGGCGGGAGAGCTAGACCTGGAGCTGGAGCTGGGAGCTGCAACTGGGAGAGTGAAAGAGAGGAGGGATCCAGCTGGGGTTGCCCAATGACATTTTGAAATCGCATTTCCAGTTGTTTACAGGGAAAACCGAGACAGCAAGAAAATTGAAAAGCCAGGCGGCAGCAAGCTGAAAGCCGAAAGCTGAAAGCTGAAAGCCATCAATGTCCCAAAAACGGAATCAATTAAATGGCACAGAGTTCGCAAAGTCGTTGCCGCATATGCAAATGTGGTGTCATGGGAAAACGGAACTCGAATGTCGGAATTATCGGGGTCTTGAGCTGAAACAAAGGGCAATCCAAGCGATCGGATCACAAATTGTGTGCAAATATTGGGACTGAGCTGAGCTGATAATGATCGCAGTTTGTTTACTTGGGGCAATGGTGGCACCAATGTGGATTATGCAACCCACCAGCCACCGAAGTCTGGCCAACAAAGGAACGCTTTCTTGTGAACCCAGCGCACTGGACTCTGAGCTCCAGCTAATTATTACCACTATTTTCCATAACCAATTTGTGACCCGCTTTCGGCCAACAGTTTTTGAACTTGAACCAATTCGCAGTTCGCCTTTTTTTAGCCGTCTTTTGTATTTGGCCATAATGCCATTTGTCGGTTTATGGATCTCTTAGTCGCTGTGCCACAACAAAGAGCCCCAGCTCTGAATGAGCCGCGCACAGGCGAGAAAATAATTTATACGTTTTTTCCATTTCGTCGGTTTCGGGGTTTCGCTGAAAATGTATTGTCCATTTGCATTTTGGTCTCGGCGTTATGTTTTAACAAATACAGAGCGCTCGTTTCTTGTGAGTTTTAATTAGCAAATATTTGCAAATTACAACGATGCGTGATCCGGCGGCGTTTGCCTTGAGATCGATGGGACCTTGAACTAATTTCTATGGGAAGTCCATTAATAAATGCTTATGGATCCTCATTAAAGTGCAGAATAGGCCCACCAAAAGCAAATGCAAAAGGGTTTCTTAACAAAATAATTAATTAGATAAATGGGAATAGTAATAGTACCCTGGTTTTCTTTTAAAATTTTAATTTGATGAAGAAACACAACCTTCTTGAAGATTTGTATATTTTATTTATATTTTTTTGACCCTTTTTTTCAATGTATTTTTTAAGATATTTAATATTAGAGTTCATGAACTTATTATACATTATTTCCAATAGATTTTGTATTGTACTTTTAAAGATATTTAATCTTAAAATTCATTAACTTTATTATTTTCAAGATATCTCGTTTAAGACCTCTTGATATAATATCCAATGAATTGCAAGAAATCTTTTGTGTGGATCTTTTGACTTTGGAGAATCAAGGGGAATTACCAGACTGAAGTTGAATCATTTTATTAATATTTAAATATCTACAAAAGCTGGGGATTTTCGGAAAACTTGAACAGCTACAAAGTTAAACAAATAACAAGCCTAAATAAAAATACAAATTATTTTGAGCAACCCATATTCTTATTAAATATATTCTATTCTATCTAAAATTTAAAACTTTAGGGCTAAGAACAATACCTCAACTTTTGTAATAATTAAATACAAATTAAATTAATTAATAACTATACGTTTTGTTTCTCCCACAGCTTCAACGATCCATGCCCAGCGCTTAATCGCATCAGCAGCATCCAGAGATGAAGGAAACCAAGTTAGTCCAAGATCAGGGAGATGGCTCCCTGCCGGAGTCCCTGCTCAAGATTGCCAAGCGGGAGCTGCGCGAGGATCGTTGCACACGGGAGCAAAGCCTGGAGCAGCTGCGCAACTGGGTGGCCAAGAACGAGGATCTGCAGAATGTGCGCTGCGACGACACCTTCCTGTTGCGCTTCCTACGCGCCAAGAAGTTCAGTGTTCCCATGGCGGAGCAGACCCTGCTCAAGTACCTCAACATCCGACGCACATTCCCGCACATGAGCACTCAGCTGGACTACCTGGAGCCGCGTCTGGGCGACCTCATTGACCAGGGTTACATCTTTGCAGTGCCCCAGCGGGACAAGCACGGACGCCGCGTGGTGGTCATCAATGCCAAGGGCCTCAATCCGAAGATCCACACCAGCTGTGACCAGGCCAAGGCGCACTTCCTCACGTACGAATGCCTGATGGAGGACCAGGAGACACAGATCACCGGCCTGACGCATGTCGGTGACTTCTCCGGCGTGTCGACAGCGCACGTGACCAACTGGAATCCCACGGAGTTTGCCCGCATTTTCAAGTGGGGCGAACAGTCGCTGCCCATGCGCCACAAGGAGATTCACCTCATCAACGTTCCCTCTACGCTCAAATGGCTCATCGACTTTGTAAAGAACCGTGTCAGCTCCAAGATGAAAAACCGCTTGATCATCTACGGCAGCGAGAAGGAGCTGATGAAGGGCGTCGACCAGGCATGCCTGCCCTTGGAGATGGGCGGCACTGTGCCCATGCGCGATATGATCGAGCTGTGGAAGCAGGAGCTGGCCGCCAAGCGGGATCTGGTGCTGGGGCTGGACAAGAGTGTCCTGCTCTCTGACCGCGGTATCCAGCGGAGGAGCAGCTTCAATGCAGAGAAGGCCAGCAATGGTGGACCCAACTTTGTGTCACAGATCGAGTCCATCGAGGGCAGTTTTCGGAAGCTGGAGTTCGATTAGCTCTCACCCGCTGTAGCTTTAGTTCTTAGTCCGTAGTTTTAGGCATCAATCCATCCAGTTAACCCAATGCGCAACGCTTCGCAGGTCCCCCGATTCAGGCCAGAGATCCGTAGCCAGATCCCGGGGATCCCACGCTTCGCTTCTCGGTGGCACTTGCTTTACTCATCCTGCGCTTCTTTGTAATTCAGTTTGTTCGTTTGGCGTACAATAAACGAGAGGAATAGTTTGGAACCTTCTATCTAGTCGAGTCTCTTAATCTCACTTGGTTCTCCGGCGTCCCGCATAGCGCGGCCAGTGCTCTAGCTCCCGCTGCACTGCTTCAGCATTGGTATCAAGCACATAGAGCTGATAGTCGGCCTGTAGTCTCCGTCGCTTCAAGGATTCCAGGATCAAGGCCTGGGCCGTTCTTAACTGGCAGTTGCTGGGTGGCCTGCGACTAAAGTCGCCCACAAAGGCCATCACCAGGGAGCTATTCTGTGGCAGATCTCCTGGGTAACTGCTCTCGTAACCCCATCCTCGTGCCTCGAATGTCTGACAGTCGCCCGTGATCAGAAAGTTATAAGGCAGCTCTTCTTCACGGGATTGCTAGAAAAGGACCGGTTTTAAAATGGCTTTGATTTTGGCAGGAGGGAACTCACTCACCTGCAACCTTTGCAGCAGTTGTGGGCAATCTTCCAGGCATCCGTCGCTGGCCGTGTGGGTAAAGAATACGGTGGCAACTCTTCGGGGATCCAGCAGAGTTCCGCGGTTTTTCAGATCCATATCCGACCATATATCATGCTCGATGAGACTGAGCCGATAGCCAAAGTCCGGCACTTGAGCTGCAAGCAATGAGGAGAAGTGATTCAGCTAATAAAATGTCTTTGTTGCTTCATTAAATGGGAAAATATGAAAAGTGAATCATTTAAAGGCAACTGCGGTCTGTATAAATATGGGAAAAATAATTCTGAAAAGTTTTTCATTTGAAAAATTATAAAATGAAAACAGAATTCGTTCCAGAAAACCCTTTATCATGTTTTGAAATCAAGTCACTTGGGTTCTAAGAATAAAATACAATATAAACTTTATTTGTTGAAAGGCAATACACATAAATATGGGTTTCTGTTTGTTTGACTACACTTTTAAATTAATTAATTATTACTTAATTATTATCTTATTATTTATAAATCATCAAACCTAGTGAGTCTCGTGATACTTGGACATTCTCCAAAGTGCCCCTCGATCATTGACCACTTCCGCCTGTGCTCACATGCTCACACTCATGCTGCTCTTATCATAACTCGCTTAGCTTGCTCGAATTTATTTAAACAATAACGACCATCAGCTGGAAAACTCACTTTGTCGCCAGAGCAAATACACGGCCAATCCCAGGGAGGAGGCACACATGAGCAGCAGTCCCACGGATCGCCAATTGAGGCAGTCTTTTGTCAGACTTGAGCTGGTGGAGGAGGAGGAGGAGGACGAGATGGTGGCTGCCAGCAGCGGAGTGGTTTCGCTGACATCGCACTCCTCGTGGATCTGGACATTGATATCCTCGATGGAGCTGAAGCTGCCATAAGAGGTCTTGGAGACGGAGTCGTCATCGGCGTCCGGCGAGGGGCTGCGTCGCGAGGCTGCCGTCGGGAAATATAGAGCAAACAACACATGTTAGCCAAGATAAAAAAGTGCAAATGATTAGCCAGGCGGCACAGTTTGTCCCGGCTGGTCTGGTCTTGGTTCTCATAGTACTTGTTGATGGCGCGCAGACTGTGAGCGCTTACGAACATCTTGGCAGTCAATCCCGATCTCTGGGATAACCAAAGAGATGCCCGTCTGGGGCCAAGGCTTTATCTAATCGACGCACCTTGTTATCTAGTCGGGGTCTGGCTTACCCATTCGCACGGCTATGTGGCTGGAGTCCATGACTGATCTACGGAGTGGGTCAATCGGATTGTTACTGGATCGCACTGGAAAGCACCACCCGATCGATTTGATGCGTTGCCAGCGGCCTGCATAAAGCGACTGAGCCGAGAACAAGGGGAAAAAAGAGAGCCAGATCGCCCGCATGACGTGCGCAACATTGTCATAAATCCGATCCCAGTAATGCTCTCTTATCACATTCTCTTTGCCCAAAGACGGAATTTACACATTTGCATTGCGTTTATTTTTCTTTCCCCCTTCGCTTTCTGATATTTGTATCTTCAACTAGACTCTAAATAACAATCATAAATGGGATTTCTATTATACACAGAAGTTGACGTTTGCTTAATTTACAGTGCTAGCCAGCTCCGGGAACAGTGACTAGACCCTGCTCCACCTTAGGACTAATGCAGGCCATCATCGAACCGTAATAAGTTAGGAGAACATGCAGGACACACACTGACATGGACGCGGGACGACGGAAGCTGGGACTCGTAACCATTTAAAAAACTTCACAAGACAGAAGTAAGCTAAAATCGTTCGAAAATCGTTTGAAAATCGAAATTCTTATAGAAATGCATTCGCTTAGTGCCTATAATCTAAACTTATTACGTATGACGCTTCCGCTTTCGCTTCCTCTTCGGCTGCAGCTGCCATTCTCGGGTTTTGGATTGCATGAATTGCTTGGATATTGGACTGCCAGGCCTCCTACTTGTATGACCGCCAGATTTGCCAGGCGCATAGGGCTGCCGAAAGGAAGGTGACGCCGCGATGCAAGTATTTGGTTTTGCAGTTGGGCGAGTAGCCCAGGATCACAGGCGAGGAGACATCCGTCAGAGGCAGCTGCTCCAGCACGGTCTCATTGTTCTCCACCTGGAAAGGAATAGCTGTTGATTAGGATGCATGTACGAAGAAGCACTCTCTTCACCTGATATTGACAACAAGGATCATAATTCCAGGAAACCGTGTAGAGGCCGCTGCAGAACAGCGACAACGCGCAGGCGGGTGCCGCAATGACAGGACGATCGCGCCACAGCAGGCTGGCCACCAGGGACACCACGCCAGTGGCCACAGCTGTCTTGTGCAGGCAATTGCCCACCCAAATCCAGCGCCCTAAACGAAGAAAGGAATCCAGAATTAAGCACTATATAAGAGCGAATTAAAGCTGATAATCCTCACCGGTTTCATCGCCCAGACGCGGCGGCTCGATTATGATAAAGTCCACCTTCTTCTCCAGCGCCTTGTCCAGCTCGGCCTCGAACCGTTCGTGGGCATTGGAGCTGTCGTACACCTCCCGGATGACATGGAAAGTCGGCACTTTACTCGTGCTGGAAAGGTCAAAGATTTGGGGACATCAATCACTGCTCAGGCCTTTATCTCTGCTGGAGCAGTCAGTCCAAGGTTAAGGTCAAGCTGGAGATTATGCCGCACTGCAGTTGGGGCCGTCACAGAAGCCATTGTCCGGCGCAGAAGATAAATAAATCAAATTGCATAACCGGGAAAGGTGCACGCCAAGATCCGGAGCTCCACTGATGTAGACCAGAGCTCGAGGGCGTTGCATAATCTCACACAGCCAAGTAGGCGGTTAGAATTTTCCGTAATATTTACCTTTCTATATTTCTGCTAACCATTTTGCTAATAATTTTTTTTTTTTTTTGTTAATAAACTCAGTGTGGCCACGCTTGAAGCGCCAAATCAATACCACTTTGGTATTAGTTAGTATATACTAAAATATTTGAATTATATCGTAAGTGTAGTAATCCTGAGATCTGGTCCCACGGACATTGATTGTGTGTTTCAATTTTCTATAGTTTTCTCGGGCTAAAGAGCATTTTAAGTTGTTTTGATCATGTAATATTTAGGTTTATTACAAAAATATTACAGTTATTTTCAGACATTTAAATAATTAGCATTTTCAACCTTGCCATCTCTAGCTTACGATATTCCAAATTACGATCAAAAGCAAATAAATTTCAGGGATTAATCAAGTTTTTATGATTAAATCGACCAACTTTAGTAATTCTAACTAACTAATACTAGTTAGTTCTGGCTTTTTGAACACTTATTAGCAGATAATCTCATCTCACCGGCGTCTTATTGTCGCCAGGGGAGTCTGGCATTTCGCCCCTTGTCCGATATGGTCTCACTGCGCACACACTCATTGAAATTGGAAAATTGAAAATGGAAAAGCATCGCTTACCGCTCCCAGAATTGCACGACGATAAACACAGGCACAAGCAGCAAATACAGACCCAAGCCAGCAAGCACAATGGCGAGAACAGCAACCGCTTCCGGCCGCCGAAGAACAAGCGTTACAGGTGCTTCCTACCGGCAGACAACAACAATCTAAACCGCAGCCAGTCGCTGGGATCCTGCAGCGCCAACAGTTCACAGATCGCCCACGCCATCTCCTTCCGGGGCCCGGAGTGTCCCGATGCCAGCATTCTGCCATCCTCGCCCGCATCCGCCGATTGGAGTGACCGAAGCCACTTTGAGCAGTGCTTCCAGCGGCTGGCCAAGCTGGGCGAAGGCTCCTTCGGCGAAGTCTTCCAGGTGCGCGATCGTTCCGATGGCCGACTGTACGCCGTAAAGATCTCCAAACAACTGTTCCGCGGCGAACAGTACAGGGCCGAGCGGCTGGAGGAGGTTCGCCGCTACGAGGAGTTCTCCGGTCACGAGAACTGTATCCGCTTCATTCGCGCCTGGGAACAGTACGACCGGCTTTTCATGCAAATGGAACTGTGCCGCGAGAGTCTGGAGCAGTATCTGCTGCGTTGCCAGCGGATACCCGAGGAGCGTATCTGGCACATCCTGCTGGACCTGCTACGTGGCTTGAAGTCTCTGCACGACCGTAATCTCATTCACCTGGACATTAAGCTGGATAATGTGCTGATTGGCGAGGATGACGAGACCTGTAAACTGGCAGACTTTGGGCTGGTCTTTGATTTGGACAGGTCCAACAGCCGGCATGCCACCGAAGGTGACTCTCGCTACATGGCGCCGGAGATCCTGCAGGGCCACTTCTCCAAGGCGGCGGATATCTTTAGTTTGGGCATTGCAATGCTGGAGCTGGCCTGCTACATGGATCTGCCAGCCAATGGGCCGCTGTGGCACGAATTGCGGCAGGGCATCCTGCCCGAGGAGTTCATTAACAGTGAGTGTGTATGCAAGGCGATCTTTATTTCAGCTTTTAATATTGTCCTTTTTTTTTGTAGAGATATCCTTGGAACTGCAGACAGTGATCAAGTCCATGATGATGCCGGATCCAATGCAGAGGCCCACGGCAGATCAACTGCTCTTGCATCCCAGGCTGCAGCGCATGCAGCAGAAGCGCCAGTCTTTGATGACCCTTGGTCAGCTGGTAGGATATCCTTATGTGCATGGATTAAACTTCCCTTAAACTCATTGTCCTTCATTTTTGCAGTCTCGAAGTATTCGTCGATCCCGTCGAAAGGTCTGGGGTAAAATGTGCAATTGGAAGACCACTGCCTTCCGTTATCTCTTCTACTTTTTGGAGGTCCTGCATCTGTACAAGCCCATCGCCCCGCCGAAACCCAGTATCAATATAGCCCCGTCTTCGCCAACGCCCACATCAAAGCCAAGAGTCCCCCCAGGTGAACTTACGCTGGTGGGCTCCACGCCCATTGCCAATCGCGATTGCTTTGCCTCGCATTTCCTATCCGGCGAGGACCCCCTCGAGCTGTCCCAGCACGGCACCCCGTCAGCCATCAACTCCACGCCGTTGAACCACAACAAATCCCGACTCGAATTGCAAAAGAAGAAGTAAGTAGCTTAGCTTTAGCAGTCCAAGTAACTAGCTTATGACATCCTATCTTTCAGTATGGATTCACTGGACAAGAGTGTCCAAATGGCGGACTTTGAGAGTCCGACTTTCCGCCCGTCGTCGCCCAAGATTCTGGACACCTCCTCCTTCCGCCGCAAGAAACTATTTGCGTTGGACTACGATGATGAGTGAACGAAAGCATCGCGAGATGGAACAATATATCAGTTACGGAACAAATACCAGATACATATGGCAACCGAATATATCGTTATAAATATAGTTTAGATATAGACGTTAGCGTTGTACGAAGTTCCCCTAGAAATAGTCTTACAATTGTGTAATGTTAATGCTTCTTTAGAAGAACTTGTTGAACTTGAACTTATAATCATGTGATATATATACGAAATGCGATTTGAAATGTTAAAAATCATAGAATACAGGTAATTGAAATTACATTTCATTTGATTATTGTTTGGAATATACTAAATATTACAAATATATTACAAAAATATAATATAAAAATGATGTTGGGAAATCTGAAGTTTTAATTGGAATTTTGAAATTAAATTTAATTCAATTGATTGAATTTTACAAATTCGAAAAAAATATATACATAAATAATCATTCGGGAAATCTGTACTTCCCCTCTTGCCCCACTTGGAGATTTTTTTATGTAATGAGCATTTGAAATAACATTAATTTTGATAAATGATTGGATGATACAAATTAAAAATATCTTTAAAAAATATAATTTAAAAGTATGGCATTCAGTTCGACATGGTAAAAGTGTGGTTTCTTCAACGAAACAGCAAACGGCCACACTATACCCGCACATGTTGCTGGTAAACAAATCCCAAAACTTCAAATAATCCAAAATGACTAGAAAAAAGGCTGCCAAGCAGAAAACTGAAGTCGTATTTGACGACAAGAAGCGCATGTAAGTGGGTCAGTCCAGATACAGCCAAATTACTAACTCCCCCATCCCCAACACCCCCCAGAGAGTTCCTCACTGGCTTCCGGAAGCGAAAAAACGAGCGACGATCCCGGGCCAAGGCGGATCTGGAGAAAAACCTTAAGGAGGAGCGCAAACGTATCCGTCAAGAGGTGAAAGATGGCTTCAAGCACCTCAAGAAGTCGTACGAGCCACTGCGCGAGCTCACCGAAGACGACAAAAAGGAGGAGGGCCAGCAGGAGACCTACGAGGACGAGGAGGTTCAGGTTAAGATCGTAGAGTTAACTACCAATGACCTGGCGGCGCAGCGCAACATGCTGGGCGCCAACACAGCCGAGGACAGCGAAGCCGATGAAGAGGAGCAGGCGGCGAGCGAGGACGAGGACACAACACGGCCCGACAGGATACCCGGCATGGACTTCGATCCCAGTGCCCGCAAACGCAAGAAACAGGCAGAGGAAGACGCTGATGAGCCAAAGCCCAAAAAGACTAATCCCACGACCGAGGCAGACATCAAGAGCAAAAAGGACCTAGATCGCATTATGAAAACCAAGACGCTGAAGAAGATGCACAAGAGCAAGGTGTTTAAGCAAAAGGAGCGACTGGACAAAAAGGTCAACCAGAAGAAGGCCAAGCGGGATCGCAATAACACCATCAAGGCCGTGCCCAAGCACCAGCGGAAGCGCCTCAAGTTTGGCAAGGAGCAGCAAAAGTATCGCAAGGGCAGGATGATCAACAAGAAGGAACTGCGGCGCAAACGGGGCGGGGGCGACTAAGTGTAGCATCAGTAGTTATCGTTGTAGTTTGTTTAACGGTTTATTTACTATTACTCTAGAGTGTGTGGATCAAATAAACTGTTTAATTCCTGGCTTGTACAATAATTTTTCTAAACACGCCGCAGCGCCGGTCGTTCGCTCACATCATATATCCACAGTACATATATATCATATACATCGAGCATGCTTTATTTTTGCGGGTTAACATATTGGCAATTGGCTGCTTTTCGCCGCTTTTCCGTAAAATTCTATAAATAAAAGGTGGTTGCTAAAACTACAATAAATTTTGTTGTTTTTCCATGGGGTCCTCTAGGTCTAGGCTTGAATTCTATGTACAAAGGGTTTTTTCCGGGTTTTAGTTTTTTTAGTTGAGTCTTACAAATAAAATGGGTTGCTTTATTTTCATGTTGCGCTGTGTTTTTAGCGGGGTAACATTTTTTTAAAATGATACATTTAGAGGGGCAAGTAGGGGGAACACCCTCCTGGCGTGGCCTCTCGTAATCCTTTCCCACTATTTTTCTCTTACAGCTTAATCATAGGCTTAGGGTCTAAGCGGGGATATTATGTGGTAGTGTTGGGTTTGGGGGCAACAGTTATGCTCTAGCTTATAGCTTACTTGTTTCTAAGCCTAGTTCCTACTCCTAATATGTTCATAAGCAGTTAAAAAACGGTTACAAAACTCTTGCGAAATTGAAATCCCATAACAAATGCACATGCCGCAGTCGCTGGTCCAAATCCAAGACGTCTATCCTTATCCAGTTAGGATTGCTGCTGCTGCTGTTGGTGTCCCGTTGGATGCTGGCGTCGGGTGAAGCCACCGCCGGCGGCCAGGTGACGCTGCAGGGCTCGCTGTTGGAACTTGGCGCTGCCCTGTCCCCCAAAGCGATTGAACTTGAACTTGTGGCGCTGCTGGAAGTTCTGGCGAAAGTTTTGGTTGTAAGAACGCGGAAAGCCACCGCCACCTCCGCCATTCTTGTGCCATCTCTTCTGGCCCTCGTACTCCTGGAATGGATTGTAGCCGGGCGTGCTGTTGCTGCTATTGCTGCCCTTGGCCGATCCTCCAGACTTGACTTTTCGCTGCCGTCCGCGATCCATTTCGTTCTCTTCGTCATCGTCCTGGTCCCGCTGCCGCTGCTCCCGCGCCTCCACAAGTAGCTAAAGAATATAAAATATACAACAATTAAACTCGAGTTTGGACCTAGGCGCAAGTTTATGCAAATGAGGTGGTGGCACAGCGCAAGGGCGGGGGAATGCATATTATTTGGTACGAAAATGGGTGAGTGGCTTACGGTTTACGGTTCACGGTGACACGGTTATCTGGCTGGCAAAACGGTAACACAGCTCGGCTGAATTAATGGCGCATCAATCAAGCGGTGGAAAATCGAAAGAACACGGCCGGCCAGCAGTCAAATCTTAAGGCTTCTATTGGCGGATTACCTAGCCATTTCTCCCTCTCGCAATGACTTTTGCAACTCCTTCTTTTTACACTCTTAACGCTTGGCGAACGGCGTCCAGGGGACGGGAACCCTCTCAACGGACGTAATCACAGACTATTCGTAATCGTATCGTTTCTATTGTGGGGACTGCAAAAAAGCGACATGCCTTCACTAATGCCATTGCCTCCTACCGGCCGTCCTTGAGACGATCCGGTTCGAGTGCGTCCACTACTGCTGCTCCTGCATCTGCTATTGTGGCCGAGTCTTCACCACCACCACTGGCCATGTTGTTGACTGCCGCCGAGCTCTTCTCCGCGACGATATCGCTGCCATCCACACTGCCGTGACCAGCTATCCGTTCCGCACAAACCAACTCAAAAGGCTAAATGAATGGGGGATAATGTGGAAATAAATGCAAATTACAAACAAGTTAAGTTTTAGTAAATCAATTCATCACGCATTTCATGCAGTTATTAAAGCGAGTGAGAGATCAGAGGGGTTTTAGAGGAAAATAAAAAGAAAGTAGTTGTTTAGCCAAGAAAGAACAAAGACAGACAAAGAACTAAAATGTTAGTGGCAAGTCTAGACAGTACAATAGTTAAAATAATATTTACTCGCTTGTAAAAAAGTTATTCTAAATAAAAACCCTTTGCCATGTTTAGATATTAGTGCCTTAATCTAAGGTTAAAGGAAGCTCATAAAACTCTAGGTGTAACCCTGGTTCCACTCTTCAACTAACCTCTTTCTCCAGCTCCGCGGGCTTGCCGTTCCAGCTGAGCACCGAGGAGCCGTATCCCCGATGCGTTTGCTTCAGCAGCTCGTTAATCGTGCCGCCATTCGCTGTGGCCTCGCTTTGGTATCCATTTCCTATCCTCGCCATGGGCTGCTGCGTCTTAAGTGCGCTCCCGTTGAGCAGCTTCTGACGCTTTGCTCCAGGCGTTACTGGCGAGTCTGCTGCGGAGGGTTTGCTGCTGGCGAACGGATTCCGATGGCTCTTGGTCGGAGACTGGATTTGGGCTGCCTCCTCCTTATCATCATCTTCATCATCATCGTTATCATCATCATCATTGCGGGTTATCTTCCAGATGCCCGTTTTCGACTTGATGACCGCCGGCGAAGGCGGCGTCTTAGGCGATGGCGGCGCTCTGTTTTGTGACTGGGATTTCTTTTGCGGATGCCAGCCGTTGGTGAGCTGGCTGCTCGGCAACGCTACTGCCGCCGCCTCCTCATCATCCCCATCGTCGTCGTCTTCGCTGTCAGCGGACCTGTGCTTGCTCAAGCTCTTGAAGATCTCGTCGATGGCGTCAGTCTTTTGTTTGCTGCTGTTAACGTGAACCGATAACGCCGCCACCGCCGAGCAGCCATTGGTGAGACCAGTGCCCGTGCCATTGGTCTTGTTGTGACCATTGACCGGCGGCCCCGATACCGATCCCGATTCCGGCTCTGAATCACTCGAATCGCAGTCACTTCGTCGCTTGCGAGGCAGTGGGGTATCCTCCTCCTCCGAAGCTGATTCGTAGGGCACTAGGCTCTTGAGGGGCGTTTTGACGGGGCTAATCTTCACTTGGACCTTCACCGGCGTCTTTGGTTTCTCCGGGCTATCCTCCATCATTTTGGGCATGCTCGGCAACTGGGCTGATGACCGACTGGCCTTGCTTTCATCCTCGCTGTCGTCGTCATCGTCAGAGGATATTGGCAGGTAGTGTTGCTGATTTATTGATTTGTGGTTGCTGCTGCTGCTGGTGGTGGTGTTGGTGAAGGAGGAACTTTTGTTACCATTTGCAGTGGAAGCTGCTGTAGCAGCTTCGTTTTTAATGTGTACGGCAGCCAGTGGAGACTTTGCAGAGTCTTGAAACTTTCCGGTAGCCAGCTGGAGACCGTTCTGGTGCTGCTTGAACTGAATAGCCGTTTTCTGTGCATTCTGACCATTGCTATATCCATTGATACCGCCAGGCGGAAGCTGGGGGCCAATAAAGCGGGTGGGCGAGGAGGATACAGTAGCTGGCACTGGCAGCGGACTGTGGCCATTGACGAGACGCAAGCCATTTCCCCGACCGGCCACCGACGGACTGGAGACCTGCGAGAGGTCCAGTTCGTAGAACATAATATAGGCATTCGTGTTGCACACGCTCTGCATGGCAATGGGCCGCACATAGCTGTCATCGAAGTTGTAATAGCTGCCTGCCTCCGTGGAGCCGATGGCTGTGTAGTGACCACAGTGCTGCGACACCCCCAAATGGGTGACCATCGAGACGAGGCGGTATGTAAGCGGTTGGGCTTGTGCCGCCGCTGAACGTGCAGCGAATTTGCTCAGATCGATACGTGGCTTAAAGGTGATTTGCTTGGTTAGCTTGTTGCCCATCATGGAGAAGCGCTTCAGCTGGATGCACAGTGTGATAGGTGCCCTCTCCAAGGTGAATTGCTTGGTGGCCGATACCTGGAACAGATGTGCTTATGTGAATAAAGCCAAATCACATTATTTAAACGCTTGACTCACCTTCTTCTTGCATCCCTCGCACTTGTAGCCCATATCCTCGAGTCGCTCACGCGAAAAGTGACCCTCGAAGGCCTCCTCCAGCGTGTCTGCCTTGCGTATATCGAGGAGCAGATCCTGGAAGTGCTGGAACGTGATGGACACGTGATTGCAGCTAAGGCAGCGAACCTCGCTGCGTAGGTAGCCGCCAAAGATCTGCCCCAGCGGCGTGGTCTCCTTCACCAGCTGGTCCAGCTCCTTGTAGTTGCGGAAGCGCATCAGGTAGGCCCGTTCCATGGCCTCTACAAGGAAGCGAAGGAACTCATGTGCATCCTCCTGCCGACCGACGACCATGTGCTTGCAAATTTGCTTCAGCTTTGAATAGATGTGAAAAGGCCGCACAGCAGACTGATTGCCCTGGGTTGCCTGGAGCGTCTTGGCCATGGCGCAAACGATGCAACAGCCGCCAGACTCGGCCACCATACAGTTATCCACATGGGCCTGCTCCGATACTAGCCAATTGGCCAGCGCCGGAATGTGGAGGAGCGCCTGCAGCGTCGAGTTGAGGTAGCAGGTGTTGCCCACATTGATCATGCCAGAACCGACCTGCCACTTGCGCTCCGATTGCTTCCATCCGATGCGAATGTTCTCGCGCGGATATAGGACACGCTTCGGTTTAGGCAGTTCGTTGGGATTTGGATTCGCAGTCGCAGTCGCATTTGGATGGGCATGTGGTCCGTTGTTGTGGCTGTGATTGGAGTGCTCCTTGCGAGTACACCCGCCGTTGGTACTGTCTGTGAATGGAGAGAAATGATGGAAGGCCAGGATGAGCACGTGCCGCAGAAAGTGGATGCAGGGCGCGAGGAGCAGTTTGTAGAGCAGCCACAGGGCGAACCCGTCCACAATTATCACAGTCATAATGCATTGAGTGTGGAGACCGTTCTCCGTTCCTAGATTTTCTCGCTCGCTCCTCGCTATGTGTGCTGTGCTTGGCTACTAAAATAAAACCAGCTAGCACTGCTCGCTGTGGAAACTGCTGACACACACTCGCACACACACAAACAGAGCCTCACCTGTGTGTGTCTGATAACAGCGACAGAGGGAGCGAGCGAGATGGCGAGTGGCAAGAAGAGAAGTAGCAAAACAAGGCAGACAATGCGCCGACGCAGTCTGTATGGCCGTCCCGCTCGCACCTATGGCACATGGGGCAGCAGAGTGTTGCCAACTGAATTTTTGGCGCGACCTAACAGTGGTTGTTGTAGGCGCTTCAATTCCAGCTCCCTTTTGTAATTGTTTTCGAGGCATTGACCAGACCAGACCGACCACATCTTGTTACAGCATCCATCGCCTTGTCTTGGCTTTGTCTCGTGTGTGTCCACTTCCTGCTCCGCCGGCCGCGACTGTGGGTGTGAATCACGCCTGCAATCGCCTTGCCTTTTGTTTTCCCTCCTCACGCCCCCATTCACACGCAGCTCAAGAAGATTGCGACGCATTTACCGAATATAAAAGAAAATAAAAAGGGAAAAAACAAAGCTCATAAAATACCGCTGGCGCAATACCCCTGTGGCCATGTGTGCGGCGAAAAGAGACGGAACTATGAGGGGGGCCTCGTGCTTTTTGTCTTTTGCCGCCGAAGCAGCGGCAGCACGTTTTTTTTCCGCCACTGTGTTCTGTGTTTCCAAACTTCTGTGAATCAGAACTTGAAAGTTGTTGTTGCCACCTCTCTCCTCTCCAGCTCACTCTTTACGAGTTGTACTTGTTTTGCTTTTTCGTGTTCCTTTGCATTCTGTTTACACGTACACCACCCAAGCGCAATTACTCGTACTCACACACGCACGAAAAGTACAGGTATGCTGCTAACGCCGACTGCGCTGCTGCTGTCGGCATACTGCAGGCGGACAAGAAAAAAAATTTAATGTTTGGCGGAAAAACAACACACGTGATTTTTGGAAATTTGAACAACAAAAAAATAACAGGCATCAGCATAAGGCACATGTAAAATTTTGCGAATACAGCATTGCGACACAAAGAAGAAACACACAACAAGACGGAGGCGAAGAAAATTAACTTTTGCTACAGCAACCTCTCTCTGCAGTTCCTACTTCTTCTCCTTTTCTGTCTCTTCTCCTTCTCTTCTTCTTGAATACTCACCATGTCCATTTGCGCCCACAACTTTGCCAGCATTGTTTTTGTTGGGGCTGCCGAAGCCGTTGCAGTTGGTGGCGCCGGGATTGCTTGGCTTGATGACAATGTACTTCGATTTGAGGTTCTCCAGCACCGATTCGTGGTAGTTTGGCACCTCCTCATACTCGACTTTAGCCATCAAAATGCGCTTAGCACTTGCTGCAATGTGGCTCTGAAGATTGCCGGAATCGTCGCCGGTTTTGGCCTCGTCAGCAGCAGCCGCCGCCCTGGCCGCTCCGCCGCCGCTCCCGACGCCGACAGAAACGCCGAGCGATTCTCGCAGGGCGGCATTGACGACATTCGCCGTTTCGCACACGGCCACCGACACGGGCATGGCGATGCTCCTGCTGCCGCTGGTGGCGGGGATTTGTGGTGGAATCTTGGTGGGTGGGGGTGTTGGCGCCGCTGATTGAGGATATGGAGGTTGGCCGTGGCCGTTCCGCTGGCTGCTGTCCTAGCTAGCTGCTGGGCATTGGCGATCCGATCAGATTCGCTCCTTCTGCACCGCCCGCGACCGCGACACGTCCTTCACACGCCGTTCGTTGCCCGCGTTCACTCTCCTGGCTCTCTCTCTCTCTCTGCCTTTGCCCCTCGCTTTGCACACCGACTGTGTTCGCGGACCGACACACGCACGCACACTAACGCACACGGAAACACTCTTTTTCTGGCTCTATCGACGGCTCCAGAGTGCGATTTGTTGGCAATATGAACATAACTGTAGGCGCCTTAACGAATTAAATCAATCCGAATTATTTTCGGCTGCTGAGAGAACACATTTTGTAACGAAAAGATGGCTTTCAAAAATAATGACGATTCCTTCCCTCGTGTTTCTTCCGACTGCGGATTCTCTTTTCTCCCATATTCGTCGTTTGGGGATGCCAACTGGCGGCAAATGCGCAGTGACGCGCTAGGCAAAGTAGCATTGCGAAATGTGCTAGCGCGTTTTACAAACACTGGTGGAATTAAAAAAATATTTTATATTTTACATGGAAAATTCAAACGATTTTTTCTACTGCCAATAACAACAAAAATATATTTAAAAACTTTGAAGTTTTTTTTTCTACAAAATTTTAGGCGGATAGGTGGACATGGCTAATCGATGTAAATACTTTATAGGGTCGGAAATGACTCCCTTTACTGCGTTGCAAACTGCTGTAAAAAAAAAAGAATAATTTAATCTACAAGAAATTATACTTAGGTAACTTAATTAATTGAAAATAATTAATTAAAAATTTAGAAATAAAAAAAAATTATTGGTATATTTGAAAAAATCATATCCGAATTCGCAACCGTTTTAAACGATATCGAATCGTATTGTATGTATCGTATGTATTTTTAGTATTTTCTTTTTTGCAGCCCTTTGATACCATGTTAAACCAATTGTTGAATTAGAATTTAATTGGAAATCAGTCGAGAAATATGGCCTCCACGGGACTCCTGGTCGTGTCCAATATCAAGCACCTGGGCAAGTCCCTTCGTGCCATTGAGAAATACGTGAATTCCCTGTACATCCACCTGAATGTGACGGCGGGGTCAACGTCCACTCCGCCGCCTCCGGTTTGGGGTCGCCTTATTTCTCAGCTGTACGCAAACAGCAGCAGTTACGTGGGCAACCAGTTGGACCTGCGAGTGCTGGTGTCGCCCCTCCGACCCGGAGCCTGTGGAGCCCCCAAGCTTCGTCAGCCCGTGGACCTTCTGTTTTCAGATGCCCACCACCCGGAGCTATGCGAGCGCCTGCGGGCAGACCTTAACATTAGCAAGCCCACCATCTTTCTAGAGGACACGGCCAGCTCGGATCTGAGCACTCACGAGGACACCGCGCAGACTCCTAAAGTGTATCCCTCGGTTGTCCTGGGTGGAACCTTTGACCGCATTCACCTGGGGCACAAGATATTCCTTACGCAGGCGGTCTTGCGCGCCTGCAAGCGACTGGTGGTGGGCGTGACGACCGCTGCCATGACGAAGGGTAAGCACTGGATGATGAGTCGGCAAAAGATTCTTATCTTAATGGCCTTTGCTATCGCTGCTGTCTGCAGGCAAGACGCTGCCGGACTTGATTTTGCCCGTGGAGGAGCGTATTGCTCGGCTGCGGGAGTTCCTCACGGACATCGACGGCACGCTGCAGTACGAGATTGTGCCCATCGATGATCCCTTTGGACCCACTCAGGTGGATCCCGACCTGGATATGATTGTGGTTAGTGCGGAAACCCTGCGAGGCGGTCAAAAGGTTAACGAAATACGGCAGGCGAAAAATCTAGGGCAACTGGAGATCTTCGTGATTGACATTGTCGAGAGCAATGTGCACGACGGCATCCACGAGACGAAGGTCAGCTCGAGTAACACCCGCATCGACCTGCTTGGCAGCCGCTGGCGTAGACCCGAGCAGCGGCCTCACCTTCCAACGCATCCCCACATCATCGGACTAACAGGCGGCATTGCCTCGGGCAAAAGCAAGATGGCCGAGAGACTGGGCTCCATGGGCGCCAAGGTAATCGACTGCGACAAGGTGGCCCACGATGTCTACGAGCCGGGACAGGTGTGCTATGAGCGGATAGTGAAACATTTCGGAGTTTCCATCCTGTCGCCTGACGGCCGCATTGATCGTACCAAGCTGGGGCCCCTGGTCTTTGCCGATCCCAAGGAACTGCAGGCTTTAAACGGCATCGTCTGGCCGGAACTCATTGCGGAGGTCAACCGAAGACTAGATGTCCTGCGTTCCCAAACTGAGGTGCCGCGCGTGGTGGTCCTGGAGGCGGCGATACTACTGCGCGCCGGCTGGGAGACCAACTGTCACGAGGTGTGGTCTATGATTGTGCCGCCCGAGGAGGCCGTACGTCGGATCATCGAGCGCAACAACCTCAGCGAGGAGGAGGCCAGGAAGCGGCTGGCCAGCCAGGTGCCCAACCCGGAGATCGTGGCCAAGAGTCATGTGATATTCAGCTCGCAGTGGGATCATGACTTTACCCAGAAGCAGGCGGAGAAAGCCTGGAAAATGCTCACCATGGAACTGGAGGCGTCGCAGAGCAGTCGCCTCTAGAGCGGATCGATATTCCAATTGTTGAACCTTTTTTGTATAATTCTTTATGTATTTTTGTTGTACATTGCTTAGTTTTAAGTCGAAAGTTGAAGAGAAGATTGCTGGGACAACGCTGAAATTTTCATGGGAAACGGCCTTGGGTATTCTCTGTCCTAGTGGCTCTCACCCTTCTTGCCGGCAACCCGCTTGAAGTCGTTCATCTTGGTGGTCATAATAGGGGAGCCGATGAAGCCGATGTAGTCAATCTGCGTCACATCGCCGCCGGACTGATTGTTCTTTACAAAGATCTGGATGTTCTGCACGTTCTGGAACTTCACATAGCGCAGATTCACGGGCACTCCGTTCTCCAATTCCTTCTCAGCCAGGCTGTAAGTGGAAATATTAGTACCGTATTCTCTTAGGTTTGGATTAAAGTGAAACTGACCTGAGATCCTGCACACTGGTCATGGACTCGGCCATGTCAAAGTCTATGGTGCGTGGCTGGTTAATGAATAGTTTGACATCCTTGGGGCCCAGTTGCGATGGCGCCTTGAACTTCAGCGAGTGGATCTTCACAGCCTGGTTGAAGGTGATGGACATGATCAGTTGCTCGTCGCAGTCGGACTGCAGATAGCCGCCGGCAGAGGCAAGGGCGTGCTTCAGGCTGTGATCGTCGGATTCGTTGAGGCACTCGCACTCCTGCTTCGAGATAAATGTGTTCAGCTCCATCTGGCAAGGGTTCAAGAATTAGTTCAGTTTGGAAAAGATCGTGGGCTGGTTAACCTACCAGTCCCTGTCCGTAGTCTTCGCCCGCTTCTTCGCCAGTCCCAGTGCCAATGTGCTCCTGGATCTTCGCTTCCAAGCCGTTGATGTCCGCTCCCTGGATACGGTCGATCTTGGTCCTGTTCCTGTAGAAGATGAACGTGGGCATTGCTGACACGCCCTGACCGGCGGCCGTGTCCTGGCACTTGTCCACGTCCACCTTCAGGAAGATCGCCTTGGGATACTTGTTAGGGAACATTTCGAAAATGGGAGCGATCCGCTGGCAAGGACCGCACCATGTAGCTGTGAAGTCCACGACCACAAGGCGCACGCCAGCCTGCGCCAGTTCCGCTTGGAAGTGGGACTCGTCGTTGATCACGCGTACGGACATTACGCTATATTTTTTGTTTTAAATGCGAATTTGCGAAGCGACAACAAAAAGATGACTGGCAGATGTGGAAAAAAAAACAACATTAATGTGACCGCGCTGAGCGTTAAATTATACCAACCGGCAATTGTAGAAAATACCAAAAGTACAGAAATTTGTTTATTTTCAAACTTTTGCTATATTTGCATTGTTTTTATTAGCAATCATTATTATTTATCATTTAATTTATGATTTTCAAGAATTATAATTGCTCTTTAAAGCAATCATATTTTCCGACAGCCTTCACTAGAGTTGCCAACCATGTTAGTATTTTGATCCCAATTTTAGTTATTTTAAGATATCTAAATATGTATAGGTTTTATATCTCACTATTATTATTTATTTAACAATGTTTTTATTAAAAATTATGACGGAATTGTATAATTGTATCATGAATACGGCTACATGCTAGTGTGGCCAGACCTTAAAAACCCTCCTTTTTTCCGGTAAGAGACGGCGGCCACACTGCTACTACCTCGTGGTTTTGTTTCAGGCATTTTCATTCCCATTCGCCATTTTTAAAACGCCACAGTAGAGAGTGCACCATGGCAGAAGTGGAAAAGGAGCCGACTATCGCCGAGGATTTGGTGGTCACAAAGTACAAGTTGGCCGGCGAGATCGTCAACAGTGAGTTACCGGCCCGTTTGCCGCCGAAGGGGAAAGCGGCTCCAGTCGCGCTGCTACGTGGCGCTTACACAATTCACTCGCACAAATGCCGCTTTCCCTTTCGCCACGCGATGATAAATCCGCCTATTTCTGGACACTTGGTTACGTTTAATTTTAGAAACCCTGAAGGCGGTGATTGGACTCTGTGTGGTGGATGCTTCCGTGCGGGATATCTGCACCCAAGGAGACAATCTGCTAACCGAGGAGACCGGCAAAGTAAGTGGTGGAGGGAAGTTTCCCGCTGCGTTTAGTTATTGTCCAATGATTAAAACTTTACGCCTTTGAGGGGCGCCTTTGATCCGAGCCATGTGCCGTGCGGTTTGGCGTCCTCGTGGCTGCCAGGCGCTCGTGGGGATTAAGTGCCCACGTGCCCGACCGGTCTGTATGTGCTCGCCATTGGAATCCCAAAGATTCACAGATTATGAGATCTGAGGACACAGTAGTCGCAATTGTTGCTTTTTGCTGAGAAGAACCGCCCAACTAAGCCTTTAATTCCTCTACAGGTATACAAAAAGGAGAAGGAGCTGAAGAAGGGCATCGCTTTCCCCACCTGTCTGTCCGTCAACAACTGTGTCTGCCACTTCTCGCCATCTAAGAACGACACCGATTACACGTTAAAGGCCGGCGATGTGGTTAAAATGTAAGTGGCTCCTCTATTATAGCTACTTCACCTTCCTAACTGTGTTCTTCTTCTCCCCCACACAGCGACTTGGGAGCCCACATCGATGGATTCATTGCCGTGGCCGCTCACACAATCGTAGTGGGTGCCAGCGCGGACCAGAAGATCACCGGTCGCCAGGCTGATGTCATCCTCGGCGCATACTGGGCTGTCCAGGCCGCCTTGCGTCTGCTCAAGTCCGGGGCCAATGTAAGTTTATCACCTTTCCTATTACCTGTCTCTGTTCCATGCAAGAAACGGATTGTCTGTCGCGATTCTCCAGCGACTGAACATCTCAACACTTGCAGAGATCAACGGGCAGCTGGTTATTGCCCTTGCCTATTATTAAGGGCTGTGGGCTCTTTGCCAGCTGTCCACATGATTACTTTGTGCTGCAGGCAACGGATTGGCTGCTGCCGAAACTCTGGCACAGTACAGCTCAACGCCTGCAGAGAGCAGCAAGGTCTATTTCGTGAACTGAACAAGTTCGTTTTTGAGAAATGTTTGGTCTTTAAAGTTGTCCACATCCACAGAGTCTTTTTAGATTAAATAGGATCTGCAGGCAACGGATTGTCTGGTGCTATAACTCCTAGCACAGTTCATCTCAACGCCTGCGGATAATAATTGCGTCAATTTCGTGAACTGAACAAGTTCGTATTTGAGAAATGTTCGGTCTTTAAAGTTGTCCACACTAGTTATATAGAGAATAAGTAATAATATGAATGTCTTTATCTAATGATTGCTTTGATAGATTATTAGGATTGACATATTGTTTGATTAAACAGAAGTGTTGATTTTGTTAAACTTTTTGTAGTGGCGTCTAAGTAGCATGCCAACGTCACCAATAGAGCCTGAAAGAAATCGATTTTTAAGAATCTTTACATTTTATTGTTCGATATTTTTATTTAAATTTGAACTTTATTGTGTTCTTCTTCACCTTCGATAAATATGTACACCAAATACAAATTTGTAATGCTATCAATTTTTTTACACAATTCCAGAACTACGCCATCACCGATGCAGTCCAACAGATCAGCGAGTCATACAAGTGCAAGCCCATCGAGGGCATGCTTAGCCACGAGCTGAAGCAGTTCAAAATCGATGGTGAGAAGACCATCATACAGAATCCTAGCGAGGCCCAGCGCAAGGAGCACGAGAAGTGCACTTTCGACACGTATGAGGTCTATGCCATCGACGTAATTGTCAGCACCGGCGAGGGAGTGGTTAGTATAACCAAAACTTTACTTTTTTCATATATCATTCTTGTTCGATGATTAAGAAACACGCGCTTGAGGCTGACCAAGTTGGGCCGCGGCGTTTGTCATGACAGCGTCTCTAGCACGCTCGGCGGGCCTTGGTTTGTAGGCCCGGCACGTGCAAACACCAAAGCCCAGCCGACTGTTGTCCGAAGATTGCAAGATTATGAGATCTGAGAACGTTTTAGATTAGAATCCTAAAAAATTGAATGTCCTGAAAACACTTGCTAAACCATCGTATCCATTTTGTTAAAGGGACGCGAGAAGGACACAAAGGTCTCCATCTACAAGAAGTCGGAAGAGAACTACATGCTCAAGCTGAAGGCATCCCGTGCCCTGCTGGCAGAGGTTAAAACCAAGTACGGAAACATGCCCTTCAACATCCGCAGCTTTGAGGAGGAGACCAAGGCCCGTATGGGCGTTGTCGAGTGCGTTTCGCACAAGATGATTGAGCCCTTCCAGGTGTTGTATGAGAAGCCGAGTAAGTTTTAGACTTTGTTATTATATAATAAGAAAATAACTCTTTAAATGTTATTATACAAATTATAATTTTTAAAATCCCTGGAATTAAATATAGGCAAAACTTAATTCCGGACTTGGTACACCCTTGGGTGCTAAGTGCGGCCAGACATTTTGCCAGAGCAAAACCCCAGGCATTGGCGTCTTCAGCAGTTGCCCCATTTGTGGCCTCTGTCTGAACATGCCAATGCCACAAGTCTTTTCAAGCTTTTTTATTTTTATTTATTAATAATTAAAGTGTAATGAAATAATAATTTAGGGAGGGTTAAGACCTTTTTACTTTTACTAAACTTTAATTATTAATAATTAATTTAGTAATAATTAATCATAATTAATTCTTTAATAATGAATTCGTTTTCATTAAATATTAAATTAATTATTAATTAATTTTCAATAATTATTATTAAATTAATTTTATTAATAATTATAGTTTAATGAATTCATAATTAATTAATTATGATTAATGTATTAATTATTAATTAATCAATTATGATTAATTAATTTATTTTATATAATTAATTATAATTGCCTCTTGTCCTAATTAATTCTTTCTTGAATCTTACTTATTATTCTGCATTGTCTTGAATTACAGGCGAGGTAGTGGCGCAGTTCAAGCACACGGTTCTGCTTATGCCCAACGGCGTCAACTTGGTCACCGGCATCCCATTCGATGCGGATCACTATGTGAGCGAGCACAGCATTGCGCAGGAGGAGCTCAAGGTAGGCTGACCTCTCTACAAAACCAATATTTATATTCTAATGAGAAAATCTTTGATTTTTAGACTCTGGTCGCGCAGCCTCTGGGTCCCGTCAAGGGCAAGGGTAAGGGCAAGAAGGCAGCTGCTGGAGCGGCGACAAAGGTGGAATCGGCGCCGGCCGTTGAAACCAAGGCATAGACCTTGCGCAACACGAAACACCACCCCCCCTCCAACAGCAAATGCTAAGAAATCCACAATGTGAACAACTGCGCTGCCTACCGCTGCCGCTCCACAGATTTTTTACTATCGAATTCGTTGCGTAGTATCCACACATACACACACCCCCAACCCTTTTGACAACCCAACACGGCAAGAAAAATTTGAGGAGGATTCTTGTTCATCAGCCCCGCAGTCCGCAGAGCAGAGCCATTTCCCTGATCCTCCTATCCATCCATTAGCAGGACGGTTACCGGCCGCTCCAATTTTACCTCTTTATTTCCGTTACTATAGTAAGCTGACTTCGTCTATCGGTTTGTTCAACATCATCGCAACGAAAACAGAAGCAAAAAGGAAAATCAAGAACTGTCGTCAAATTGTAACAATTTTAACGCTAAAATGATCTTTAAATATAATTCAAGATATATGAAACAAAAACGTTATTAACGCTGCGTAGTATGTATTAAATAAAATTAACATTTTCTATAAAACAAACCGATAAATGCCATCTTTTCATGGGGATTAACAGGGTTTTTACTAGGGATTGTACATAATCATTAATATATTAAAATCAATAGATTAATCATTAAAATTTAATTTTTCCCCTTGGTAAAAAGACTTAAACCAATTCAAATTTTTTTTTATAATAAATGCACTTGACCAGTTGTGTTTTTATTTGATTCTTTTTAATTTAGTTTTGATGTTCACATTCACATTTTACAGTTCGTAATTTAGATTTCTTGCTTGTGTTTAGTTTAATTTTACAGTCTCATCTTTGAACTCTGGTATTACGAAAGTTGCAAGAATAACTTCGTGATCGTTACGTCGTCGCGCTAGTGTCGTGTGTGTGTCAACCACCCAATGATCCAAGCCAGATCTAAGCCAGCCGCCCGGCTCCTTCTCATTCTCCACTTGCGTCAAACAAAATAAACAACAACAAAATACGCAATTGCTACGGTTAAAGTATATAGAAAACACGCGACCAGCAGTTGCAGCCGACGCTGGGATGCCAGGATCTGGGTTTTAATGGTCTGCCCTCGCTTAGGTGTACATACATGGTTTGGTGTGTACTCTACTTTGTGCTGGCGACTGTGTGTGTGTTTTCTATTCTAGATCACGGCTCTGGCGGCAGCCTTCCGGCCAGCCTTAGTTATCGACATGCACGTCCATTGGCGCCGAGGCGGTCATGTTGCTTGACTTCTCCGGCGAGTCCAGGTAGATCTTCAGAGCGCGCTCGCGGCGCTGAGAGTAGCGCGTGGTTGACACACAGCCGACGCGGTCCAAGCGAGCCTTTTCCTTGGCGTTCATCTGCCGCCGCTCCTCCAGCGTCAGTTCCCGCGAGGGCACGCTTTTATCTCTGTTTTTAAATAATTATTTAGTTATTTTAAAATGTTTTGTATTTATTTATTGTACAGGTTGATGTTACTTACTTGTACAGGTAGATGTTGGCCGCCTGTGTAGTGTTCAACGGATACTTGTCCACGCTGGCCGGTACCGAGTACCAACTGCCAGAGTCGTTGACGCTCACCGCTGATATGCTTGTGCAGGGGAAATTGCTGTTCACCTGCAGGAAGAGTTTACATCGCGTTAAGATCGGGATAAGTCGGACGCAGCAGTTGTCCTACCTTCATATAGCTCAGTTTGTCCACGGGGATGTCGCTGATCTGTGATAAAGAACGTCTGATTTCGCTGTCCGCTGGAAGGAAAAATTAGTTATTATGATGTGAAAGAGGATTAGTTTTGTACAAATATGACAATTTTCACCATATATTAGATGTATATGATTCTATATGATCGCTTCTTATTTATGGTTATTTAAAGCAAGAACTTACGGTCCAAGGTAATTTCCTGGAACTTGCCAAACTCCATTTTTGCTGGACACCAACGCCTCACGAATATGGTCAGAGTATCGTCCTTGGGCTGCGGATTCACTCCCTCCTCGCACTCCTGCACAATGAACTGGAAACGGCAAATAAATAAAAGAATTTTAATAATAAAATAAAATAATAAAATAAAATAAAAATGATTTAAATTTTAAAATAAACTCACCTCCGCTGTGCTGGTGGAGCGCATGTCACAGTACAGGGTCTCGTCGTTGGCCAGAATCTTGATGGGACTGCGTCCGCCCTTCAGCCAAATGCGGCAATTTTCCACCGAAAGTGTGGCGTACTTGGCATCCATGCGGTGCAGCTTGGCCACCAGCTCCTGCTTGGCCTGCTCGGCGGTAGTGTTGGCATTATACACCCACTCACACACGCATGGCAGCTTGGAGGTTTCGTTGTCCAAGTCCCCAAGTCGCAGGAAGTGAATCTTGGCCTTGTACTCATCCGCCTGTAGAGTCTTTCCCAGCTCCACGGTCAGGGTCTCGCCCTCGGTAAGGAGGACCAGCGAGTTGTTCTGGTTGCTGGACAGATTGCTCTCGTGCTTGCGCTGCAGCTTGAAGTAGGCGGCGGGCACTTGGATCAGCTGCTCGATGTGGCGCTTGAAGGTCCCCATGCGCATGTGGGTGCCCACCAGCAACTTATAGGCGCGCGTTGGTTTCCTCAGCTGAGCCTCCTCATCTGATTGATGGCCGGAGCTAGAACCAGTGCCCACCACGTCCACGCACTCTATTCGCGAGGCGTGGAAGAAGTGCGGTGTACTGGTGGGCAGAAGAAGTGGATCCAGTGAATCGGCCGCCGCCGCATAGCTGCCGTTGCCATTGCAATAGGCATGAACACGCATCATGGCATCGTGGGAGGCGGCCTCATCCTCGGGACTGGACAGCTGCGGCGAGTGGCTGGTGGAGCTTACCTGACTGTCGCCGCCACCGCGATGGGCCAGGTTATCTGACTCCACCAGGGTGCGATCCCCGTCGCTCAGGCTGCTGTCCTCCGAATTGGACTCGTGACCATGGCTGGGACTGGGCTGGGTCAGAGGCTCCAGCAGATCCCGCTTGTAGCGCCGCCAATCGGAATCATTGCTGGAGGATTCGTGACTAGGTCCCAGGCCGTTCATCATGGCGGCATCCACAACGTCACCACCACTGGCAGACTAACATGGAAATAAAAATCAGTAAAGTGGGAAACGAAATGCAAAGCTCCTCCTTGAAACTCACCTCTATCGACTCCACGCTGGGCACTCCCAGCACCTCCAGGCTGGCTGCATCCGTGTTGGGCACGTTTAAGTAAAAATATGTAATGGATTTGAACTGGGTATTGGCCAGATTCTGTAGCTGCTGCAGCGCCTCGGGCGTCGGATGCGGATCGTAGGCCACAAAGGCCTTGGGCACCGTTCCACGCACCGTGGCGAGCAGGAAGGGCTGCTCACTAATGTGCAAACGGACGGCGATGGAGCGACGCAGGACGTCGCTGGCCTCCCGCTCCCGCGCTGCTGAGTAAACCAGGAAGGGACCGTCCATCGCCATGGTCGATAGATCTACCATAAACACATACCAGGTGATGCCATCCGGTGGATAAATCTCGAACTGCTGATCCTCGGCCCGATACTCCAGCAGGAAATCCAAACTGTAGTTCTGCGAGGCCCTCAGTTCGGTCAGTGTGGGATCTGTGCAACTTTCCAGGGACTGGATAATGGTGTCCATGGTGGAGTTGTAGGCCACTAAACGGCAGCGGGAGATGGGCGCAAATTGTTCCACGCTCAGCATCTCGTAGGCAGACATCAAGACACTGTTGATGTCGAAACTCTGTGAGACATAGACCCGCGTAATCTTCATCTTCTTGAGCAAGGGATTGTAGAAGTAGACGCGCGGCTTGTATAAATCCGGGAGAGCCAAATCTGTGACTGTGATGTGTCTTCCCAGGCGTGTTACCCGAGTCTCCTCCTCTGAATGCAACTTTGGCAACAGGGTCTTGATGTGCTCTGGAAAGTCGGCCACCTTGGCGGCCTTCTCATTACGCTTGGCATCCACCTGGCGGTACATCAGCATGTAGGCATTGGTGCTGGAGGTGTAGGCACTCGAGTAGTAGCTGCCATTGGGTCCGCCAAAGGAACGCTGAATGTCCTCTTGAGTGATCTGTGGGCAGGCAACAAATAATAATAGAAAGTAAAGCGAGACAGGAGACAGAACTAACCGTGGAAACATTCTGATCGTTGAAACAAAACCACTCGTTGCTATCGAAATCCCTTATGTAGGCATAGTAGTGGCCTCCGGAGGCACTGCCCGAGTGAATCATAATGGCAAATAGCTCGTACATATATGGACCAGATCCCTGCTTGGCGCTCTTGCTGGTGCTGCTGCTCATGTCGATGCCTTCGTCCTCGTCATTCAAATCATTCTCATGCTGGCTGGAGCTGGCAGTGGTCACCACCCCACTGCTTAGGTTGTCATCCTCCATGGCCGAGCCACTGTCCGCCGTGCTGCAGTCATCCACAGTGCCATTCATCTGCGAAGTCTGCTCGCCACTATTACCGCTTCGGTTGATGAAAGTGTTGAGGTTGAGGGTTTGGGGGAAAGTGACTCTGTGGGAAGAGGAAAGAATCAAATTTAAAGTCTCTTTGATTTGCCACACTCACCTGTCATTGAGCTTGATGCGGTGCATTGTCTGGTAATCAAAGTCAAAGCGCTTCAGGTGCAGTGTGAGCACGTAGGGGAAGGACTTGAAGTGCAGCCCCTTGTGGGCATCACACTTCTTCTTGCACTTCTCACACAGATACTGGTTATTCCCATCCAGCGTCTCCGGTTGTACAAAGGCACGCAGAGCCTCCTCAATGCTGCCATAAGCCGAGCTGCTGCCAAAAGGACGCACTGGCAAGGGGATATCCAGGAAGGTGTCCTCCCGCGTCTTCTCCGTATTGCACTCTAAACACTTGACATAGTCATTCATCTTGCCCTCGTACAGGTTAGAGATGAGATTCGCCTGCTTGGTGTTCTTGAACTTGTGTTCCAAGGCATCGAACATGACGCGGCACAGCTCCTGGATGTCATGCTGCTGCCACGCCTCGGTCGAGTCCCAGCCAAAGCTGCGGGTTAGATCCGTGGTCTCCACCGCCGCCTTGGGCGAGGTCTGTAGGTTCAGGAAGAGTTTCTGCAGCTGATAAGGTATGTTCTTGGCTTCGTTGTCATTGTCAAACTCCCAGCGATAGAGAGCATTCCGGAACTCGGGCGTCATGTACAAAGCCTGCAGGAGACTGTTCAAATAACAGGTCATGGCCTGGTTCACTAGACCCACATAGCCCCTAGGGCCTCCATTGGCATGCCGGGTGGCCTCTCCCTCTGTTTCAGTGGTGGCCGAGGCCACAAAATCAGCAGCAGTGGTCCTTTGCCACGAAGGCAAGTCATCCCCGCCGTATTTGCGGCGGTAAAAGTTCGATACAGCCGGATCATTGCCATCATCTAGGCCACTGGTAACCTGATCCCCTTCTCCGGTGGCACCTCCATCACCTCCCTCCATATCGCTAGCGGGAACACCAAAGTCATAGCCCGGTCCCAGCATTGTAGGACTTGCAGAGGCGCCTAGGGCCAGATCATCGTCTGAAAGCTGCTCTGCATCCGATATGAAAAGCTCCGATGAGGCATCCTCGGTAGGCGAGATGAGCTGCTGCAGTTGATCGGAAATATCCGCTTTGGTCAGAGTGTCAATGGGTTCGCTGTCCAGCTCCTTAATGGGCGACGAAGGCTTGACGGGACTGATTTCTGCAATTTCTTTCGAAGCCTTGGTCTTCTTGGGACTCGCCTCGGAAGTGGCCTCGGGAGTGCTCTTAGGACTCGCCTCGGAAGTGGCCTCCGGAGTGCTCTTGGGACTCTCTTCGGGACTAGCCTTGGGAGCTTCCTCTGAAGCTTTTAGGGATTTGGAACTCTTCTTTTCTGGCGAGGCCTTGGTCTTGGTAGGTTTCTCTGTGCTTGACTCCAAGCTACCATTGGCCAAAGAGTCCTCGCTCGTTGTTTTTGACTTGCTTGGTGACGTAGAGCCCGAAGCCACCTTCTTCTTGATCTTCTTCTTCTCGCCAGTGGCCGGGCTCTTGGCTTTCGTCTCCTCAGACTTGGTAGAAGCCGCCTTTTTCACCAATACCTTCTTTATGGGCAACTCAAAGCGTTTGCTTACGTCGCCATCCCAGCTGCCGGAGGGTAGCAGAACCAAGTGATTTTTTAGCTGCCGCTCGAAGCCATCCACATCGTACAGCAACTGTGAGTCCAAGGCATTCAGGTTGACCTAGGATAGGATAGTTAACAATTAGTTAAGGTAAGGAGACACAGAGCCCTACAACTTACCAGATCCTTGTTGTTGTGTGGCTGCAGTAACAGCTCAAAATTTCCGTAGGGAAACTGGGTGCCGATGAGGTCAATCACTCGCTTCACCGTATAGTGTGAGCGCACCACCACATTGATCTTCTTCTGCTCGGAGCCGGGCGTCTGGTCAAAGACCGAGACGGTGCACTGCTCACCGCTCTCCTTGTCCTTGTCCATGATTGTCCGCGATGGTGCTGATGAAGGTCCTGCGGGATGGAATTCAAAGTGAAACGATGAGCTCTCTAAACATGAATTTTGGTATACGATTTAAGCTTTTTCCTGCTATGCTTAAACAAAGGAGTTCTAGGCTGTCATGACACCTTTGACGTGGCCAAGTTGCTGGTCATGGTGATGATGATGGTGATGATGCTAAGGCAAGTAAATAAGGAAGAGGCTGTTGCGAAATCTTCTTGTTTTTCGACCTCATTCGCGAATAAAGCAGCAGCCGAAAATCGAGAGGCCCCCCCAGCCACCGCTATTGACGTGCTCCGTGTACGCTTTTCGCGCCTTATTTGTACGGGAATAGCGCACCAGTTGGCATCTATATATATATATTTATAAGCACGTACGCCCATCGTCCATCCTCCATCGCAGGTCGTGACTCACGCGCAGTGGAATTTTCGTAAACAAGCGAACGAACCATTGGCCAGCTCCGGAGGAGAACTGGACAGACCGTCTCCGTTAATTCATAAATTTCACTGCAAGATGTCACTCGTGGCCGACCGGGTTTTCTTTGTGGGACGGCACCCGGGCTCCACATCATAACGGAAGTGGTGGTGATTATATGGCTTAATATCTGGCGCCAGCATTATGGCAGTGCGCAAATTGCAAGTGTCCCGCCCACTCAGAAGTACATATATCCAAAGCGAATATGGAAATATTATTCTAGAAGAATTTGGTAAGACTCGAGAGATTTAAGAGGAAAAGTAAGTTTAAATTAAATCGAAAAATGGACTCTTTTTTACATAATTCCCTATTATAAAATCCTTTTCTTACTTTAAATAATATTTTAGTGAGAAATACGCACTTTAATTACGAAGATTCCTGGCAAAAGCTATCTTTAATTTATGGCAATTATGACATTTATCTATGGACATTTCTCCTTTGATTTAAATGCCTTTTTATCGAGCATAAATATGCTTAAAAAAGTCGAATTTTTAAACGCCTCTGCTTGCCAATGGATTCTATATTTAAGACGTCTGGTCAATATATATTTGGCAATTAATTTTTTCGAGATTTAATGGCGTCTAATTGAGTGTCCAATGCAATTTAAAGATCGCATTTTCGCAATGTTTTTCCAATGCGCTAAACCGAAATAACCACAAGATGTACAAGATATACAAATGTAGTCACTGCTCTCTCTCCGCATGGAAGATGCACCGCCACGGGCTTTGGCTCTGTCCAAACACATGTTGGATGAAAGAGCGAGATGGGGATCCAAAAAATGCTAATACTCGAGGGGCCAGCAAGCCAACAGAAATCAAAATAAGAAAAACCCGTGCTGCTAAAAATAAAGACAGGCGGCGACAGCGACAAACGACAAACGAAAAAGCACACATAAAACGTAGAGAAGAGGCATTAGGTCTTTGGGAGCGCGTTTTGAATACGCGTATATCTTGGCTATTTGTAAATGCGAAGGTTTTCAACTAGACTCGGACCCGGCGGCACTCGCGGATATGTATCCATCCGGCGGAATGCTGTGGCACTTTCAACACATATCGACTCAATATTTACATGATGACGATGTGGAATCTTGCGTCAAATGTTTGTGTTGGTTTCTCGGGGCATTACAGAAACCGATATCGCAAGTTATCATATAGACAGAAGAGAGAGGCCAGCGCCTGTATTATTTTCTTATATATTTGTGCTATTTTTGAAACTATTTAAGCAATGCGAAATCTATGATAGTTTCGTTGTGGGGGCGAGATGAGAGATGACGGACGGCTGGCTGCCGGAAATCGCACAGGATTCCTAGGGGCAATCCAACAAGTCATATAATGCACACAATTTCCATTACGAAATGTTTGCTATTCTTAGACAACTTCACTTGGAGCAGAGCCTACGCTGCTGCTGCTGCTGCTGCGCCCGACGTTTTGGGTGAATCAGTGTGTATATGCTCGGCGGGCCGTGCTCTATATGCACTGCTTTTACCGTCGTCTGATAGTGCCTTGCCTTGCCGTTCCGAACTAGAAGAGGAGCCGACCGCCGTCAACGCACAACATAGTTCACGCGTGTACTGGCCGATTCGGATACCGATCGCCACATTCGCATGGCGATGCCGATGCCGATTCCTAAACCGAAGATATCCCACCCGATCTACCGATCACTCGGCCAAGAGTGCCTTCCCCGTTCACCGTGGGAATGATGCACCAACTCGGGTTCGGGCAACCTATAAACACTGATAACGATTCTCAAGGGGGGTAGCACTGCCAGGGCAAGTGCCTTCTTCCTCCTCCTTCATCGGAACCCGAACCCCAGCCTGAGCCCTGGCGGATTACTCAATGGATATAGTCGATGGACTCGGCGTTGTTGTTGCCAGCGAAAGTGCTATTAATGTTTGCGATCTATCTCGCTCTCAGGTGCCTCTCTTCTCTGTGACTGCGGGAATGAATGACTATTTTTATATGAGGCTGCAATTGGCGCACTGAGACATCCTTTCCACAGGCGGCGCCATGACTAAGTGCTGACCACTGCTTCTGCCGTTGCCGCCGGCGTGGCAATTGCGGGGAGAGTGCGACGACTCTCGTTTGCGCAATACTTTGGGGCCCTAGGTTCCAGTGGGCGGTGGGCAAGGGGCGGTGCTCTCGTTGGGTGTTCCCCGATCGGTCAAGGCTTTGTTTCATGTTATGCGTGTTTTTGTGTGAGTGTGCGACCCGAAAAGTGGCCCCATTGAGTGTCCTTCGGGGCTAGGAAGGTGGCCCCGCAAACTAGGCGCGTCCATATGTCGCAAATTCGAGGGGCCGCAGCCGCTGCCGACTTGTGTTTTCTTCGCTGTGTCTGTATGTGTGCTGTGTGTACCTCCCCGCGCGCACTCACTCACCTCGATGAGTGTGTGTGTGTGAAAATACTGCAGTGTATTCCTGCGGTGCGGTGTGCTGTAGGTGCGTGTGCGGGGATTCTCCTCCTTCGTGGCTCTGCTTTCTCACTTTCTGTCTTCCTCGCGGCGTCTACGGCCAGGCGGTGCACGGTTGAAATCCGGTTAAAACGAGGCTCGACGCGACATTTTTTACAAATGTTTTTTGTTGTTCCGCTGCGGCTGTTTTGCTGTGGAGTTGCTCGTTAGTGTGACTGCCGCCCACCGGTGCGGGAATACCAAAATCTAAGCAACAGCAGGGCTTTTTTACGGTCACACTGCCTCCGTTTAAAAATTCTTCAGAGAATGTGCCTGTTTTAGTTGGTTTATTCTCTATAATTGTAGGGCATTCCAGATAAATAGCAAGAATAAATATTTAATTTTAATGTGCAGCAGGTTGTCTAAAAATAAACAAGCTGAAAATATTCAGAGTAAACTTTTAATTAATCTGGGGATTCCCTTGACTGAATTAATTTTAAATAGCCGATATCTTTAGAAGTTTGTGTGGGAACACTATTAAAAGAAATCACAAACTAAACTAATTATTTAATAGACTCACAATATCGACCGTTAAACTCTTAAATTCGGTTTCGATAGTCTACCCACTATCGATAACGATGTTTTTACAACGCGAATTTTCCCGATGCAACCCTAAATATCGAGAAACTTCGAGAAATTTCGACGGAGACAGCAAAAATCTATAAAAAGGGTGGTGCGCGCGGGCGTTTCTCATTATCAAACAAAAATTTATAGAGAAAGGAAAGAAAGTTGAGAGTGTGTTTATCTACGCACGGAGAAACGGAGGAAAAACGAAGAACAATTGATTCAATCGCTGCGAACGTTATAAATATTTCAAGAACCTTGCGACGTAAAAGTACAAAATACATAAAAATCAGTGAGAGGAAAGAACAACGCCCTTGTGTTTGGCCATTGCATTTGCATTTGTATTTGGATTAAACGGATTTGGAGACACTTTAGGTGAGTTGTGGTGGCTGGGCGTATTAGCATATTGTCGGGCATTGGTACGCTTGTGTGTGGGAGCATCCTCAGACTTGGCTCCACTCCGCTTCCATTCCGAATTCCATCCGAGAACTGCGTGGCGCTCACTGGCTACGTCACTCGCATGACAACACGGCAATAGAAGCGGACGTTGCACAACGCGCGCGGGGCTTCTAGCACTTTCCACCGAACGCCGAGTACCAAGTACCGAGCACCGAGCAGTGGGCATTGAGAGAGCAGTCAGTATATTAATCCATTCCGTTTTCCGCTTTCAGCTGAGGCAAGATGGGCAAGGACTTCTACAAGATTCTTGGCATCGATAAGAAGGCCACCGATGACGAGATCAAGAAGGCCTACCGCAAGCTGGCTTTGAAGTACCATCCGGACAAGAACAAGAGCCCCCAGGCGGAGGAGCGCTTCAAGGAGATCGCAGAGGCGTACGAGGTGTTGTCGGACAAGAAGAAGCGCGACATATTCGACAAGTACGGCGAGGACGGACTGAAGGGCGGCACCCCCGGCCCTGATGGCCACAGTCAGCCGGGCGCCTACAGCTACCAGTTCCACGGTGACCCGCGAGCCACTTTCGCCCAATTCTTTGGGTCGTCGGATCCCTTCGGAGTGTTCTTTGGCGGCGGCGACAACATGTTTGGCGTTCAAACTGGCGGCGGCAACAACGAGATCTTCATGAGCCCCGAGGACATGTTTGGCGGCGGCGCCTTCGCCAATCCCATGGCCGGCGCCTTCCGCTCGCAATCGTTCAACGCCCAGGCGCCCAGTCGAAAGCGACAGCAAACCCAGGACCCACCCATCGAACACGACCTGTACGTCACGCTGGAGGAGGTGGACAAGGGCTGCACCAAGAAGATGAAGATCTCGCGAATGGCATCAGGCAACGGCGGGCCCTACAAGGAGGAGAAAGTGCTGAGCATTACGGTGAAGCCGGGCTGGAAAGCAGGCACCAAGATTACCTTCCCCAAGGAGGGCGACGTAACGCCCAACAAGACCCCGGCAGACATCATCTTCATCATCCGGGACAAGCCGCATTCGCAGTTCAAACGTGAGGGCAGCGATTTGCGCTACACCGCCCAGATCAGTCTGAAGCAGGCGCTGTGCGGAGCCCCCATAACTGTGCCCACGCTGCAGGGCGACAGGATACCGGTGAATCCCACCGCCGAGATTCTTAAGCCCACCACCACAAGACGCATCAGTGGACGCGGCCTGCCCTTCCCCAAAGAGCCGTCGCGGCGCGGTGATCTCCTCGTGGCTTTCGACATAAAGTTCCCCGACACACTGCCGTCCAGCGTGCGCAACCAGATGGCGGAGCTGTTGCCGAACTAGGCGTAGGCGGGAATTGCGCTACTGTTATCACCCTAGTTAAGGCCTATATTTAGTTGATTTTACACGTAAGAAAATCGTAACAATCTAACGACGGCGAAGACAACAGTGTGCCAAGCGAACAGCTGTATATAAAGCCGAGCGAATGCACACGCTAGATAAGATAGGGAAGAGAACACACACTTGCGCGCATAGTTTGTGTTTTGGAGACTGATCGAGATTTGAACAATATTTATCCTAGTGCACCGATTCCACGTATATCCCCAAATTCAAATCTCCTTATTATTATTTAAGAACCCCCCCACATCCGAAAGCTAAGAAATAAAAGGTATTACAAATTGAAAGTAATTCGCGGTTTTTGTAGATCGCAAGCAGCCCTGCTCTGCGGCATTCCATGGATGATATTTTAGTTGGGAAAACACACTTGTAGGCTTGCGTCGATAGGGATTATAGTACGTTTTAGTACCAATTATATTATGTTTAGCAATAAAGTTATTAATACGAATTTAAAGTGTATTTTTAATGGGTCAGTGGGTTTACAATGGCTAACTAGCATACATCTGAATTAGGTCAAGGTTGTGAGCACTCAGCAATTGCTAAGCCGAATTCAATATCTTTAGAATTAGATACGGAAACATCTTTTTTAATTACAGCTTACAATCAATTGTTGGGCATACCTAAAATATCACATAAATTGCACTTATGAAAGAATTCCATATAAACTAAGTAAATAAATAAAAAAAGATCCACAGCGTCTTTGTTTTTGTAAAACTGCTTAATTTGTGGGGAAAGCATTTCTTTTATTTTGGGCGCGCACTGTAGTTAGAGATGCAAGAAAAGCGATGGCACTATCGATACATCGATGTTTTAGTTTAGTTTAGTTTCCACATCCAGGTTCTCGTCCCCGCTTTTCTTATTGGGAGTTTCCTCAATAGCTATCGATATATCGATAGACAGCCGTTAAATTTAAAATTTTCAAGCTAATTTTATTATTATTTTAATAACAATACTTTTAACGATAATTAAAATGGAACAATTTCAAAATAAAAATATATATAAAATATTAAAAATTATTTGCTGATTAATTTCAAATCCGAGTGCATTTATTTAATGTTACTGAAATGCTAAAAATGTATCTAGAAATAAACCGCTCTTGATTTTATTTTTTTTTTTTTTTAATACTTTAATTAAAAATATTAGGAATAAATAGTATTTACTTCTGAAGAATTTTTAATTTTCCAGGTATGGTAAAGATGGGAAATAAAACGCTTTCGATTTCATATTTAGAATTGAAAATATTAAAAATAAATAGTAATTAGTTTGTGATAAATTTCAAGTCTTAATCTGTCTGAAATGCCAAAATTACTCTAAAAATGAAACGCTTTTGATTTTATTTTTCTTTTTTAAATTTCACATTTTATTTTCTTTTGTTTTTCACTTCAAAAGGATTTTGTAATTAATCATTTGTCACACATTTTCACTTTCCTTATGTTGAGTGTTAAGTTTGCATTTGCAATTGTATAATCATTGTGTAATCTTTTTATGTTCTTACGCTTGCATATTATTCATTGTTGTTTTCTTGTTTCTTGTTTTCAAAAAGTATTAACATCCATTGCATGTTCTTATATTTTTTATTTTGTTTCTGTGTTGTTGTTGTTCTTGCTGCAGCTGCTAAGTATGTTTGTTTTACAATTAAAATTGAATTTCAATGTGCTGCCCCACTTCGCGTGGCACGTTCCCAATGCGGCTGCCGTTGCTATTGGTTTCTGTTTTATAATCCCCATTTGGGATCATATAGACGAGTGTGTGTGTGTGTGTTACCCTCTGCTGCTCTGGCCGAAAGGAAGGTGTGTGGTAAGAGATATAACTAACAATTACGCTCGAAAACAAATCAGATATCCGATAACAATTTGTTAAAAGAGACTTCAGTGCGTCGTGTGCACACGTGAACTTAATTAAATGAGTCGAGTACATGGTTTGGTTCTCAAACATTCGTATAATAGTGACTATGTATATATATATTTAATAAAAATGCTTTAAAAATAGTCAAATGCGTACAAAAAGTTTCACGCCGCTGCGAGTGCTCGCATTCAAATGAGTGTTTCACATAATTTAACTATTTCATTTCGCTAGAGTCTTCCAACTGACTGACTGCACCTCTCGCCTGTGGTTGGTTGGTTGGGTCTGGGGGTTTTATCATTAATTAATATATTTATTTTACCGCTGTCGTCGACCTCGAACTTATATAAACCGTAAAAATATTGTTAAAACATTGTGATTCTCCTCTCTTTTGGTATCTTGGTAAATTTCTCCTGGTTTGTCCCGTGTTTGATTAGCATTCATCCGGCGGATGACCTATATCATTCGACTGTTTGTATACATTTAGAATTCTTTTTGTTGTATTTACTCGACTTCTTAGCTATAGCTCTCTATGGTAGTTTATTTTTTATTATTTCCTCCTCGTCTCCGTTCGTTTCGTTTCGTTTAATTAAAGTTTACCTTTTTGTATATTTAATTCAATTTGATTGGAAACCTAAAAAATGTTTTGATTATGTTTCGATTTGTTGCTACATGCTGGTTTTTAGGGGTAAAAAAAATGAATGAGTGTGAATGCCTGTCTCTAAGTACACTGAAAAACCAAAACCGTTGACAATCAGTGCCGGGGGGGAACAATAATAAAACGTGTACGTTCAGCAATTGGGGGATTTCATTGTTCCTGAATCGAATAACATCATCGAAGCTGCATTCACAACCAATTAATTATTATTTTTATTTTCCCATTTGGTGTGGAGTTCTCTCATGGTTTTTTCACTATATTATCATATTGTTTTTCGCTAATAATTCCCTCTACAAAAATGTGAAAACCATAGGTAGGTCTTGAGACATGTCAAGGAAATCAGGGGTTTAGTTCTTCAATTCAATTTGGTTCTCAAAAAGGTGCCTTGTCTATGGGGGAATCGGATTGATTGGGGTCTCCTTTGTTTAACTTTAATATAATTCTGTTTCGATTCTCGAGTTCTTAAAGAGTGTGTGTGTGTGTGTGTTCCAAGTGAAGTTCTTAATTATTATTGTAATTCTGCTAGAAGGTGTCGTCTCTTTTTTGCTTATATATTTACCTTTTGCTGCTTGTGTTTTTGCATAGTTTTGTTTTTATAGTTTGTATTTTAATTTATTTGCCCGCATTTAACGTGTTTTGAGTTTTACTTGCTGCCATTATTTTTTTTTTTTTGTTTTTGCTGATTGGATTCTGTGTGTGTGAGTGTGGGGGGTGTGGGTGTGTGGGAGAGGGGGCATCGAGCCCAATTTGCTTGTTATTATTTTTCGTTTTGTTAGTTTACCATTTAACATTTTGACTAAATTTTTGCTATTTTCGTTTTACCATTTTCGTTTATGTGTATGTGGGCTTTATGCATTTTTTTTCAGTGTACTTCCTACGAACTAAACATTTTCATTGCTGCATTTTTGTTGTTGTTTTTAATTGTTTCATTACGATTACGAGTGTGTGTATGTGTGGCTTAATTGGCTAAAATTTTCTTCATTAACCACCTTGGGTTTCTTTTTTGTTTTTCCTTATTTTTTTCTTTTTGCATTTGACTTTGTTTTTCTTTGCTTTGTTTTTTGTTTTGTTTTTATAATTTAAATTCTCTAAGCCTAAATACAATGGTTGCAATTTGTTTACGGGTCGTCTCCCTCCTCACGCCTGCGACAGCTTCGTCCTCTCGTCCTGTCCTCAATAAGTGTATGTATTTAAATCGAAATTACTTTCAAGTCTTTTTCAGCGACAAATGCATTTGAATTTGTTCTCGTATTTCTTAATCTGGTTTAATCTCCTTCCTTCTGCTTAGTTCATATTAAATCTGCTCAAAATCCTTCGCTTTAATTATGCTTTTATTATATGTTTTGCACTTTAAATACAATTCAATATAAATCAAAGTCTTCTCTTGGTTTTTTTTATTATTATTATTATTTCATATAGATTTTAGGTCTTCTCTTTCTAGGGGGGGGAACTCTCGCGAGGGAGTCCTTTTCGTGATGCGAAACGTAAACGTAAAACTGACAAAAAACTCTTCGATGTTTTATATCCTTTTTAGTTAAAAATGGCAGACAGACGGACAGGGAGGAGAGAGAGAGAGGGCAGAGAGGAGAGACAAAACAAACGTAAGCATTCTTCAACCGCATCCATTCCAGATGAATTAAATCACTGCATCTTCATCTCCCCAGGTGAGCTTGAAAAATGCTTTCGATTTGATTTGAACTCTGAACCCTCCTGTTTCTGTTTCTGTTCCTGCTCCTGCTCCTGCTGCCGCTTCACCGCTGCTCATGTTCTCTGTTGCCGTTGCCTTACACTTGATTAGTTAAAATTGAGAAATCGAACAAAGGATCTGAAGTTTTGAAGTTTGAAGTCGAAGCTGGCTAAGAGCTCTTGTGCCGGCTTTGCTTGGCTTAGCTTAGCTTAGCTTAGCTTGATACTAAATGTTTTCGTTTTGGTTTTGCTTTGCTTTTTCTGATTTAATTTTTCACATCGTCTTTGCGGGTTGTTGACTGTGGATCTGTGCCTAAATTTATCATGTCTCGTGGTTTCCACACCGGGGACCCTACAATAAATGAAAGAAAAGAAAAGATACAATGGAAACCATATATGAAAAAATATATGAAATATTTTCGGTTGTTTTGCAGAACTTAATTTGTAGTTTTTTCTGTTATTTTTTCTTCTCTGGTTCTTCAGATAGAAAATATAGATTTAGATAGCGAAAGAGTTGGACAGATACAGAGAGAGAGAGAGATAGAGAGGGTTAGAGTGGGAGGAGAAGCATCTCCATTTTGGTTATATACAGATTTTCACAGGTTAAAATGACGGCCAATTTGGGGGGTTCGTTCGTTAAAGTCGACAAAAAAAGCATGCAATCAAAAGGGCTGGGTTCTGGCGGTTGGGAAAGTATAAGCAAAACTAATTATTGTTTAATGTTTAATGAGAACTACTTCAAGCGGGCTTGCTACTCGATATAGTTGGGCTTGGGACTGGGGCTTAGTGGGGAGTGATTAACAACTAATTCAACAACTAATACGGGTGATTAGGTTTCTTTTTTTATTTATTTTTTTTTTGCGGGGAAGGTAGAGTTGTGTTGGCTAAAATGTTGACATCGCTTGATTTTAATACTTTGTATTCATTATTATTTTTTCTAGATTTTAGGTAATAATCACTAAGCACAGTTAGACCGGTCAATACCCGAATTTCTGATCAAAAGTTTTGCATTTTATGCCAACATTTTCCTTTCTGCCTCTGATGTATGCTTTTCATGTGGGTGTTTTCTTGCTTGGTTGAGGTTCAGGGCTCCAATTCGTCAAACAAAATGAAAGGTAGAAATTTATGTACATATAGATGCTGGGCGGGGAATAAGGGCTTTTCGTAATGCGTAATTCGTAATTTGGAAAATTTTGCGGTAGAGTGGCGACAGTGGCTGTGGGTGGAATGGTGAAAATTGAAATTGTTTCGCATTTTTGGTGTTGTAACCCACTTGCTAATTTCGAAATTAGTTTTCCAGATGCAAAAAGTCAAAGAGCGTGATTCAAAACGATGAATAAAGTTGGTGCATAGATGAGAGTTTCATAAAATTCAATTTGGTTTTAATTTTATTTCAGTTTGTTTCTGGCACAAAAAACTAGTTGAAAATGAAATTTCTGGCAAAATAATTGCGTTTTCATATACATATTTCGGTGTGTATGTGAGTGTTTTTAAAAAAATGCCGAATAAATTCTGGGGTATCTGGATACTGGAGAGGAGGATGGTGGCTGGTTGGTGTGGGGCACGTGTGTGTAACCATAAGACATATATATTATATATATAGTTAGTTAAATATATATAGTATAGAGATCGATTATAATGGACATGGCTCTCTTTCGGCTCTTTCGGCATGGCATTCAACAAGATTCTTTTTGGCATAGATCTTTGGGCACACTCTCTATATAGTGGTTAAGTCATTGAGAAAATGCAAAACGTTCATCAAATCGAAAAGGAAATATGCTAATTATTTATTTCTCGCAGGTTACTTTAGCTAATTATCAGGTAATAATCAAGCGATGCCAACTAATAATATCAAGTGTTTGTAACAGACACAACAGATACACAGAAACGCCAAAGACAATATAAATTATAAGATGCATAACGGCCGTAAATGTATATTTAAATTGGAGAAATTTTTTGTCTTGATGAACAAGACTAAAATCTTACAAAATCGTAAAATACAGAGCTCTTTCTAGTGATAAAAATTCCCTTGTCGTTATGCATCTTATAAAATATATAGTCTTTGAATACACGCTACGTAGATATGCACGCACACAAAGGCTCTGTCTCCCTTTTAAATAAAACCTAGACTCTGGAACTCCGACCTACTACGACTATATTATCTAACTGAATCAATTTGGAACTTTGGATTTTAGTTATCTTTGAGATAATTTGCGTGTATAGACAAAATGAAATATCACCCGTTTAATTGTTTAATTACTAATTCAATCCAAGTACTCAACGTCCTGGTCGTCGTCGTCGTTTGCCTAATTACAAATGAATATTGCACTTACCTGCTAAGCAACTACTAAACAAATATAGATGCATAACTAATTTTAGAGGGTGGAGGGGGGGTCAATTTTGGGGGCTGGATTCTCGAGGGTGATGCCTGGGCGGGATGGGCCAGAAAATCAACGCATAAAGTGCTCTGGTTTCCGTTCTTTGTCCGCTCTCTTATTTATTTGTGTGTATTTTATGCACATATTTGTTTATTTATATACTTTCCATACGCCATTTCGTTAATTGCATTTCAATTGCTTTAGTTTGCTGCAGTTTAGTTTAGTTCAATTTAGTTTAGTGCTGCGAGCTTAGAGGCTCTCTCGCCGCTTTAGTTTAGTTTTAACGTTTAGTTTGTTGATTTTTCGATTATTTGCTTAGTGGATTGCGAGGGTGTATGTGTGTGTGTGTGTGTGGATTACCGGTTAAATTTGATATTTGTTTTAGCTTTACTGTTACTCTTGAATGTTTCGCTGTCTGCGGTATCCGCTTATCGCTTATCCCTATTTAGTTTGCCTTTATTTTTGCATATTTTTTTCGAGTATTCCCGTTTTCCGTTTAGTTTAACATTTATGCTGTATGTATGTATATGCTGCTGTATAATATATATGTATATATATAGTATGTATATTCCATATTTACGATGTATACTTTGATTTTCGAGAGTGTTTTTCCATTTGATTCCATTCTTTGTTTTTTGATTTTGCTGCTGCTGTGAAGCCCAGTGTAAACTGTGAACTGTAAACGTTTTCCATTGAAGCTTAAACTTATTTATTTACGTTAGTCCGACTATTTTTGTTTTGTTTTGGTTTGTTTAATACTTTTGCTTTGAATTCTTGTTACAACAACCTGAAATTTTTTTGGTTTGACCCTAACCACGTCGTTTGCTATTTAGTCGAGAGTTTCGAGAGGGAAGATGTCTGGTTTTCTTCTGGTTTTTTCCTGGTTTCCCTGGCTATCTAGGTGTACATTCATATATATATAATTTGATTACCCATTTACTGAACATTGAGGTACGACTTACGATTATCATTCTCTTTGAATACATGCCTGTCTTGTATTCTTTTTATTGTTTGCTGATTTAATTGGAATTTTGATTTTTCAGGAGTGTGAGTTTTGGGGCGTATGAAAATGTTGTTGGAAAAACCTATGCGGAAAATGTAATATTTTTCATTCGATTTGCCCTTCGATTTGTATATGCATGTATATTTGTTTATATCTATATAAAAAACCTATAAAATCATACAAAAACCATATGCATTTGTATATGCAAATTATTTGTCACAACATTATTGGTACATACACACCGATGCCCTCATCGCACACAACATCATCCTTGTGCGTGCAAATTGGCAAAATTTTCTAACTAACTAATGTTTTTTGTCTTGTTTTTATTTTTTTTTAGTTCTCTAGTGATTTTTTTGATTCTACTTTATGTAAATAACCCTCTCATGTTAGGTATATGTCATGTTAACCCACGGAGTGTCGGCACTCAACTTGTGCCAGCTCAGTTTGCAGTCGCAAGGATCGTAGATTAGCAGAATTGCAGATCGTAGATTGCAGGTCCAAGGCCAGAGATGGATAATTAAAAATCTTTGGAGGAAGTGACACAGTTTCTTTCTTAATAGTTGGCTGCGACTTTCCTTTAACTTTTGCTTTATAGTTTTTCTCTTCGCTGTCTTATTTTTTCCCGCAGCTTTGTATATTTTTCAAGTTGAGTTTGCCATTTGTTTCTTTGTGTCTCTTAGTAGTTTGCTTGAGTGCGAGTATGAATTTCAACTTTAGTTTTCGTTGCTGCCGCTGCTGATGCCGCTGCTGATGCTGCTCTCTTCTGTTGTTTGCCCTCGTAATTACGGCACTTGAGTATTGTGTGTGCAACGCGGCGTATACGTAATATTTCTACTTGCCACCCCGAGGCGAGCGGAACTTCCGCCATTTTGTTTGTTAATGTGAACCAGCGACTGCAGGTGTGCGTATGCAGTAGTATGGGTGTGTGTGTGTGTAAGTATATGCTTGTAAATCATAGCGAAATGTTCGCGCTCAACTCGACAGCAACTTAAATAATTAACTGGGAAATGGTAGAAGGGAAAAGGGAGCTGGAAGCAGGGAGCAAGGAACTGGTATCTGAAAACTGGGCTCTGGAAACTGAATAGTGGTGGTTATGCAATCCGGCTTCTTGCTTCCACCTCGTCCTTTGATTAGTTTTCGGCATGAACTACGAATCCGAGGCTAAAAGAGTGACTTATGGCTAACACTTACACAACAAGAGTACGCGAGTTTAGGTTTCTGCATATTATTCCCCCAACTTCTGTAGAGAGTATATACTGTAGGCTAGTTCTTTGATTTCCATTTCAATCCCTTGTGTCTTGGAAGTTCGCTTCGATTACTTGGTTTCTAAATATGATTAGCATGGTGAGTTTACGTATATCTGAGCTGAGTTTGGTTAAAATTAGTTTGTTGAGGCATTTCGGGTTCTTGTTGTTCTCTGCTATTTGTTATTTGCTTTTAGGGATTGGGTCAATGATCTCTTATGTAAGCTTAGACATGGATCTCGAAGTAGTCGTGGCAATCCACACAGCCGCCGGGGGCCTCAACGTTGGACGCCCCCATCTCAGGCACAAATCCTATGCCTCCAGTGGCCGTTGGCTGTGCACTGACCACCACCATTCCCACTCCGCGTGGCGTCTTCTTCCGCGTGCGACTTTGCCGCACGCGGGACTTATGCTAGGAAGGTCTCTTTTGGTACAGGCAATCAATGCATGTGGTGTACTCCGGTGCCGAGGAGCTGAGCTGGTAGCCACCGGAACCCTGTGGATCATGCTGACAGCCACCTCCATATCCTCCCATATCCGGGACATAGCTCATGTACTGGTGCTGCTGCTGTTGCTGCTGGTGATGATGCACTGGCTGGGGAGGATGTCTGGGCAGAGGATCGTATATGGGCTGCGAGAAGGTGTTCTCCGCCGACTGCGAGCGCAATGGTCCCGAGCTGTAGACCACATAATTTCGCTCCGGGGACACACCATAAGTCCTGTGGCCGTAGGAGCTGCTCGTGGTGGTGCTATCCCGCGAGGTGGAGCGTTCCAGAGACTTGCTCAGCCTGCTCCTGGCACTGGTGCCACCTCCACCTCCACCTCCTCCTCCTCCTGCGTAGCGTCCTGTGGGAGCAGCGGCCACATAATGGTCGCTGCACGTCTGGTTGTCATAAACCGGATAGTATTGATACGTCTCCTGGGCTCCACGTGTCCTGGTGCCCGTCTCAAAGCTACCGTGGGCTGACATGCTTCGCTTGCGGCTGCCATGCGGCACATCCAGGTTGTGATCCGAGCCATCACGGCTATCGAAGCTGCTTCTCGGCGAGTGACGCAGGCAGGTGGCCCTGTCCGGCGACAGGTGATCCACACTGCTTCTGGGCGATATATGCGGCGACAGAGTCTCCACACTGCACACGTGCGAAGGTCCGCCCTTCTTCAGGCAGCTCCTGTCCGGACTCTTTGACTTCGACGGACTGGAAGGTGGCTTAAGGATACCCGGAGCGGGGCCACTTGGATGCTTCAGTATGCCGCCACCCTCGGAGGAGCGTCGTGGACTGGGAGTCCTCCTACCGCCCGATAGCCGATCTTGGGAGTTGTCCCGTGAGGAGCACACACTCAACCGCTTGCCCTGGTCACTCAAACTAGTGCGCGGCGACTTGATCTTGATGATTCTCACCGGGGAGCTGCCCTGGGATTTGCAGCGATCTGGAGAGATATATATTTGCCGCCGGCCACCCTTTACCTTGGTGGAGGCCGGACGCTCTGGGGACTTGGCCTTGAAGATCTTGTCCACTTTCTTGTCGATCACCACAATGTGCGAGGCCAGCGAGCTGGTGGCTTCCTCCTCGGTTTCGTCCTCGGATCGCTCCGACGGCCCTGTGGTGGTGCCTGTGCTGTCCGATTCGGTGGTTGGCCGAGAGCTGGGCGACTCTATGTCCACCACTACTGTCTGCTGTGTGTTCTCCACAATGGTCTGTGGTTCCGGCGACAAACTGGAGTCGTTTTGCTGCTGATCGCCGGCCTCCTCGGTCAGATCCTGTGGATCAAAAGCCTTCTCCCGTAGGCTCTCCATGTAGGCCACGATGTCACAGGTGCCGCTGTCGGCCAGATTCTCCTGCTCGAGGTCACTCAGGTGCTTGTCCATGAACCGCACCGTGGCGTCCGTCTCGGTTGGGTCGCGTCGGTCGCTTCTGTCACGTCGCTGCTTATGCATCGAGTCCCTGGCCTGGCCCGCCGGATGCTGGTGGACGACGGCCACCTGCTGGGAGGCGGCCAGTCGTTCCGCCTCGCTCTCAAAGATCTCGATCACCTCGATCTCCTGCTTGGGCGACTGTCGCGGCGATTGCCGTGGCGATTGACGCGGCGAGGGATGCAGGCTATGGGAATGGGCATGGGTCTGGGAATGGGACTGAGACTGAGACTGAGACTGAGACTGAGACTGGGACTGCATCTCTCGGTTATCGGAGGTGAATAAGCTACCACTACTGCCTAGACTTAAGTTAAAGGAGGCCGCCACCTGGGCGGCATGCGCCTCCGACTCCGACTCGAGCTCCGACTCGTCTGGGATGGGCTTACCTAGGTCCTTCATCAGCACCGGCTGGTAGCTGGCCGGCGGATGCGACGATTGTATCAAGCGCGCCTGGCTGCCGGTGCTGCCCACCGAGAGTGTCGAGGTGGTGCTATTATCGAGCGGCAGGATGATTCGGATGCGGATACGAGCAGAGAATGGAGAAATTCAAAGGGTCAAGCAATAGTCGAGCTTACAGACGGGACATGTGGATGTCTACTGAGCAACTGGATATAATGTCTTGTGGGAAAAGGTAACTCTTGGTTTTTATGATTCAAATCGAATCAGTAAATCAGTAAAAAACTAAAAAGTTGATTCCGCTTTAAATAAAGTTGCATTCTTTTAGATGCCTCTTCAGTTATCAAGTTAGTAAACAAACTTTAGCTTCAACAAATAAATATATAATTAATACGACTTATGCCCAGGACACTTAAAAGGTTTTCTTTAATAATTAAGACTATCGTTTTATTAAAGTTAAGTAGCTAAGATTAATTATTTAAAACTCAAAAGGAGCTGTTAAGTTCGTTATGAAAGATAAAAAAACTTTGAAGTTTTAGAAATCTCTTGAAAAAAACTTCATTTTTTAAGCCCCAAGTTGTTAATGCTATTTAATATTATTATGTATTTTATTATTTACTGCAGCATTTTAACTACTTCTCAGATTATTCCAGTTAGTCAGCAGATAACCAGGTTAGCAAAAACTCCCTAGACTTACCTCAGCGTCAGGTGATTGGGCGTGCGACCCAAAGTTGCCTTTGGCCTGATTGTGCCCTGCTGCGAGTCCTCCTCGCCCTCGGACTTTGTCCCCGGATCGATCCGCTCAATGTCCGAGCTATGGTGATGCAGATGCGGCTGCCGGATGGGCGGCGGCGGTGGCTCTCGAGGATGTGGATGCGGATGCCCATGGGCGTGGCCCTGCTGCACCTGCTGCACATGCTGTTGCTGCTGCTGCTGTTGGGGTTCTGGGGAAGAGCAAGTGATTTCTTTATGGCGGGACGAGTGATGGATGCGAGGTGCGATGAAGGAAGTTGTTAGCTAGCTTCTCGACAGGATCAAAGGGTTTTTTTACGCTGGTTTCATGGGACTCAACTCACCTGCCACGTCGCCCACTGTCTTGCTGCGACCGCGGAAACCCGCCGGCTGCATCTGCTGGCCGTGGGTGTGACCAGATGCATAGTGTACCACGCCCACGCTAGGAGGCAGATCGTCGGCCTCCTGGCTGCCCGACAAGTTGTCGTAGTCAATGTTGCCCGCCGAGTGGCGTTGCGAGCCTGACTTTTTCTTTGGCTTGCCCAGGGTGTGCGAGCCATGAACGATGGTGATCTGAAGGGAAAATTATTTAGAAATAAGTTTATTTATAAATAATTTATATATTATATTATTATTAAAATTTTAAACAAATTAGAATGATTGATTTTACCTGCTGCTTGGGTCTTTCCAGTGTCTGTGAGTTGCCCGCATAGCCCATGCCGGGGCCCATGCCCTGCGAGGAGTGTCCGGAGACGGAGCCGGAGCTGCCGCCAAAGTTCTTCATGGGAATTGACATATTCCGGACGCTCTCGCGTATGATCTGCCGTATGGTCTTGAGGAAGGCATTGCGGAAGTCGGCGGTGCTGTTGGACAGCACGTAGACCTTCTCGGAGCGGCGCTGCAGCTGAGAGCGCAGATGAATCAGCTCCCACAGGAAGTGTGAGTCCATGTCCTTAGCTGAGCTGGCGCGCACCTGAACCTCGGTGACGGGTATAAGCACCTGGTAGCGTATAATCTCCACCTCGTTGGTTGCATTCTTGCTCGAGACGCCCTGTTAAGGATAAAAAACAAAGGAAAGGGTTTATTAATAATTTGTTTTTGTTTGTATTATTTTATTTAATTTTATTTTAGTTTGTGATTTCTCTAGCTTACCATCAACTTCTTCTTCTGGCGCAGTCGCTCCTTGCAAAGGAACACCACTGCTGACTTGAACACAAAGCACATGGCATGCAGCTCCAGGCCCTTCTTGATTTTGCCCAGAAAGTCGGAGATGTTTAGCCATTCAACGCCGCCATAGTACAAGAGATCTCCTGGAAAACGATGGATATCTTTTATTTATATTTTATTTTAATTAATTTAATCAGAGGCTTCCTCACCTGGACTCAGGTCAATGGGCTGCTTGCAGGACTTCTGGTGCTGCCGGAACAGGTGATCAAAGATGGCGCCATACTCCTCATGAATGCGCTGCATCTCATTGATGTGCTCGGCCACCTTTTCCATGCCCTTGAGTGCCTCTGCAAGGGATCAGACCAAGAAAAAGAAGTTATCGTATGTCCTAGTTGATCCAAACCCTAAGCTATTACTCACCACAAAGATGGACATGCTCATCGGCCCGGGTATCGGTCAGGTTGCGCATCTGCTGCAACAACAGGGGATACTTGAGGATGCGTTGAATCGGCTTGATCAGATACGATTCCAGGGTGCTGCTGTGCTGCTGCTTGGGATTCCGGGCAGCCAGAAACTCCTGCAGGGCGTGGTTGCCTTCGTCTGGAGATAAATGGATAAAAGAGAAAATGGTTGGTGGGAAATGCAAATTGAGACATTTGCCAAATGATTCGATTTCAATGGACGCTCGTTCGAGTTGGTGTAATTAATTGCGACGCTGGCCCATTAGAGTAGATGCCAGGCCCTGTTCCTGCAACCCTCGTCCCGCCGGATTACAGCACAAGGATATGCAGTTACGGCGTAGCAACGTCGACAAGAAAATGTCATTAACTTGTTCTTATTGTCAGCCGAGTAGCAGCTTTTGATAAAGGCAAAGTCAAAGCCTGTCAGCAGCAGGAGCAGCAGGCAACACCAACTGGAATAGGAGGTGGGAGTGGGACCAGGAGATGAAGCTCAAGCTGGAGCAGATTTACGTCTAATAGCGTGTCCTTCTGGCAGCCGACCGACAGGTCTATCTCCTGCCTCAGCCACTCCAATCCGCCCCTGGATTCTCCTGCTCTTGCACGTAACGAAGGCACTTAAGTGCACTTCTTGCTATAATTAATTATCCTTTCAACTTTTTGCATAAAATTTCATGCAACAGCCGGGTGCAGAGCTCCACCTCCAACTCCCCCATCCCGCTCGAGTGGATGATGCTACCCGAGTTTCCAGGACGAGGAGGGGAGCCTCCTTGTTACCTTGACTACCCCACTGCAGCTCAGCTCATTGATTGCAAATATTGCGCATATATTTTTTACCTTCAACGCTTTTGATTAGCTGCAACCCTGTCCCGACCCATCCGCAGATGCATCAATCAAGGGTGATAAGGGTGCACAGGGTTGCCAGGGATGCGGTTGGGTGCAAGGATATGTAGCAATGAGGATGGGAGAGCAAAGCCCACCTCTTCTCCAGCTGTTTGCTCGAGTGTTTTTAAGCTTGGGACTAAGTCTAATTTAATTATGACATGTTGTCGCGCGGCAGCCTTTTATCCGGCTCACTGCAAGGCAGGCTTAGTGGGGTGCATCTCCTGCTCCATCCCCGCCTCGTGCTCGTGCTCGTGCTCTTTTCATTCCCCCATCTCCACACAGAAGTTCTGGCTGGAGCTCTGGCATAGTTTTGGGTCGCCATTTGTAAGCGTGTCATAATTCTACAAGTTTAATTAACAAAAGATACTTGACAGTTGCCGCTGCTGCCTTGGCATGAATATGAATATGCTGCCAGCACCCCAGCTTGGCCCCTTTTTGGCTGGGAGTTTGCCTTTAGTTTGCGGTTTCCACCGGGGCGGGGTGTCCTCGTCCTCGTCGTCGTCGTCGTCGTCATTTGCGGTTGTAATTATTCATTTAACTTGCAAATCATTTTAAAGGGAGCGAAACGCGTAAAGGAGGGGGCCACCGGGGCGTGGCACAATTGAAGCGAATAGTTTGCCAATTGTTCGCTCTGTGGGTTCAGCTCGCTTCTGTTCGGTTCGGTTGTTTGACTTTTACAAGTTTCTTGCTCAACTCGAACTCAAATAGACTTTGACGCTTGACGCTGATTGCAATAGTTGAAGCTGTACATACACACATGTCTGTACAGCATACAGGGGGGGGGTGAAATGTTAATTCTCCGCCCCGAAAAAGGAAACTTTTAATCACAACACATTTCTTTTTTTTGAGGGTTGAAAGAACCCTCTCGGCACTCGCAGATATATTTGTTTGGGTCAAGGATGTTTCCCCTGCATTAATTATTGCTTTATTTACATTTCATTCCCCACTATCTCATTTACGAAGCAAATTAATTCGTTTATGTTAATTGCATTAACTAGTCGTCCCAGATATTTTTGGCTTTATTTTCGAGCAAATAAAATATTCATGAATGATAATTCTGGTTAAGGCTAGTCCTGGATATTTTTAGCTAATTAAGTTAAAGCAGCTACCGGATTCTGTTGGCTTTCTTAAAGCTTTTTTAGTAGAAATTTACTTTAATTTAAACCAGATTTGTCTCAATTTGCATGACATCTTCCATGCTACTCTCGCTATAACAATGCAAATGACTATATTTCCTGTTAATGGATATATTTAATTTAATTTATTTTTTATAGAGAAAACGATAGTAATTTTATTTGTTGCCTCAATTGAAATATGCAAATGAACATCTACTCAAATGGTATATCGTATTTAATGTAATTTGTCTCTCTTTCCCTGTCTATATGTGAAAATAACTTGATTTGTCTGGGGTTGCTGCTGGAAATTAAATGGAGTACTTACTTGGATGCAGAACCTTCTGCGCCTTGCTGTGACTGGCACAGAATGAGGAGTACAGCTTGAAGTGATTGACGTAATACAGAAAGGCCGAGCCAATGGCAAAGAGTACATTCTACATGAAAAAAATAAAGATTGTTGCAATTATAAAACGAAAATTATAAAATCCGGATATCAAAACCCACCCTGAACTGCCCGCAGTGCTCAAACTTGTTGAACTCTGGCTCCAGGCCCAAGGACTCCTCCAGATTCTGCAGGAACTGGCGCTGGAATGTCACGATCTCGTGGATGTTGCCGAACAGCGCATTGATCTCGGCATTGGAGAGGAATGTCTCGCGTTTCATGGGCTCCAGATAATGCTCCAGCAGATTGTTCAGATGCTGCAAAAAGGGGATAATATATATGTATATGTATATCAATGAAGCATAAAACGAAGCAAGCAATATACTTCAAGAGACGCCGGAGAAAATGCATAAATTAAATTAAAAAATCAACGACCGTCGTCGGTCGCCGGCCTGCCGCCCACTCCTACCGATTTTGGCCACAACAATTCCCGGCGGAGTTGGCCAGCAGTTATGCTTGGTTGGTGGAAACTTTTTAGTTTTGTGCCAGTTGGCGAAAAACATGAAACAAAAAGGAGTGCACAAATACTGTAGCATAGCCACAGGCGCGCGCTTTCATTTGGAACAATACTTCCGGCAGAAGGCTGGGGCGTGGCCGCAGTCCGCGGTCCGCAGATAAGACCCAGAGCCTTCGCTGTTGCCGCAACGGCGCTTTACATAATTTCTAAATTATAATAATTATTTGTATGCTTCCTGGCCCAGGACTAGACCACGCCAGACCAGACCAGACCAGACCAGACCAGGCCAGGCCGTGAGCAAAACCAGACTTGGAGCTGGCTTAAAGCAAACAGTGGCAAGGAGAATCGACAGAAACAGAAAGAGAAACAGTAGCAGAAACAGAAAGAGAAGCGTAGCGACACAGTTAAAGGATTAAAATTTGCATTTTTAATTGCAAGGCGGACTTTATGCCGCCCCGCTCTAATGAACACAAGTCAGTGGTCGATGCTGGGATTTGCGTTAAAGTTGGCTCTGGCTACACTGAGTGGAAAAATGTAATGCCTGGGGATAGTTTTTGTGCGGAATTATTAATTCAGGATTATTAAATGGTAACTAAGGAGATTTATAGACCACTTAATGTATTAAGAGATGCTTTTGTCTTGTAAAATTTTTTAAGGAAAATTCTATGAAAAAGTTTCCAGTAAAATCTTAGATTTTTGAAGATGCACATATATATATATATAATAATTTATATTAAATATGTTATCTAAAGAAGTTATACATTTTCCGGAAGTTGGGTCCTAATTTTCTCAGTTTCTTCTCTCTATTTTAACTTTTACTAATTTTATTTAACTGTACACTTACCTTAACGTAGGTGCGTTCCGTGTCCACCAGCTCCATTACGACTTTGCGCAGCTTCTCTGCATCGGTTAGCTGTCGCGATGGGGTCAAAGCCGTGGTCGACACCGATGAGGTGACCGAGCCGGTGGGGCTCGATTTGCGTGTTTCCTGGGGTGAACGACAAAATCCGGTAACCTTAACACAGGTTCACAGGTCAGGTTCAAGTTGTTGTTGTTGTTGTAACAGTGGTGTTGTGTGGTTGGTTGTTGTAGTTGTTGTTGTTGTTGTTTTGGTGTGTTGATTGTTGCATGATGAGGAGTTGTTTCGTGACGACGAAAGGATCAAAAACCCAAAGAAAGAAGAACAGAACGAAAAGAGATGCGAGCGCGTGAAAAGGAGACACACACAAATAAATGGCAATAAACTAAAATGAAGTTAGCCATGAGAGATAGATACAGAATAGCGATAGTTTGCAACACCCCCAGTGAGGGGGGTGTGGGAGGGGTTTTTTAGGGGTTGGATATCGTGAATTAAGGGGTACTAAAAAAGGGCTGGAGGGGATGGTTGCCCGCGGCCACTTTAAGGAGACACCGAGACAGCTGCGGTTCTAAATGACTGTCACGTCCTTGTCCAAGTTTGCCAGCCAAAGTGTTTGTGGGTCTCAATCCCAGTCCCAAACCCAACCCCAATCCCCTACACTTCTCCCTTTGGCATTCCCGATCCCCGGAAAGTAACTATCTGACATCCGAGGGATACGTACACCCATCCACTCGGGTCCTTGTGTGCGCGGTTACAAGCACATTTGGCACTGACAGTTGACGCTTGACGGTTGACATACACAGAGCTTACAAACGTGTGTGTATATGTACATGTGCACCCCCTATTACGACACCCCCTAGTTTTGCATTAAGACGTAGTGCTGGAAGCGGGCCTCCTCCTTGAGCCTTGAGCCATCTCTCTTGACTTTTCTCCTATTTGCTCAGCTCTTTTGAGCCCCCTCTCCTGTACTCTTTACAGGCACAGCGAAAAAAAGCTGTGGGAAAAAGTGTTAAATGGAGCATTCCTGATAAATTGACTGAGCACGAGAGCAGCGGCAAATGAATTTGCATTGTAAATGCCTAAACAAATAGAACGCTAACCTCGAAAGAGGTCTTGAACTTGAAGCCAGAAAAAAGGAATGAAATGCTTGAGAAAGCCAGAAATTACTTGGATTTGAATGAAACCAGGCTAAGACTAAGGATGCACAGAAAGAAGCGAATGCTTCACAAATGCGAATTCATAAATTAAAGAAATATGTTTAGCTCTAGAAGTTCAAGTTTGTTTAATTTAATAAACTGACTTAATTAAATTTATACAGAGTGTGTATCAATTATTTCGAATATGACCAAGGCTTATTTAATTGTTTAATTAAGCTAATCCGGCTCGAAGGACCAATTTCTGTTGGGAAACGGATCACGCTTTGTCTTTTGTTTTGACGCATTTTAAGACATGCAAAATTACTTTAGGTTTATCAGGAAAATTTTATTAAAATGGGTTTTCTGTTTCTCAAAACATGACACTTTGTGCATTTAAAGCTCTCGAAACTCATAAAATAAATATAGTACATACATATATACTATTATCTGTATCTCGAAGAAACATCATTATAATTTGTATCTATGCCAAGTGACACATTTTGGGATCAGGTATATCCATCAACTCCATTTTATTATCTCTCTGTGTGTAGACAGAGTTATCGCTTTGGATTTTGTGGCACTTAATCTTGGCTGCAAAGTTCGTTTGTCACGCTGCCATCACTATAGCTCCCTCTCTTTCATAGCCCCCTTTTCTTTACCCATGCCCTGTCTCTGTCTCCGTCTTTGTCCCTGTCTCTTACCACCCCATTGCAATTGCAGTTGTCATTGTTTTGTTGCTGTGCACTGCAGCGTCTGTTTTCGTTGTTGCTGTTGCATTGGCATTGTGGAGACATTTCACTTTTATGCAGCTGCACTTTGTGTATTGTATTGTGCTTGCCCCTCGGTCTCCCTCGACTATAGCGTTCTCTTTCCAGCTTTCTAGGGGTCTCTTTCTCGCAGCAGCCGCTTGTTCTTGTCTACTTTTAACTGTTTTATTGTTCTGCATTTTTGCGCTGCTCTCCTGATTTGCATAAGCGACGCCGACCCAAAAGCCAACAGGCGCAGACGGGGATAAGAGGAGGTGGGCAGGTGATGGGGCGGAGGAGCACCTGGTGGCGGCCAGGTGAGACAGAGATGCACCTGCTGGCAGCTTGTGGCGCTGAGTGCCCACATTGTTGCCAACGTTTGCCGCTGGCCTGGCCCAAAGATGAAAAATTTGAAAATGTCTTGAAACTGGCGCGCGAGCTCTTCGTCCTCGTCCTCGTCCACGTCTACGTCCATGTCCACGTCCTGTGTGAAATGTCAACTTGAATTAAAAGGATTCCTTATGTAAGACAACACCCTGCACCCGGCAACCTTCTGCGACTCCCCCCGCTGTGGCAGCAGTGTGTTTGTGTGTCACAGTGTTCAAGTATCATTAAATGAAGTGGGTTTCTGCCAGTTTCGAGCACACTTGGGGAAAGCATATCCAGAAAACAAAGTGCATTCTGTGGCATCTTTGCTTGTTGTTCTATCTGTCTCCGAGACAGGCCTGCTGCTCTGTCCTGTCCTGTCCTGTATATATATATATATATATGTATATATAGATATCCTTGATATTTTTATGCTCTGGGCTGTGTGACGTTTATTGTTTCGGCGAAGGATCTCCTTGTGGCTAGGGCCCAATAGGCCAAATTTGCCATGACATCTTGAGATGTGTCGAGACACGACTGAGTCCCATGTCCTGCGCCTTGAGGCAGGCCTCTGCCTCACTGGCTTCCTGCCACGAGTACACTTCTCTCCTGCTCCTGATCCAGCTTCTTCATGCCGCACACATCTTTTTGTGCAAATTTCAATTTGTGCACATTTCAATCACAAGTGCTCATTGGGGAGTTTTCCGAAGCCGCCCCAGAACCCACTCACACATCCCTCTAAAAGCCACCCAGCGACCGTCATGTTTGGCGCTCGTTTTAATAGTTTCCGTTTCCGCTTTGCGAGTTCAAAGCAATTTGATTTGCCTTCCAAGTGGCAAGTTCCTGTGGGAGGCGCCACAGGGGGAAGGGGGCATAATTCTAAGAGAGGAGGCGGAACTGAGATGGGGTTTGGGTTGGGGTTGTTGTGCAAAAAGGGGTGCTAAAGGGGGTCATGGGGGTCGAGATTCGTGTTTGCGTTTAGTTACCCCCCCTATTCTCGCACTGTGAAAATACGTAAATTCAGGAGGGCAAGCTCCTTGACTTGGAAACACTTAATGACTTGAGTTATATTTATCTTTAAATAATATTCAGCAAGCTTATCTAGCTATCGATATAGAATTTATCAGTTGAAAGATAGAGCAAGGGAAATTGTTTTTGAAATAGCTTTAGTTCATTTGAAATATATATCTTTAAGATATTATTTAGATAAATTTCTGAGACTTATATATTTCATGACTTCTTAGGTTTTTCGGTGTTAACATAAGTAAAGTTGCACTATTTTTGTAATTTTCTTACTGCAATTTAATAATTATTATATTTTTTAATAAAGAATAAAACCTGCTTTTTCATATAAAAATTAATTATTTACTCTACTTAAACTCAACACAATACTATCTTTAATTAAAGTCAAGCTAGATACAAATTATTTAAAAATATAGACATAAAGATTTTCCTTTGTCAACAAAGCTGCCTCCCAATTCGGAGTTTCTTTCAGTGCATTTCCCCCCAAGATGGCTTGCTTCCCCACCGCATTTTCGGGCACTGCACTTACTTGCTCTGCGGTCTTCAACAGATTCTCAATCTCGAAGCTGCTCGTTCGCGACGTGGGCTTGGCCACGCCCAGTCCGCCCATGCCTCCCATGCCGCCCATTCCGCCCACAACCACGCCTCCACCGGCCGCAAGTTGTGCGGCCATGGCAGGATCAACGAAGGAGGGGGCAGGCGAGGACTCGGCCTCCGGCGAGTACAAATCCTTGCTAGTGCCATCTGGAAGGAAGATAAGCGAATGTTGTGATTAAGCGTTATTATTATTATTATTATTATCATTACAACTTTTATTATTGCTATGGCTATTATTATTCGTTGTGTGTGTGTGCGGCACGCGAATATCGATTAAAGAGCCGCTTTTTCGGTTATTTGTTGCTTGTTAATTTTAAATTCCATGTTTGTGCAGTAAAAGGGCGAAACGAAGGAATTTCAATACTGGCGAAAATGGTCTACCGCTCTCTCTCTCTGTCTCCGCCCTGTGTTATTCCCGGCTCAAAGCCGAAAGTAATAACGACAAAAAACAGCCAGAAGCAACACAGCAACAGCAGCAGCAGCAGCAACAACAAGCCGTAATGATTATTGCTGCAATGTGTTTGCCACAACGTCCACACACTCAGGACGAAGCAAAAAGGATAGTGGAGAGACAGGGGGAGCCAGGGGGAAACGAAGCTTTTAACCAAAAAAATTTATGGCCCATACATATGAGGCCAACTCTCTGGGAAAGCCCACTTGCACTCAGCAAAAAGGCAGAGACTCCCAATAAAGAACTTACCACAAGTTTTTTTTTGTTTTGTTTTGGGGAATTTGTAATCTAAAAACTAGATGCATGGCAACTTCTTGATGGAAGATTTTTGTGGTGCAAAAACTAGCAAAGAATTATAAAGACTACACATATTATTTCTTGCTAGAAGAGAAAAGTTGCACAAAGTTTTGCATATTGAGTTGGCAACAACAAGTTGCCAACAAAAAGAAGGCTTAAACAAGTCAGAGGTTTTAGCTATAAAGTGAGTTTTATTTTAGACAAATTTTATAACCATTTTGATAAAAGAAGATATTACTAGAGTGCTTAAATATGTCAGAGAGGCTTATATATAAAATGGGTTTTGTTTTAGACAATATTAATATATTATCATTTGTCAAGAAACTACTTTTATTTGTACAGTGTCTCTCTATCAGAATATATATATTTTCCAACCAGTCGTTATGTGTTTTCTGTGGCTTGTAGTGGAAGTAGTTTGCCAGCGCCTGGGAAGCATTTAAAAATCATGTCCTTGAACACCGCCTTGGTGTCCTGCCGTCTTTGCTCCTGTTGTCTTGGCTTGGCTCCTCCTGCATGCAAATTTGCTGGCAACAAATTTTATGAGCATTTTCTCTAAAATTTGACACCGCACACTGGGGTGTGCGTGTGTGTGTGTAGTTATTGGAAACTGCCGCCGCCTTATAAATTTCAGTTTGCGGTCTCTCCTTTGGCAAACTGCACGTAGTCCTGGAGTCCTTAGGTCCCGGGTGCCTGGGTCCTGTGAGCTAATAACTCGTGGACGTGCCAAGCCGAATTTGTCGATGGCAAATAACTTTAGCAGTTTTAGTGGCTTTAAATAAAGTAAGACTCGCAGTTGTTTATGGCACGAAGATACGCTCGAGGAGCTCTCAAGTTGGGCCACTTTTTTCTGACCCCCCGTCTTCCTTTTTATTTGGAGTGAGTTTTTTCCTCTTGGCAGGATACTAAACAACTTGGCACAAGACGTGCATAGTTTCTTGTGGGGTTAATGATCCCTTGAATGTTTTCCAAGTTTTTGGCCGGAAATCGGAGCTCTTTTCTCGGTGGGTTAACTTGCTGTAACTTTTTTTTGGGTTTGCATTTCGGTAATTTAATACAACTAATTGGCAAGTTTGTGGCTGTTGGCAAGGTATCAATATCAACAAAATCCCTGACAATGAGTGTGAAAATTAAATTGAAATTGCTGGCTTTTTTCAGTAGGGAAAAAATGGCCTGTAATCAGTTCTCTCTTTCATTTCGTCCTTTATTTTTGAGCCACTAGGATATGTGTGTCAAAAATAAAAACGGAGAAATAAATATTAATACTCAGCCACACACACAGAGTCATTTAATTTCTGCTACAATTTTACTTTTTTTTTATATTTTTTATTTTAATTCTTTTTTTAGTGTTCGTTCTGTGCCTTTTAATTGTTTGCCGCAACAAAAAAGTTTCATTTTGTGTGCAACACACCACGCTGTTGCCCGTTGTTGATTCTCTTATTGCTGTTGTTGTTGCTGTTTGCCGCTGCGTTTGTTGGTTTTAATTGTTTTGTGTTCTTAGCCACTTCGGCTTTTTGAGTGCAGTGCAGCGTGTGTGTGTGGGATTGCACTGATGTGGGTGTGTGTGTGTGTGCAACACTGAGAGAAGTGAACAATTTAGCAAATAAATTGTAAGACTTTGCTTTATTTTTTAAATTTTATTTTGTTTAATCAATTGCAAAGTTTTAGTTTCTAACTGATCTCTTATGGCAAATTTAATGTTTGTTTTTATTTTATAAAATACTTCTGAAATTCACATATATTTTCTCTCAGTGCCTGTACATATGTACGACTGCAGTTTGTAATCCTGTAATTATGTAGTTGGTTGTTGCGAAACGACACACACACCCGCACATGCAATCCTTTCGCCCCCGCTTTTCCTCCTTACTTATTGATGTAATTGTTGTTGTACAAGGGATTCTCTCTTTCTTTCTCTTTTTCCTCTCTCTCTTTCTTTCGCTCACCCCCACCCTGTTGCCATCTCTCTCGCTGGCCGTTGTCTAGAGAGCCAGCATTTAATGAAACAAAAAAAAAAGTATATATAAATTACTTTAATGAACTTTACAAATTCGCATGCATGCCCGGAAATGCGCTTTTTCGTTTCCTGCATGCATGGAAAGAGAGGGCTATACGGTGAGTGAATGAGAGGGGTGTATGGGTGAGGGGCGTGCAGGCAGAGCGCACCTCAACGTTAAGGCTCGTGGAGCCGGAGCCCAAGCCAGGCACGGACACGGATACGGACATGGACACGGAACCGTAACCATAGCCGTGCTTAGTATGCTTTTGTTGTGCGAGTAGCTGATGAATGCTGCCTGCGGTTTTCCACGCTTCCCCTCCCCCGTTTTCCCTTCAGCTCCCCCTCTTAAATGTTTTAAAACGGCCGAATTTCCACACACAACGATTTTGAGGTTACCCAGGGGAGAATTCTTTTGGCATTAAGCAAAGTGGATACTTACTCCAACCGGGGGCCGGAACAATCAGTCCAGTTATCATCTCCTCGCTCATCACCGGCGGATCTGTGGGCGGCGGTGGGCACACCAGCGAGTCAATCATATCATCCGTAACACGCATGATCCCCACTAGATCTGGTGGCTCTGTGCGCGAAGACCTGCAGATAAATGAATAAGGATAAATCGGAGATTATAGTCAGCGTTCTGGAGTTGGTAATAGTATAATTTCTGCAATGGGAATTAACCTTAATAAGAAAGGGAATACTTTATAAAAAAGCTCAGCCACACCTGGTTGGATTCGCATTAAATCGATATGAATTCACATATTAATTAAAGATATTTTTTGTGTGTTAATTAATACGAATTGCAAGGGGTAAAAAACAGTTTCAACCAAAACTTTTTATATATTCTACTCTTATTTTTTTTAGTAAAATATTAACTATGCTTTCAGCTGTTTTCGTTTTTACTCCGGTTTATTTTATATTCTTAAAAAATTAAAGTTATTAATTTACATAATAGTTATCCAATTAGAGAATTATAAAATGAAAAGACTGCATGTGAAAAACAATTTTAAATTCTTGAAAACCAATTGCAGATTTCCGGAAAATGCAATTTTAAAGTGAAAATTGTATAAAAAATCTATTTTAAATTGATAAACTTTTCTTTCAATAGTTTATTTGCTTATAATAAAAATAAATAATAATAATTTCAAGGACAGGAATTTGAAAATAAGCCTTAAGTTCCCGTAGTAGCTTCCATTTTAGGGATAAAATATTATACCACGTTACCAAGATAATTGCCTTATAGTATATATTCCTCTCGACTCTCATTTATAGCTCCTTTTTCCATGATTTTTTTTCACCGTGCAGTATTTGCATAATTTCCGTTTCTGACCCTCCTGACAAAACCAAACAAATGAACGTATAGCAACACCTGAAATGGATTCCGGACAACCGACTTCGGACTGCCGTGACCTTTTTCTGTGTCAGTGCGCGAAATTAGCAAAAGATGCGGAAAATGCTCCCAACGTGCATAATTTGAATGGACGACGAATGGCTGGATGGGGCTGAGCAGGATGAGGATGAAAACTGGGGGCGAGGACGAAAACTCAGAGCAGGAATGGGCGCATTTGGCTCTACAAACGCTTAGCACAAAAGCTTTTCTGTTTTCGTTTGCCATAAAGAGAAGCTAATTAGGCTATCAAAATGCCGTTCGGCTGGGTGGCGGAAAATGGGGTGTGGGGGTAGAGGAAGGGGAAGCTGGAAAACTGGTCAGAGTCGGAGGGCAGATGGTCAGCGAGTCGGAACAAAGTGAACCCGTGGACCACGTTCTAACTGCATGGCCAGCCAAAGAACGTGAAGTGGCAACGTGTTTGGGTTACGGCTTTCCATTTTTGTGCCAGTAACCCCCAGTCACCATCCCCCCTTTCTACCCCCAGTAACCCCCCTCTCCCTGTAGCTGGGTATCCCCTTTACATACATTTTCCAGCTGCGGCTTGAACTTGTTGTTGACTTTGCTGAAAAACTATAAACCAAAAATGGTTCGAAAATGTACATGGAACATTTTTAGGTTCAAAATCTCTTTTTTTTGCAGCCCGCTTTCCTTTCCGTTCGTGCTCTTCCTTTTTTTTGTTTGATTTGTTGCGAAACAATTTTTGGTACTGGTTTAGTTTCCCCTTTTCCCGGTTCTGTTTTTTTTTTGTCCATCGGGGAAACTTCTTATAGTGTAACATCATCAAAAATTGGCAAAGCTTGTCGATTGTTGACATTCTGGGGTGTGTGAGTGTGTGTGAACTTGATGTGGCTGTTGTGGCTGCCAGAGCTAGAAAGCTTGATTGCAAAATGTTTTTAATTAACAACATCAGCAGCTGTGGAGCTGCTTGCAGCTGCAGGTTGTGGCTTTTATGGGTTTTTTTTTCTTGTGTAATATTATACCCCGTCAGCTGAAGGAAATCAACGGAAATGCCGTCAGCTTCCTTCAGCTTTATGAGCTATATAAAAGGCGAAATGGACACAAATTTCCACACGATAAGGAGAACAATGAGCTGGATATTGCATTACGCTGTCACAGCGCCCTCAGCTAATTGACATCGGTCCCGGACAACTGCCGGACGACTGGCGACTAAAATAGTTAATTAATCCATGTAACTGAAATTTAAACAATGGGCTGTCGCTGTATACACGGCGTATACTTTATGGTTGTGGACATTCATTCAGGTTTGAACATCGAAACAGATGTTAAGCAGAGCATAAACAAGAACAATGACTGTGCGATGGCTCTGTGGCTGTCATAACTTACCGCATCATCATGCTGAGCGATTGTTCCTCCTGCAGGACGCTCTCCAAGTACATCATATCTAGATCGGACACAATTGCCCCATTGATGACCATTATTTCGTCTCCTTTGATGATGCCTGCAATTGGTTGGACACAGCGTTAGTTGTGCGATAAAGCATATATTTTATATCTATATATATAAAAATCAATTGCTGTTCATTAGTCTCGCTAAAACTCGAGAATGGCTGAACGGATTTATCTTATCTTGGTCTTGAATTATTCGTGGAGGTCTAGGGAAGGTTTAAAAGGTGAGAAAAATTCGAATAATTGCCGGGAAAATCCTCAAAACAGTATTTTTCTATTTCCCATACAAACGTTTTCTAAATAAAATGGAGAGTCAATTTGTAATTTATTACCGCTGTATAAAGTTCAAATTCGCATGCGCGTTGGAGGATCTAATATCGCGTTCCGAAACTCAACAAAAGTGAAAGTGAATCGCGAACGCGACAAAATTGCAAAGTCTCACAGCTTCATATAGCTTCGGGAAAATTAATTTTAGCTAACTTCAGTTGTTAATCTGTCTTTTGTTTTTAATAAGACTATATAGAAATCGAAAGATATATCTTAAGTTTTGTCACAAACGTTAAATTATAAATCTTAAGTTAAATTTCTGAACGCAATCATAATATTTGACATTAGATTTGACAACCAACTAATATGTCAATCCATCCTGTCTGTCGCTTTTCAGTCAGAATGGCAGTTTCGGCAGGACAAGGAGGAATCTTCTTTTTTTATGCACTCCTCCGAAACGGCTTTACCGATTCTCATGAAATTTAGTGTGCTTATGCAGTTTGGTTCAACTTGAGAGATAGGATAGCTAAGATCTTTAACATCATGGCAGTTTCGGCAGGACAAGGAGGAATCTTCTTTTTTATGCACTCCTTCGAAACGGCTTTACCGATTCTCATGAAATTTAGTGTGCTTATGCAGTTTGGTTCAACTTGATAGATAGGATAGCTAAGATTTTTTACATCATGGCAGTTTCGGCAGGACAAGGAGGAATCTTATTTTTTTATGCACTCCTCCGAAACGGTTTTACCGATTCTCATGAAATTTAGTGTGCTTATGCAGTTTGGTTCAACTTGAGAGATAGGATAGCTAAGATCTTTTACATCATGGCAGTTTCGGCAGAACAAGGAGGAATCTTCTTTTTTTATGCACTCCTCCGAAACGGCTTTACCGATTCTTATGGAATTTAGTGTGCTTATTTAACCAAATCTTTATGCTTTGCTCGGGCTATTTTGTTGATGAGTTTGCACCAAATTGGTTGAGCGGTTCTTCACGTATTACATATTTTGTAATATATTATTTCAATAAATCGCATTTCGTCAGAATGTCTTTTCTTTTATTGTCATTTGTCATTCATAATTATTGTTTTGTGTTTATAAGTGGTGAGTCTCTAAATTATCATTTGAAATACATTAAGAAGGTAAGATAATATTTTCAGCAAAATGTCACCGAAAAGATCGAATCTCAACAACGTAAGCAGCAGAGTGGCACGACGCAGACGTTTCGAAAGAGCTCATCAGTTGCCAGAACAAGTCAATACAAGAAATAGAGCTCAAAGAATTAGGACAGCAGAAGGTCGTGCACAAGAATCCCAGGAACAGCGTAGCGAACGTCTGCAGCAGAATATTACGAGAATCAGGGCGGCTCGAGATAGAAACATAGATATGTATAGTACGAGCACAAGTACGACAAAGGCAGCGGAACAGTCGCTCATTAGTTCGTACATCATTCGTTCGTCTTGCTTTTGAATATGCACCAGATATTAACTACTTTGCGCATTCAAAAATTGCTATCGGTGGAATGGACAAAGTATGTCAATATTGTCAGGCGTTTAAATTTCGGAATGAAACTGCCGGTATGTGCTGCGCAGCAGGAAAAGTCGTTTTGCAACCTCTACTTGCTCCGCCAGAACCTTTATTATCCCTTCTTGCTGGAAATTCAAATGACTCAAAATTATTTTTGCGTAAAATACGCAAATTTAATAGTTGCTTCCAAATGACGTCATTTGGGGCCACTAAAATTTGTGATCTTGCATCCGATGGACGTAATTTTGAAACTACATTCAAAATACAAGGCCAGATGTACCACAAAATTGGATTATTGATGCCTGATGATAATCCGAAATTTCTTCAAATTTATTTTATGGGCAATTGTGAAGAGCGCGTAACGACCCGATGCCAGTATCATTTTATTGAACAAGCAGAGGAAGCGGTTTAGGAGTCTATAGCGAACAAACATAGTGACAGGAGATTTTTATATATTAAGATTACTGTTGAAGGTTTAATATTTTATTTACTGACAACTCTGTAATATGCTCATTGTTTCCGTATTGTTTCCTACAAATAATATGCATGACAAAACAGTGTTTGCCGGGTCAACTATAATTAGTACGGGCCCAGCAAAGCGGGTCGGGTCTGCTAGTATACATATATATATACTGATATCTATAGGTAAAATAGGTTGAGTTCTGCTGCGTTATTGTTACTTTTCAGTCGCTGTATCTATGTATCCCCCCCCTTGTCTGCGGGTAGACAATGAATTCTGGGCAGGATCTAATGCCGCATGGCAATCAAGGTGGTTCTGTGGGAGGGAGTCTGTGGGTCTGGAATCAATGTCTGACAATTGTGCGGCTGCTGTGGACTACTGACATCTTTTATGTAACAAACGATAAGCGGAATGTCTTCAGCTGCTGCTTCTTATTCAGCTGATGCTGCCACTGCTGCAGCAGCAGCTTCTGTAAAACAATAACAACAAGAGCATTGTGGTTTTTTTGCATTGTTCATACGCCACGTTATCCCAGCGCCAGGCTCTACCTTTTTGCACTGGAAGAACATTTATACTTAAATCAGAGAAACCTTTTAAATCTGAATTTAGAATTTAAATCTCAAATAAACAAGAGAGAGGTCTTTAATTTAGAAGAAAATAAATTTCTACAGGTATTTTTTTCTTAAAAAAAGAATCTGAATCCGTTTAATATATTTTTTCTTTGTGCATCTTCTCTATCTATTTCTCTGCTGCGTTCGTTAGCATTTTCTACTTTGTCTGCATGACTCGTCTATCATGTGTGTATGTCCCTTAGCTCCCTCTGTGTTTTCTACAGCATTTATTTTACCCATGATGTTGGTTATTCCTTGTTGTCCGCCCTGCCAGGCTTCGACCTGGCTCTCTGCTCCGCCTCCCTGTAAGGAAAGGACGACTCTCCTTCTTCCTGTTGACGACATGCATTGAGCTGCCTGCAACTGCAAGTTGCTCGTCTCGCTTATCATTGTTGCTGCAGCAGCAGCAGCAGTAACATTTTCTTAAGGCAAAGTTCGATAGACAGATATATGTTCGGAGCCATATATATATTTTACCTCAGGCACACCTTCCTACCATTATGTTTTCCCCTTTTTTCGGGTGAGTATGTCTCGCCCCCTACATTTGTTACAATTTAAACGAATTTTTACATCTAAATGCTGGCAAGGCATGACACATGCGATTTACCATATAAAATGCACAAATATGCACAGAGAAAAATAAGATAAAATATTGAGAAACGGGAGTATCTAACTAACTGCTTGCTATGTCAAATTATGAGGAAATACATTTGAAAATCACGATATATTTCCCTTTTTTTTCCTCTCAATGTGTTTTTCACAAAATCAAGCATTTTCCTTGGTAAAATAATATTGTCACAGTGTAAGTAAAAGTAAAGTATGCAAGTGTTGTACTGTTCCTTATCCTGGGGATTATTTCTGGCTCTGCGAAAAGACAAATTTTATTTATATTGCGGTGGCTCCGAAATGCCAGATCTTTATCCCCGCTTTATTTTTTTTTTTGCCTGCCATATGCGTTGTCAACACGTTCCCGCTTCCGGTTTCCAGTTGGCTTGGCCCAAAAGAAGACCGGGCAAATTGTTATTCCATGTTTGCCAAATGCTTTGCCGCGCTTGTTGCCAAACTTTGTGCACTTGCTGCTGCTAACCAAAGGGATCTGCTTAAAAAACTGAAGGAGCTGCACTTGAAGACTTTAAGACCCCAGTTTAAGGATGGATTTCGCCGGCGAGAAACAGCTTTATCAGAGCCACCGCATTTGCTCAGTTCGTTACTCGAACCATTCCACAATTAGCTGAGGAAAGTGGCCAGAATTTTCCGCTCCTCAGCCACATTTGCATTTGAAAGCTGCGGTCAGGATTTTCATTTGCCTTCGTTTTCGCCAGCGTCCTTTGCCCCTGTTTTTTGTTTGACTCGCCAGTGGGAAACTTTTGTGCAATTCGCTCGTAAATGTTGTCTTCGAGCCTGTCCGAGGGACTCACAGAGAGACAGAGCTTTGTTTTGCGGTTGCTGCTTAAGAGTTGCGTCTTCCGACATGCTAATAGCCATTAAATTCAATTGTACCCAGTTGCCCCACCGCACCACCCGCAATCCCTTCAATCATCCCCGGCAATGGACCACGGACGGAGGGGCAGAAAGTTTCCTATTGCGTTCTGCGTTTTGCAAATGTAAATGCGAGTCCTGAGTCCTTAATTTATGCATACACACGCCACTACAATGAGTGGGGCGAGAGAGAACGAGAGAGAGCGAGCGCCTGGCCAGATAACGCTAACGGTAGAGGGCTTAAAGCCGCACTTAAAGCCCAACACGTTGTATACGCAATATTTGATGGCAAATGCTGCCAAAGCCTGGGCTATCAGCCGGGATATGGCGGAATATTGAAGCTGGGGAATCACAGAGTCTAATAAAAGCTTTGCCCTACCGCCCGTAGGCGTCAATTTTATCTAAAAATATCATTCTGAATACGTAACTGAACTTTGCCTTGGTGGTTTGTTTATTTAATTGAACAATGGACATCGATTTTATTATTACTTTCATAGTCAAGTTGATGGAACTATAAAAAAATTGAAAATAGTAGAGATTTTATTTATTAAAAATAAACATTTTGATTGAGGATTTTTTACCATGTAGATATATTCGCTGGGCCTATGTATTTTGTTAACTTAAATAGGAATAAACTCGTTTAAAGAGTTAAGAAATTTGAATAACAAATAGGGAAACAGATACGTATACGTAATATTTGGAATTAGTTGGATTCATTTTATACTTATACAACTTTATATCTCATAAACCATCCAGTCGTATACGTAATATTTAACTTACTAAAGTATTCCTTCTTCAATTTACACAGTGCTGTTTTACTTATATATCCTATCTAAAGAATTAAGCATAAACTTCTTTAAATAGTTTAGAAATTTGAAGAATAGTTAGGAAAACTACGCAAAAGTAATATTTCTAAATAATATGAATTTTCTTAAAGTAAAAACAGCCTTTCGGTACTTCATCCTTTATCTAATTATTTATAAAATCTTTTAAAGAGTTCAAAAAATCAAGGAACAAAAAGGTTACAACTAAAATATCAACTTTATCAGTACTAATCAGGGCCAATTCTCTCTCATTTAATTAAGCTATGGCTTTCTTAATTTCCCTGCCAACGAAAGCAACATTTGTTTAATCCAAAAACTCATTAGCAGAGTTGCTTCTGCCACATTTTTATTCCCTGCTCCCCCCAACTTTCTTGTGCAACTTTTTACCCACAGAGGTAGAGGTTGGGTTTATGGTTTTTTCTTATTTCATTGTTCCTTCCGGGGAATTTCGTGAGCATTGTTTCATGGATTTTTGATTCGTTGTCGCCTTCAAAACCAACCAAATGAGCGCCACTCGCACTCGACGTGCTTAATGAGTTTTCTGGCTGTAACTGCAGCGGCGAAATGTTCCCTCGGTTCATCACTTTGCCAAGTGCAGCACTGCCACTGCAGTTTTCCCCACCTGCGCAAAAGGAAGGGAGGGAGGTGGGAAGGACTTTGTTCCTGTCAGTTCCATAATTTAAGGCGCTGTTCTAGTGGCATTTCGACTACATCCACTTGACTCCGTGTCCTCATCCGTCGTCGTCTTAACCATCGTCGTTGTCGATGTCGCAACGGCAACGGCAACGGCAAATGCAAATGCCAGCTTAAGTTGATTTTAAGTGATAGAAAAACAACAGCGGGACGCGGAGAGCAGGTGGAGGAACAGAAGCTGAGACGGCTCACTCTCGAGGTAAAACCCCTTTAAGGACCTGGAACCACAGCTGCAGTAAACCGACAGGGCCCACACCTGGCAAACATTTCGAGTGCGCTGCTCATCACCATCATCGTCATCCTGGCGGCTCCATCTCCCACTTTTATTCTTGGCCACCTTTTTGCCGGGCGAACAAGCGCTGACAGTTGACTTTTTGCATTGCACGCCTCGGGGAGGAACGGGAGGACTCCGCCGCCGCCTGCTGCTCCTCCGCCATTCAGGCTCAAACTCCACTTGACTCGACTCGGTCTCCCTTGTAGACCAAAGTGAGTTTGCTCAAGTTTCGCCTTGTGCTCTCCACTTTTTTTGACATAAAAGTGAAAAGCATTTAAATATAAAAGCAGCACACAACTACAGAAAAGAGCAGGCAGGCAGGCAAGCACGAAAGGCGGCTGGTGAGGCAAGGCGAATTGGAACGGAGGTGAGCCGGGCACTTTATAATTTTCTTGGCAACATTGGGCCACATTGTTTCGCCTGAAGGGGCGCCAGGTGAGTGTCCGCCTCCCTTCTCCAGGGACTACCCTGGAGACAAAGACTCTATTTCATTTCCTCCGCGTTTCGTTGCGTCACCTCAATGGCATAAATTAAATGCACGATTTCATTGCCTGAATGCGATTTGTGTCGGAAACCATTTCGTTCTGTCATGTCATCTTAGCTCGTTTTGCGGACGGCCTCAAAGGCGTTAATATCCTTTGTGCTCGTCCACGTTTGCGTACTCACCGTTGTGCATGGCCACGCTCTTGTCCTCCACGCGACTCACGTAGCAGCAGAGTTCGTCCTGGCGCTCCGCATTCTCGATCAGCTCCGCCTCTACGGAGAAGCCCCACATCTGCTCGAGGGTGGTGCGCTGCAGTTCTACCTGGTACAGGATCTTCATGCAGACCTCCACGAACTCGTGATTATGTAGCTGTAACGAGGAAATAGAGAACGGTTTACAATATGAGTAAGCTATTGTTTAATATTGGTTTCGGGTTATTATAATTTAGTTTAAGGAAACCTTTCTAAGACACTTTAAAACTCTATAAATTTTGTCCCCTTATTTTTTGTGGTTTCCCTCCCCCATTGAGCCATGAAAGATCGATGGAAAGTGAGTTTGAGTGGACGAGTTAAGTGCCAAATTAGCCGAGTTATGCAAGCTATCGAAGGGAGTTTTGCTATTGATTGAGTGGAGTTACTGGTAGTTGCTCCAAGTTGTTGTCGAAATTTATTGAACTGCCACCAGCGAAAGGAAACTTTTTATTCAGCCCAAAGCCCCTAGCACTCCAACTCCCACTTTCACATCCATTTGCAGTTGCAGTTGCCATTTGCCAATTGGCCTGGCTTGGCCTGGCCAATATTTACTAGCTTGTTGTTGAGGTTGGACGGAGGTTGGAGGTCGGATGCGGACGAAAGTTTCCAGCTAGCTGAAGGCTGACTTGGCAGCTGGCTAAAGTCTCACCTAGACTAATCGTGTGCCAACTGAAGGGGAAAAGGGAAAACGGAAATGGGAAATGGCCAACGGGGAAGTTCATAATTTATGGCATTATGTTTTTAGAATTATCGAAGAGCAATGGCAAATGGCAGGGGCAGGCAGGCAGTGTGGGCTAATTGGGAAATTTGGTATTTTGATGCTAGACTAGGGTGCTGCAAAATTGGAAAAGAGAAAAGAAATAACAGGAAACTCCCTCTCTACATTTGGGGTGTGAAAAATATTAAGAGTACTTTGTAAAAAGTTTTTTTGTTGAGGGAAATCTGACCATTGCATTATAGGTTTAAGCCAAAGGATAATGGTTTGTGTAAAAATGATAAAGCTATACGTTTTTGGTAATCTTATTTATTAAAGTATTTTGGAAGGATAGAAAAATGAATATTCTTGATTATGCCTGAGAAGCTATACTATTTTAATCTACATGTCATTATAGACATTTCTTGAAAATTCCAAGAACCCACTCAGACCACCCCCAAAGGTATTATAAGTATAATTTAATTATTTAAATGGCAATAATTAAAGGCAAGCCAATTAAGGCTCTCATGGGAATTTCTCAGCGGGTAATGTGGCTGGTAAGTTCCATTAAATTTGCAGTTATTCCAGGCTGCCTTTCGCCCAACTCCTGAAATACCTATTCCACTCCCAACCCACGTGCCGAAATTCCATTCGCACATCTCCACATGCAATTTCCAAGTTAAATTCGATAAGTTGAGATGGAGTTTGGAGTTGGAGTTGGAGTTGGCTTCCCCCCCCAAGGAATACCTTCGTCAGAAGGATATGAAAGCATATTCTGGCTCTGATTATGTACTTACATAATTCTCAATCAGATCGTTGCGATGCGGCACAAAGTAATTGTGATCCTCCATGTCACGTCGCTTCTTGACGCGCACAAAGTGCTCCATGGGATTGAGGTTGCGACGGGCGCAGGCGCTGGCGAGGAATTCCTCCACAGACATGGCATCACGTAGATAAACTGTCGAGTAAGCATTGTCGGGCATTGCAACTTTGAAAGTTTTTTCCGGTTCGTCACGTGAATTCATCTGGAAAAAGGCAGAAAATTCGATTGGATAAACAGGCGCACGGACAGAGGGGCACACACACATGCGGAGATATATCCACGTACAATGTCATTAAGCAGTCAGGCACAGACATTTGCGAGGCTCAAACAGATACACTTTGGATAAAAAAGTGTTCTGAATTTGACCAGATATTAATTGTATAATTTATTATTAAATAAAACATAAAAAACAAATAGAAAAATAGTTAAAATCGTATGGTTCGACTGTGAGAAATCGTCTAAACAAAGCATCCCTTAATTCCACCTTTCTTTTGTATTAATTTAATTAAGGTAATGGCCTATTTTTTTCAGTGTACCCTCACTGACAAGCTGGCATACTGGCATATAGCCTTATAGCCACACGGAAGTGAAAATTGAAAAATAGCAAACACACACATTTGTGCCCACACAGTTGACGATGTTGGATGCTGTAACCCTTCGCCCCTCCGAAATGTAATGAAAAATGTCGCCAGCAGCAGCAGGAGAAGCCAGGAGCAGGAGAAGCTGCCGCGGATCCGGACCTGCAGCAGGATCTCGCTGCTGCACAAAGTTGAGTTTGAAGAAAACTCAGTTAAAATGCTTAACCGTTTCCACAACGTCATCGTCATCCAATGTTAACTCTGTGATGAGGCTTCCTGCTGCAGCTTCTCCTGCCTCTGCCTCCTGATGCTCCTCCACTCCACTCCACCCAGCCTGGCTGCAACTGTAAACGAATCAGGTGGCCCAGCTGCCAGTTGTCGGCTGCTGGAAATTGCATTTGTATTGGCAGCCATTGGCAATGGGTTCGTTTCGTTTCGTTTAAGTTGGCAGCAGTTTGGGCCAGCCAGGTAATACACTCACCCACATGCAACACATACACACACCCACACCCGGCCAGGACAATTGAATTAGTTTGGCAGTTGGCAAAGGCTGCCTCCACATAACACGAGCTGCGAAGTGAGCTCCAAGAAGCATTGCAGGAGCAGAATTTGCCTTGCATAACCATTTTGCATATTGATTACGGGATCATTATGCCAGACCAAATATATCAACTTTATATTCATGAAAGTGTATGTGGCATTTGTATTCCGCAGCTCAAAGGAATATTGAAAAAGAGAGAGTCCAAAAATGTTTACTCTGCCAATAAGAATTTTTTAAATATTTAATTTTTGGTTGTTGAAAAAAAAGGCATTTGAATTCGCATATATTTCGTGATGGACACTCGAAGGATAAATTGTGTTCTGAAATATTCTGGAAATGCAAAATCCTTTCAGTTGAAGATGGCTTTGGTAAGGTGAACAGATTTTAGTTGGCTTGAAGCTTGAGATAAGTTGACTATGATGTTATATTTAAGGAATTTGTTATAAGGTTTTATTAAATTTGCAATAAAAAGTCCCTTCTTCTGCATTTTTTTTCTGTTAGAGTTTAGTTGGAGTTCTATAATTCTTTATGGCATTGAATTAAATTGAAAATAAATATAAATAACTAAATAAATTTCTTAAAAAATGAAATTTAAATCCTTTCATCCATTTATATAATATTTGAATTATTATTTTCCTAAACCATAACTCTGCATCTGATTTGTTATGATCAAATTAAATTCCATGTCAAACTTAATAATTGAAAGCAACTTCAATGCGATTTCAGACTGATAATGGAAATGTCAGGCTGCTGAGTACCGATTGTTCCTGGACAGTGTCCTCGATGGAACGGAACCCTTAAAGACGATTAATTCCGCACGAAACGTTGCTGGCACACACACACACTTAACTCTCCTCCCGACTAATTAACTTTTGATTGTTCCCGACTGACTGAGTCGTCCGCCCCAAGGCCAAAGAGTATTTCTCCGATATTCTGGCGGCGGGCGTTGTCGAATGGACAGTTTAATTAAATTTTAGCCAGAGTATTTTAACTTTTGCGAATTGGTTATTTCGGCTGCCGGATAACTGCCATTTGGGCTGGGCCTGGTTGATGATAATTTGCTTTGGAGGGGCCTTTAATTTTATTTGCCATTTGTGAACTGCAGTTGCAGTTTCACAAATTCAGAATTTCACAATTTCAGCTGCATTGCAGTTGACATGTTCGAAAAATGGTCAAAGTGGAAGGGCAGTTTACAAGCGGCAGTGGGAGAACCAAATCAAATGCACATTTTTCAAATTCATTGAATTTTCAGTGCATTTACAGCGTCATGGCATTGGGCTGGGCTCCCTTCCCTTCTTCTCATTTATGTTATTTCATTGCATTTGTTTTTGCGTCTGTGTCCATGTGTGGAATCATTTGTATTTGTATTTGTACTTTATTATATTTTTTATTTTTTTTATAACTGCCGTGACTGCTGAGGAGGAGGAGCAACGCCAATTGTGCAGCGTTGGCAAATTTAATTGGAAATGAAGTGCTGGGCCGAGAGTTCCCATGAAATCCGAGTCGTGCACAAGATTATTTTGTCAATAATCGAAACAAATTGAATTTATGAAATGAATTGCATTATGGACACGAGATATGCCGAAATTGGTAGCACTAATTGAGATTTAAACAAGAAAGGAAGCTAACTTCGGCACGCCGAAGTTTGTATACCCTTGCAGATTGGTTTTGATGTTTATTTTATAGATTTAAATGCTGAAAACACTCACAAAACAGAGTTTCATTACATTTTACCTATACTTATTATGTTTACAGTTTGACAGTTACAGTTTTACATTCTCAGCTTTATATATTTTATACATTTACCGATCGCTTCTATGGCAGCTATAAGATATAGTTGTCCGATTTTTATGAAATTTATACCAAAATTCTAGAATAATAAAAAAAACGTATATCTCAGAGTAAATAAAAATGCGTTGAAAAACAACGAAGCTATAATTTTATTTCTATTAATTTCTCGATCGTTCCTATGGCAGCTATATCATATAGTCGTCCGATTTTCATAAAATTTTTACCAAAATTCTGGAATAATATAAAATGGCTATATCTCAAAAATGATGCAAAAATATTGAAAAACAGCCAAGTTATACTTTTTTTTCTAAAAATTTATCAAACATTTGTATGGCAGCTATATGATATAGTCGTCCGATCCGGCCCGTTCCGACATATATAGCAGTGAGAGCATATAGAAGACTATATGCAAAGTTTCATTCAGATAGCTTTAAAACTGAGGGACTAGTTTGCGTAGAAACAGACAGACAGACAGACGGACAGACGGACAGACAGACAGACGGACAGACGGACAGACAGACAGACGGACAGACGGACATGGCTAGATCGACTCGGCTGTTGATGCTGATCAAGAATATATATACTTTATAGGGTCGGAAACGTCTCCTTCACTGCGTTGCAAACTTCTGACTGAAATTATAATACCCTGCAAGGGTATAAAAACAGTCTGGGTTTCTCTTTCACTCGATCCCTGGACAATTCGCAGTTGTTGCCCCAAGTTATTTCCCGAAAATTTAATCTTTGTCCAGCTAAACTTTTTCGTTATTTGCCGTCTCGAGTTGATTTAGATTTGATTGTGTGTTGAGGTCATTAGCAGGGGTGAGAGGAATCAAGAGGACCTAGGACTGAGTCTGGGGCGGCATTTGATCACCATTTGAAATGGCGTCGTCCCTGCATTATTCACTTAAAATATGCAAATATTTTCTTTTGCCAAGTCAACTTGAGTTCTTTTTTCCCCGCGTTTTCTTGGTTTTTCTTTCGAGGGTTAGGGAAACCAACCCTCCCTCTCATAAATTTCATTATTCTTTTTGTAATTTTTGATGGCCATTAAATGCAAATTATAAAGCTAAAATACACAGAAAAAAAAAACACATTAGCAAATTCTAATGGACAGAGGGGCGTGGTGACATATTTTTATACGGTGGCCATTGCCCATCCATTTTAAGCATTAGCGCTCAATTTAGCTTTTAATGCCATTTCCGTTGCCTTAAATAAAAATTCAATTACTCTGGCCCACACACACGCACAAACATTACGAGAAAGCCATAAACACACACAGACAGACAGTCGCGAGGAGCACCCGCGGAAATGCGTTTAAAATTGAAATAATTTTATTACCCATACGCCCCGTGGCCGCACATAAATGCACACATTGATGTGCGAGGACAACCATAAAGGCCTGCCACCAGAATCGTATTTATATAGGTAAATTTATATGGGCATTTCCGTGAGAATTCAAGCACCTTTAAGTTGAAAAAATACACAACTCTTTGAGGGTTTTGTATTTTTCAGGACTTTTCTCTTAGATATTTATATTTTAAATAATAAATAATCGCAAAAAATCATATATCTAAAACTGAACTATATTTTAATTTGTATTTTATTTTGTTTATTTTATAATAAAAAAAATCATATCTCTAGAACTAAAACTCACCTGCATGGAGCGACGACTGGAGCCGCTGTTGGACCTCGACAGCATCGGCGGTCGCCGCTTGGTAGCTCCGCGTCCGGCCAGCAGGTTGTTGAGCAGCGAGGGCGATCGGGCACAGATGAAGGCGTGGAAGGAGGAGACCGTGAACACGCCCAGCTTGTTCAGCGTGTTCTTCGTGGGGCGTGACACGTGAGTTAGCAGCGACTGTTGAATAAATGCGAAAAGTTTCAAATTATATATGTGAAGGGAAGAACAACAACTTTATTTTTGGGGGCCAACCCACAACTAATTTTGCTATATTTACGATCCTTTCACAGAAAGGAAGAGAGCATTAAAAAAGGCAGACTGAGGACCTGTGTACCCGTGTGTACACCTATGTAAATAAGCCTTTGGCATCCTGCAGTCGACGACTGAAATTGCTCTCTTCACAGGTGCTGAAGTTGTTTGCATTTTGTGGTTATTAATAATAAATAATGTTGCTTTTCAGGCACACAACTGCACTTACCAGACCTCCTCCCACTCGCAGGCACCCCCGGTTTAGCCTGCCATTAAAAGCGCAATCAACTTTCAACCCTTTTCAGAGAGAGAGCGAGTCAGTCAAAGCAGTCAGTCATTCAGTCAGTCAGTCAGTCAGTCAGTCAGTCAGTGAGTCAGTCAGTCAGTCAGGGAGTCGGTGCCTGGCAGTCCTTCTAAGGCCTCCAGTTCGTGAGGGGGAAATTGCCTTTAAGCTCATTTAAGATGCTTAAACTTTTGTTATGGAGATTAATTGTGCATGTTTGGGTTTTGATTTTGCGAGGGGCGAAGTTGCCTGTGCCCCGGCCTTTGTGCAGATAGGTTGAGGTAATTATAGGCAACTCGAACACGTAAAGGGTTCTCTGTGAAATTGTAAACGGGTTTGCGAGGCATAGGACATTATCGTTGGAAGGGATTTGGGCCAATGCCATTGTGCCCCGGCCCTAAGCCCTCGACCAGGCTGTGAATCTGTTTTTGATGTTCCGTGAAGGTGGAAGGACTTAAGCTTGCGGTGGCTTAAGCGAGTTATTGTCTTGGTATTAGACAGGCATTGATTGGGGAATAGTTCCAGGGCTCCTCCAAGGTTATCAGAAGCTATACATTGCTGATTGATTCAACATGATTAAAATATGGCAGCATCACTAAACTTTATAGAGAATTATTAAGCGTTAAAGGAAGCAAAGCTCACTCACAAATTCTCTGTAATCTCCTAAGGAAAATTATAATTGATTTAATTGTAAAGTATTTAAACAGTTTTGGTTACTTGTTTCGGAAATATTTGCAATTAAATCCACACAAGCTCTAAAAACTATTAACTATATTGAACATAGAAATATTGTTGAAAACTAATTATTAGCTTATAGTTTTCTCATTAAAACTGCCAACTATTTTTATACCCTTGCAGGGTATTATAATTTCAGTCAGAAGTTTGCAACGCAGTGAAGGAGACGTTTCCGACCCTATAAAGTATATATATTCTTGATCAGCATCAACAGCCGAGTCGATCTAGCCATGTCCGTCTGTCTGTCTGTCCGTCTGTCCGTCTGTCTGTCTGTCCGTCTGTCCGTCTGTCTGTCTGTCTGTTTCTACGCAAACTAGTCCCTCAGTTTTAAAGCTATCTGAATGAAACTTTGCATATAGTCTTCTATATGCTCTCACTGCTATATATGTCGGAACGGGCCGGATCGGACGACTATATCATATAGCTGCCATACAAATGTTTGATAAATTTTTAGAAAAAAAATTATAACTTTGCTGTTTTTCAACATATTTGCACTATTTTTTAAATATGACCATTTTATATTATTCCTGAATTTTGGTAAAAATTTTATGAATATCGGACGACTATATCATATAGCTGCCATAGGAACGATCCGGAAATTAATAGAAAAAAAATTACAACATCTTTGTTTTTCAACGAATTTTTATCTTTTTTGAGATAGTGTCATCTTGTATTATTTTATAATTTCATATTTAATTTTATGAAAATCGGACAACTATATCAACAACTATATATAGAAAAAAATTATAACTTCTTTGTTTTTCAACGAATATTTATCTTTTTTGAGATATGGCCATTTTGTATTATTTTAAAATGTAATATTTAGTTTTATGAAAATCGGACGACTATATATTATAGCTGCCATAGGAACGATCGAAGAATTACAAGAAAAAAGTCGAACTTCGACAATTATCAACATATTTCACATTCTTCGAGTATGGCATTTTTAGGATTCTAAAATTTTAATATTGATATTATGAAAATCCGACAACTATATTTTATAAAGGGCGTATTAATATTTTGAATATAAATTAATACTTTTTTAGTATTTCATATATGGGCTTCACATTTTTTATATTACTAATATGTTTTGAATTTACATATATAGCTGATGTAAGATATATCTGACCAATTCTGCAATTGGCAATTGACTTCTCTTAGCCTCTGCTGAATTGCAGACTCTCCAATAAAATTAAAAGGTTATCGCAAAGGTTAATATTTCAGACCCGATATACATATATCTGTCACCTGTTATTAAGTTAAGAAACGGTAACATTCGAGGGATACATGCTGAAGTTGGTGTCAGGTATAAATGCAGCGCTCGCATAACCCTTAAATCATAACCTGATACCTGTTAGCAACATAACACGTGATCAATGTTGCACAATTGCATAAGCAAACAGGTATCAGGTATAAATGCAGCCCTCGCATAACCCTTAAATCATAATTTGATACCTGTTAGCAACATAACACGTGTTCAATGTTGCACAATTGCATAACCAATCGTATTACCTGATATATACCTGAAGTAGAGTCAAAAGGGTTAACCCTAAAGGTTGTTAACAGGTAATATAAGGTGCCTATTTATTTGCGCACATTTATAATCCGCGGATTAGTATTATCACGACAGTGACAGTGACAACATATACCAGTGCATCGAGTATTTTTATATTGTGTGAATGTATACTTTTAATCAGTGTAAAGACAAATAGTGTGTGTGTGTGTGTGTATATATATATCTCTATATATATAAAAGTGTACAACTATTTTTGGTAAGTTATACATTTTGTTTTTAAATTGTTAAATTTGGCCACAATTTTAGCAAGTTTTGGTTTGGGCATGTTTTGAAAAATTTGCCTCAATATATTTCGATTTCCTGTGGATACCATCGTTAGAGGGATTAGCTTTTTCAGCGTATAGTTTGTTTGAGTTTTAAAACGCCGTTAAGTTTATAGCGGCGTTTTAAATCTCACAAGCTGAACCCCCTAAAAGAATCTACGGTGGAAATCGAAATATAATGAGAACAATATTAAGTAAGGACATGGAGGCCCGGAGCACAAAATCGATCTTAATACATTTCAGATTTTAGAAACATACATTTAACCATATTATCTAACCATTTTTTAACAGGAACGAAAAGAAAATGCCACGCACATCTTCTTTATCTCAGGAGCAGCGTCGCCAAGCCGCACTTAGGAGAAGTCGCGCTCAATACGCTCGAAATGCTACGCAAATTAGAGCCCGAAATGCCGAGCACAATGCCTTTGTCCGCTCAGTGAATCCGGAGGTTGCACAGGAGGCTCGCGCTCGAGATACCGCAGTACGCTCTCAGAGAAGGCGTAGTGAACGAGTCCGAGCGCGGGAACGATTAAATGATGCAGCATCTCATGCACTCGCCAGGCAGAACTCTGAGGAGCGACGACGACAGCAGTCGCAGGATACTGCGGCTCGGGCTACCTGGAGATCGCTCGAGGAAAACCGCGGTCCAGAACGTGCACGGGATGCTGCAGCGCATGCACTCGCCAGGCAGAACTCTGAGGAGCGACGACGACAGCAGTCGCAAAATACTGCGGATCACGCTACCTGGAGATCGCTCGAGGAAAACCGCGGGCCAGAACGTGCACGGGATGCTGCAGCGCATGCACTCGCCAGGCAGAACTCTGAGGAGCGACGACGACAGCAGTCGCAAAATACTGCGGATCACGCTACCTGGAGATCGCTCGAGGAAAACCGCGGGCCAGAACGTGCACGGGATGCTGCAGCGCATGCACTCGCCAGGCAGAACTCTGAGGAGCGACGACGACAGCAGTCGCAGGATACAGCGGCTCGGGCTACCTGGAGATCGCTCGAGGAAAACCGCGGGCCAGAACGTGCACGGGATGCTGCAGCGCATGCACTCGCCAGACAGGACTCGGAGGAGCGACGACGACAGCAGTCGCAAAATACTGCGGATCACGCTACCTGGAGATCGCTCGAGGAAAACCGCGGGCCAGAACGTTCACGGGATGCTGCAGCGCATGCACTCGCCAGGCAGAACTCTGAGGAGCGACGACGACAGCAGTCGCAAAATACTGCGGATCACGCTACCTGGAGATCGCTAGAGGAAAACCGCGGGCCAGAACGTGCACGGGATGCTGCAGCGCATGCACTCGCCAGACAGAACTCTGAGGAGCGACGACGACAGCAGTCGCAGGATACTGCGGCTCGGGCTACCTGGAGATCGCTCGAGGAAAACCGCGGGCCAGAACGTGCACGGGATGCTGCAGCGCATGCACTCGCCAGACAGGACTCGGAGGAGCGACGACGACAACAGGTTCAAAACACCCTCTCTCGCTCTAACCGGAGGGCACAAGAGGAAAATAGGAGGGCCGAGAGAGCACGAGACGCCGAGGTCCACAGAATCACGAGGAACAACCCAATAACTCGGGCACGGGAACAACAAAGGAACACAATGCATCATCGGAACACCAGACTTCAGAGGAGACTTCGGGAGCAGCAAATTCAGGAAATGGCTGAGGAGCGGCTCCTCACATACAGGTCTATTTCCCAAAATCGCCAGGCTGAATCTGCAAGGCAGTCTCAGCGGAATATTGCTTCTAGAGCCGAACTTTCCATGGATGAAAGACAGGATCAACGGGAACGCCAACGCCAAAGGAACCGAGCCACTGCGAGGGAACAATATCGACGGAATATCAAGGATGGACCAACTGAATGCTGTGTATGCTGTGGAGGAACATGGTTTCCATCGCAGGTAAGTGGTTTAAACAAAATTTCTATATCTGCTAAGTATCCTGCTTTAGATGTTGACAACGCATTTTATTTAAGTAGGAAATTTCCAAGTCCGTCCGGCAAATATCAGTTTTGCAGCACATGTCGTCAGAGTGTTTCAAAGGGTAAATTACCTTCCCTT